GGATAAAGCTGTAAATCTCACTGTAATATGTGTCTATATATATATATACATATGCAATAATATATTTAAAAATTTATATCACCATTTTGTCGTTATATTCTTGGTGATATTTCCATTGGCACTTACCCCTAACAGTTCCTAACACGTGCATCCCAACGAAAAATCGGAAAGTCCAGGCCTCCTTTGCGGGCGGTTTCTTCCCCTTCCTTCCTGCGGTGAACTATCACTCCCAGATGAGTTCTGGGGAGGCCACGGATGACAGGGCCACGGATGGAGATGTTTGTGGCAGGATCTTAAGGATGTTTTTGTGTGCGAAAGACCCATGACAATATATATATATATATATATGTATGTATGTGACAATCACTTCCTTTCAATTGTTGGTTTTTCGGTCCCGCCTGTATTTTTGACTCATCCTTCAGCTTCCTACATATTACGCAACATGATCATGAATATGATGTATCTATGACCTATTCAATTCACATCATTTCCAAACATCTGCGTTGTTTTTGTTTGGTCCTATGTCATATCCAAAACTTTTTTGGGCAAGATCCTCAGCATCTTCCCTGAAAATCAGCCAGGATTTGGTTGAACAGTTGCTGCACGTGTACCAGAAGCGTCAGGCAGACAGGGGAGATCTCGGCAACAAGACTGGGGATAGAACAAAAAAAAGACGCCAGCTTGAAGACGGAATTGGTTTTAGAGAATTGATCCAACATATTTCTGGGTAAATTATAACGACCTCGCTGCGGCCTCACTGGAATCCTGGTTGATAAGGGGAATCATCCCCAAATGGCCTTAATTCAGGTTAGTGAAATATTATAATTTACCCAGATATTTTAACAAAAGGGATGGGTCAGAAATCAGGAGCAGTAACTTCTTGTTGATTGAGCTTGGCTGGGTCAAACTTGGGTTGGGGCTTGACATGTTTTTTAGCGAATAGACCCGGATGGAACTGCAATGTGCTGAGAACATTACCCTCCAGTAATGATAATCCTATATTCCAGCGAGCCATATACCAAATTACCAGAGGGAGTCAGAGGGAGTTCTAGATTCTTGAACCACTAGTAATTCTCCAGATATGGAACATCCCCCGTTGAATTCCCTATGTTGCTTAAAGGTCCATCCCGAGACAGCCATTAATATACTATTATTAGTATCTATTAGTATCTATTAGTTCCAGATATTCCCCAGAAATGTACCATGAAAAAAAGCCATTCAATCTGTATACCCTCTGGTAAACTACCAGTTTGCTATTGAAAATTGTCATTTTGTTCGTTGATTTACCCATTGAAAATGTTGACTTTCCATCGTTTTTTTGTACAGAAAATGCCCGCAGCCCACCAGTTCCCTCCTGAGGCCCATGAGGAACCTTCCAACCTTCGTTTGGAGGTGCTCCCAGAGGCGCCCACCTGGGGGAAGATGAGGATAGCTATGGCTATAAGCCATAACATATTATATTATATTATATTATATTATGTATTATATTATATTATATTATGTATTATATTATATTATATTATGTATTATATTATATTATATTATGTATTATATCATATATATTATATATTATATATTATATATTATATATTATATATTATATATTATATAATACATAATATAATATATAATATATTATATAATACATAATACATAATATAATATATAATATATTATATATTATATATTATATTTTATTTATTATATATTATATTTTATTTATTATATATTATATAGTATATAGTATATAGTAAATATTATATATTATATATTATATATTATATATTATATATTATATATAGTTAACATATATATTTATATATATATAATATATATATAATTAATATATATATATAGTATATAGTAGACTAATAGCAAGGCCGGAAAATGATAGAACAGATAAAACATATCTAAGTTATGATAAGTTGCAGTGCCATTCTATGTTGGAAGGATTTTTGCTGGTCTATCGTTTTTGCGGTTTCTATAATGAGGTAAACACAGAGACAAACCATCTCGAATTGGGGTTGATGACATTGGGTGTGAAAAAAATACCTACAAATGGTTTCCATTTATACGGTAATCTGCATTATTTGCGTTTGTCCAAACATGCGGTCCCCCCAAGTGCACATGTTTTTCAGAAGTCACATTTCCCACAATTTAAATGGCCATTGTTGGACAAAACCAGATGAGTATCACCAATTCTCATGTTTGATGGTTGATAATTTCAAATATGTTTTAGGAGTCTAGTTGGAGATAGTCGGAGGTTTCCTTATGATGATCCCAATTGACAAATATTTGGGTGGACATGTGGCTCAGCCACCGATGTGACTCATGGCTGGGAACAGCAAGCTTTGATCATGTGTACTAGAACATGTATTTGTTTGGATACCCAATGGCTTGACACATATCCCATTGATACTTAAAAAAGGAAAAATAATAAGAACATCGATTTGTCAATAAAATCCACCCCAAGGGATGATTTAGTGTTTAGCAATGGACAATCCACCATTTATAGTTGGATTCCTATTTTAACCTCCATGTTTTTCGAGGATTTCCCCCATGATTTCCCAAAGCGACTTGGCGAGGCAACTTTCCATGACATGTACGTGGGCGAATGGTCCCAGGTGCCGGGACGTTATTGTCAATTGATGTCATTTATATAGTTAGGAGATGTTAGGATGTTACAACTATAGTAATTCCAATATCATCCAATATCTTAATGTATACTATGGAATGCTAAATATGAAAGATAGATTGTAAATCGATCATGTGGTACTACACTATTAACATAGGGGGATTGGCATGAGGGGATCGGATGTGTGTCTGGGTGTTTTTACGGACAACACAACGCAACTTGTGTGTGTGTGTGGACGCGAGTTCATTTGCGAATATGTATCTGCATAGACTGCATAGATGAAAGTCATCTAGAAAAATGGGATAGGTGATAATCATCTAGAAAAATGGAATACGTGATATATAATCATCTAGAAAAATGGAATATGTGATAATCATCCATGGCAAAAATGGAAGAACTGAAGATTGGCTGTGACATGCTGTGACGCAGAACTGCAGCCATGCTCAAGGTGCCGATCCATTTTTGCGAAGGCAGGGCTCGGATCGGGTTCGGATCGCAGCTGACTCCGCCTGAGAGTTGCCGTCCGTGGGGTTGGTGTACATCCCTCAATGAATTGTTTCAAGGCGCCTAATTTGGCAACTAAAAAAACATCGAAAAGTAAAATCCTATCAACATAATGGATAAAATGCTGTTCTATCCTTTTGGCTGGGTTACTACTGGGTATATTGTAATTGTTTCTTTGAAACCAAGGATACCAAAGTCTGAAACCTAAGTCTGGGGCTTGGTGCTCAAGCAGCTTTCCGAACGGCTCGGCCGTTCGGCTCTCTGCTTCGGCTTCGATAGAAGTTGACCCAAAAAGAGGGACCACCTGAGAGCCACAGATGACCCCATTCGATGTGTGTATCCAATGACGTGACCTGACCTATACCCTCTGGTAATTTAACATAGCTATGGAAAATAACAATTTTCCATGGGAAAATTCACTATAAATGGTCATTTTCAATAGCTATGTTAAATTACCAGAGGGTATACCCAATGGATCCCAATGGATCCCAATGGTACAAATCTGACGGGAATTGCCCATGTTTCGTGGGGAATTCATGGATCCCAAAAAGGGGGCAAGGGCCGGGGGGCATGGCTTCGGGATGTCATGGCTGGCGAGGCGAATGTTTGGGCTACGTCCCGGAGCAAACCATCTCACATGCGAAGTCCTTAAGACCCAGCGCCGAGGCGGCCGAAAAAGGACATTTGCAGTTGATACCCTCTGGTAATTTAACATAGCTATTGAAAATTGCCATTTATAGTGGATTTACCCATTGAAAATGGTGATTTTCCATTGAAAATGGTGATTTTCCCATGGTAAACATACAAAAAACTATGGAAAATCACCATTGTTAATGGGAAAACTCACTATGTCTATGGCCATTTTCAATAGCTATGTAACAAATTACCAGAGGGTAGCTTGATACGGTTTCCGCAGCGTCATGGGCTCCTACATCTGGTCTACATGGATAGGCTCTTAGGCTCTTAGTTGGTAGGTCAATTGCTACGTGTGTAGCAATCCTGCATTATTTTGTATCCCCCAGTCCCTCAGATGAAGTCCTACACTTCGACGCTGAAAAATGATCCAGTAGTCATGTTGGCTCCTCCATCTGATGAAATCTCCCAGCATCCATTACTGGTTGGTGGTTTGGAACATGAATTTTGTTTTTCCATATATTGGGAATGTCATAATCCCAACTGACTTTCACTCCATCATTTTTCAGAGGGGGTAGGTCAACCACCAACCAGTTTTGTTTGTGTTTTCCTGGTGATACCATGCTCAATCCTTCGTTTCTGGTCGCTCTTCAGGCCTTGGTCTTCATCCACGGCTTCAACTGTGATCTCGCCACTGCGCTGGGCCGAGTGGCGGGGGCCCCATCGCTGGTTGGATGGGTGGTTTAAAAAAACAAACCGAAATCGGTTCAGGAATGTTTCAGGCAAACTGGGAGTTTTTTTGGGGGTGGCAAACTTGAATGTGGATGTATGAAGTGCAATTGCAGAATATGTTTCAAGCATGGCTCAGCTGTCTGTGGGTGGCCAAGGCCCAAACCTTTTCGTTGGGAAACATGCCACCACACATCGTGCCCTTTGTCTTCAGCTATGCAGGAGGACTGGCCTTAGGATCACCCATCGGGTCAAGATTCCATTGATGTGGATGTGACTTGAACTCCAAGCTCCAAGGCACTCCAAAGCCTCAAACTGACCCGTTGTTTCTTGTTTTTCTTTGATGTGTGGGTATAATTTAGGTGTTCGTTGATATAATCATATAATATAATACATAGTTTGGTCGACATATATGTTGATATATGTTATATATAATCGATTATAATCCATAGTTTGGTTGTTGTTATTGTGTTGATAGAAAGCATTGTATATGATGGGCAACATCCAGCTGCTTTACCCAGGAGCCGAACTCACCTACTTCCAGGCAAGGGCTCGCTTTGCGGTGCCTCGGCGATGAAGATCTTAATGTGGCCGGAATGATATATGTAATGTCTATATATTGTCCATATTCTATGTAGATGATAGTACATATATATATATATATATACTCATATAATACTCATATATATATATGTGTGATACATGTATATATACAATCTACATAGCAACAATCTATATCTGCATATGGTAAGTATATATAATGTCTAGTCTCATTTTTAATGTGTAGCTTTCTATAGATGCTAAATATAGTAGCAACAATCTATATCTACTATCATATATATATATGATATATGATAAATTGATATAATTTATTTATGATTTTAGTGTGGAACACGTATAAGTATGTGTACTATCATTGCACTTAAATTTATACTTATATCATCTTATGTCTATTTAATATGTATATCATACATCTTCATCATTTATCATATAGATTAATATAGATATACTGTATATCTATATATCAATCTATATGATACCCTCTGGTTATTTAACATAGCCATGGTATAGATGGCCCATTTATAGATGATTTTCCCAGCTATAAACCTCCATTTATGGTTGGGATTTTCCATGGCTATGTTAGTCATAACCAGATGGTATATCCCATTAATATCCCATTAAATCACTATAAATCCCATTAAACCACTATAAAATCCCATGAAAATTGGTATATCTATATATATATATCAATCTATATGATAAATGATGAAGATGTACAACACGGTATCCCCCAGGATTATGGTGCAGACCTCCGGAGCTTCCTGGAGATCCTGGCGCGCCACTTCACCGAGGTCATGGCAGGGTGTAGTGAGTTGACGACCCAAAGACATGGAAAATGGTGTAAAATCAGGGGAAACTCATGGGAAATTATGGAAAATGATGGGAAACTCATGGAAAAAATTATGGAAAATCGAACTTGACTAGCAAAGTATCATCAGGTTTTTTTTCTGGGAAATGAATGAACATGATTTGTTGATGATCTTGGGAAAACGAGAGTTGGTGTGTGATTACTGCAGTTCATCAGTGTTGATGAGCTCAATGATAATCTTGAGATCTGTGGAATGATTCAATCCCAATCAACGCAGAAAATGTATGAAAATGTCTTTTCTCGGAAATGCTGGGAACATCTAGAGGAAAAGCCCTATATGGGTATGGATCAATACCTATTAATACCATTTTTAGTGGGATGAACATGATTTACCAGCTATTTTGATGTTCACCAGGGGTATAAGGTTTTGACACACTGCCATATTTCAGGTATAAAAAAAAGCATGACTTTCCTCTGTTTCCAATCAAGCCACCGAACTGCGGATGAATGCTTCCACCATCTTCCAGGTGCACATCTTGACGCACTCCTGTGGTGCAGAGTCGCTGGATCACTCCGGTGGTTGGGTCGTCTCTGCCTTCGTGGTTTAAGATAGCTATAAAAAGCCAGCATTTTGCTGGGAATATTTACTGTGGGTATATGTATAATATTGTATAATAACATATAGTGACTAACTTGTTGTGATGATATGATGGAAAATATAGATACAATGTCGGATATATAGCCAACCATGCTGGGATAGTTTGGATGTTTACCTGGGACACAATAACCACCTTGATATGATATTTGGGTTTCATACCTGACAATGGATGATGGACCCCCCACATGGCAGTTTTAATAAGTAACATGAGGATGAAACCTATTTTCAATGCAACCCCGTTTATAGATGTGTTCGATGTTCTTCTATTTGGGAGGTTGGATCCAAAATGACGAAGGTCACTCCAGATATTAATATGGTGGAATATCTTTTCCGGATTGTTTCCCGTGTTTGAGATGATAGTGCCCAATGACTAAGATGTTTCAATGGAATAAAAACCATCTACTACGGGAGACGCAAGAAGCTGGCATCTTGACTTTCGTCACTCCGGAAGTGGTCGGGGAAATTGGATAAGGATGGCCCAAGAAATACAATTATGAAAGAAAAATGCTGCTCTTAGCTATTTCAATGCATTTGGTGTGAATGATCAGATGGATGGCGGTTTTATTGCAGATGGGTTTGGAGATTGTCCTATTATACAACCATTTGGCTGATAGGAGGAAAGGGTTCAGACTCCTGCTTCTGGACCTCCCAAATTAGGAGTACCCCAAGCCAGTGGTTTTTCCCAGGTTCTTCTTCACCAATTGGCCGGAGATTGCGGACTGCTTCACCTTGCGCCGCAGCTCTGTTTCCTCCAGGGTCACTGGAAGGAATGGAAGGAATGCCAAACAGCAGCGCTGGGTGGCCAGACATTCGCGCAGCTGGGCGAAAGGGTGGCGGCACATTTGGGAGGGATCTGGTGGTTTTTGTTCCTGTCCATGCTGATTTTTTGGTGAATTGTGTGGGTTTGGGTAATGTTTATCTTCAGTTTGATGGAGGAAAATTTGTATGTATCCTGCTAGGTCCTGCTAAGACATGTATTTCAGGCTAGCCATGATGTGATAAGAAGTCTGACTGAATACTAAACCAAGCAGGAAATGCCTTTCTCCTTGAAGACGTGACTTTGTAAAGCTGTAGCTGTGGTTTACATGATGTTTCAAGTTTCATCAGACTTGATACGATGATCCCATTTGGCTACATATCATATTTGATGATGGGCTTGAAACCACCAACCAGACATGCTTCAGGCATCTTGGTGTCTAGATTCTTCAGAGCTGTTCATTTTTTTTGAGGTGGCCATGGGTCTTTTTGTTCGATTGTCATAGAGACCCCAGATTCAAGTTGGACAGTAAGCAGGTGTTGCAGATCAAAAGGTATTTTCATGTAACAATGCGTACTGTAGCAATAGCCATACACAGTATGATTTTCCAAAATATTGGAGTACCACCAGATCATCCAAGTCATTAGACTACAAAATAAATAGTATTGAAACAACTCCCCCATGGTTTAGGGTATAGAAACCGATTGGTCAAGAGATGTCAAGAGTAGATGAGTGATTTTTGTATATTTTTGTTCCATTTTATTTTGGATATTTCAATGCGAGCCACTTGAGCATTTTTTTTACTTGGTACTGCATCTAAAATTCACCAGGTGAATGGGCGTGCAAAACATGGCAAAACTAGCTCAATACCTGGCGGAATTACCATGACCTCACTGACCAACTGTGGTTTGGGCGGGTTTCCACATTCTTTTGGATCCCAGAACATCATAGCAAAATCGTAGGAACCCGGAACCCCCTATATTTGCTTGGTAAGTCCATCGTTTCCTGTGGATCCTTCCTCAAGCCAACCCAGTGATTCAAAGGCATCACGCACCAGGTTGTACAATGTAAGGAATGATTCAACCCACTGGCGTGTGGATGTATAAAGGCCAAGCTTGCCAAGGCCCTAATGGCCGACCAAAAATTATGACCGAGACGATGCCAAGTCCACATCTTTACATTTCACCAGCTATAGCTGCTATATACACGTTGGCCGTGTCATGGAGAGCGGGCAAGAGAGCAGGCCTAGCAGTGAGTCGGCTGACACTTCCATCAAAGTTGATGTCTTCTTGCCAAGTGGACGGCGTGAAACCGTAGCGGTCCCGAAGTCTGGCACCATTGCTGAGTTGAAAATGGCTGCGCAACAACCTTTCAGGCAACGTTTCCTCAGGCTTGGACGTCTTCTAGATCCAACGGATTCTCCTCCGCTTTCTGGGCTTCAACATGGAGACAGCCTTGCTGCTGCAAGATCAGCTCAGGCATGTTCAGCACATATGTGGCACATGCCGTGCTTTTGCTGCCATTTTGAATTTTGGCCGATGGAACTGCAGTGACATGGGGCGATCGACACTTTGGTGGTGACAGTGCCAGAGTCCAAGATCAGTTTATGTACATCTAGGCGCATGTCAGGGCAAAAGAAACAGGTGCTGCCAGCGAATTTGCATTTCTTTCTTGTTCACCATCTGTTGCTTTTCATGACTTTCTCAGACTGTCAAGGGGACTATCCGACTCTACCATTGTCGAACTGGGAACTCATTTTCCAGCTTCTCTATGATGCTGTTTGTATGGACATGGGCCATTTGTCAAGCCATTGGGTGCAGAACTGCTGAACCTTCGGACCAATGGTCCGGGAGAAAGTCATCCTCAGACTATTCCAGCGGCTGGCAATGACCATCCATAAATTTACTGCAGGGCAAACTGTCCTTACTGAGAGGGGTGAACACACCAGCATCCGACAGCATCGAGTGTTCCTTCAATCTTTAGGGATGTTCACGTTTGACCTACACTCTCTTCTATAACTTGTTGGGTTTCAATTGAAGAACAATGTTTTGATGTTTTACATCCTTATATTGAAATATAAGCGTAACATCACAAATAAGTTTATTCTGGCAACATGGGGATGTGAAAGCTGGATCTGTCCGGGCTCAGGGTGGCAAGAAAGATCCTGTTGAGCATCCAACAGGTTGGTAAATATACACCCAACAACAAAAAATCAAAGAAGAATTCATAGATGAATAAGTTAAACATCATTAGATCAGGATTTTTTTCTTTGATCTGCTGAATGATAGTTCCACTTCTATGACATGTTTCATGATGAAAAAAATGTGGGTCGTCCATGGTGCCATGGTCATCCCCCAGGTCGCATGGACGACGAGGGCATGCTACACCTGGCCACGCTGACCATGCTGAATCCCGACGTCCTCTTCGGCATGGCGGAGCGGTTGCTCCCGGTGTCTCGGAGCTGATGGATTTTTCGGGGACGGTGATTTTTCGGCACCCTATTTGGAGGTATAGAAACGAGAACTCCAGGGAAAAAAACGAATAGAAACCATGGTTTTTGATCATTGCTGCTGATGGTTTTTGATGGTTTTTGATGGTTTTTGATGAGTTTTGCCAAAAAAAAAATCACTGATCAGGTGTTTAGGCCCCAAAAACCAACCCCAAATACGCTCTCAGAAGGTGTTTAAAAGTGTAGGGTATGGTTTTTCTATAGGTCCTCCAATTGCAATTATGAGAGGTGAGAGAGGTCCATGATGATATTAAGGCCCAGGATGGAGTATAGAAGAACGATGGGGAGTGACTGGTGATGACGGGAAAATAGACAAGAAGAATGGGGATATTAAATAAATTTAAATATATTTAAATAATATATATATATATATATGTAGAGATTCAAATAATATACGTACATATAATATAACATGATATAACCATAACACAATCACATAATCAGTATAGCAGTGTACCTAAGTTATGCAAAGTCAAACCTACCCATTACATCTCAACCGTGCTTTTTCACTCTGTTTCCTGATAATGGATGCTTCTCAAGAGAATACTTACTGAAGCCTTTTGGTTCGCCATTAAGGACGTTTCTTTTCTACACCCATCAACTCCTTCGATGAGTCTCCTAGATGTCGATTTTCTCAATTCTTGCATACAAAATCCAGCCAATCCGAACAGTGCGAATAAATGTTGATTTCTTTGACGCTGTTGAATAGGTATGCCCTTTGGACACAATTAGATCTGAAGTTTTTTTCACCGTTTTTCACTTGTGTATGGTTTTTGTTCTGCTCCCTACTGTATAAGTTCACAAATTCATGGAAAGCATTGAAGGTAATTCTGAAATGTGTGTCTTACAAAAACCCAGGATGGTGTGGAACAGTTATATAAAATCTCTCTGGAGCACTTGATTGCACTAGCTTTCTCGAAACACTGTCTTGATGAAAGACAGGAGAACATTCCAGCATCTTGTGGTACCAGGTATGACTTGGATTTGCCACGGGTTGGATTAGTTTCCGTACCGAGGACATCCTGCGACGTGCTGAGCACTTCACTGCCTACAGCGTTTCTTGGAAGTCATAGCTGGGCTGACCGTGAGACTTGTATATTCAACGGCCATTTCAGGAACCGATTTATTGGAGGTACCTACCATATAAGGTCTATGTAAGGGGATATACCCACCAAATATGGCCCTGTATGGTACTGAAAATCCCTTTGATTGAATTTGATTGTACTGAAAATCCTTTTGATTGAATTTGATTGAGAAATATATATATATATATAATAGCCGGAGATTTCGGGTTTCCTTGCCAGTGACTGTGCTGATCAACGAAAAGCAGCAAAGCCTCTGCAGCAAACATCTTGAAGTCTCCCAAATGCGTCCGCACTTTCCATTGGATGCTTGCGAATTAAATGCGGGATGTTCCACTATCATGTGCGACTACCAGAGCGTTGGATGTATCAAGTTATGGCAACTTATATATATATATACATATATTGGATGAGGATATATATATATATAATGATGAACCAGCGGATGTGTGGGTTGTTCCAACATGATTAGACAAACCCGGTTCTCCAAACGCTGTTCTCGAGGACAGCAATGACGGAGCGCTCTTTTGGAGCGGCGTGGTGCGATGCCTGCTGTCTGCCGTCACAGGCGGACCCATTTCAAACATGGCTGACTGGCAGATCCCTCAACTAAATGGAGTTGTTGACAGGAAACAATTGGCAGGTCTTCCAGACTGCCATGTTTGATTACCAGAGGGTACCCAATATATCCCAATATTCGATGTTTGATCATCATTTTCTCATGGGGTACATCCATTTTCGTAATTTTTGTATATACATGTGTATATATATATACACACATATATAATTACATGATTATATAATTATATAATTGTTTGAATGCTTCAAAAGAGGTGTGGGCAGACCATGTTAAAATTTAAAATGTCCTCCCATCATGACTAATCTTAAGCCTTTTTGATGTTTTGTTGATGGCTTAGCCGGCTTTGAATAAATAGAGTTGTTGTGTGTAGCTTGAACCTGTGTCCTCATGAAGCTATCGTCCTTTCTGGGAACGTTGGGTCGAGACCGCAGCAAATGAGAACTCAAATGGGGTTGCTTAGTTCTAAGATAGCTATACTGGTTGTTGGTTTCAAACATTTTTTATGTTCCATAATATATGGGATGTCATCCTTACCATTGACTAACCACCAACCAGTACACGTTTTTTCCGTGCATGACTCAAGTTGAGACCCCAACATTGGATAGCGATAGTGGACTGACCCCCTTGGAGCCATAAATTTCAAGCAGCCAGAAGAGTGTTGGTTATGTCGCCATGTTGGTCAAATTGACAGCAATAGTTATTCTTTCAATCCCCATCAAAGAAACCTGGCAGGTGAGCAATTGCCCAGTTGAACTCGGTTGATGGTTCTGTATGGTTCTGTAATGTTATGTGGGCCAATTAATTTTCATAACGCCTCATAGATCATCTATAAATGTCTATAAATGGGTTACGTTTCCATTGCAAGCTGTGTTTACTGCCATGGATCTCCAGGCAACGGTTGCAAGAAGCAGCCCCTTTTGGGGAAGTCGGTGCAGCACCTTGTTGGAAATGGCGTGACGTTACGTTTTCTTCAGGAATTTTGAATCGTTTTGAATGTCACAATCATTGCTTTAGTAATAAAATTATACCACTACAATCACTAGAAGTTGGATTTCGAGCAGCCTGTTTAATTTCAAACGAGGTCCATCATTTTCGCATGTCCAAAGAATGGTGGCTTCACAGCCTGCGAACTCAACGAGGCCACTCTTTTGGGACGGCTACGAGCTGAAGAGGGGCCACGAACGCGGGATGAAGCGCAGGCACAACGGAGATGGGTGACCATCCCCATGGACTTTTTGTTGGGTTGATGGGTGGCACTGGGCTTACGGCATGTTTTGTAGTTGAACTCATTTGCAAGGTACTGATATCGAAGGTTGGGCCGGAAGCAAACATAGTGTCCATGTGTTGAAACACTTGAAACACCTTCGAGGAGATATATGTTTCTTTTTGTTGAATGTGCTGTTGTTGGAACGTTGGTGGCAAATTTTGGCAGGGGAATTTCAAGAAATCCATCAACGTATCTGGATCCATGTCTGGCAAATCATGGATGTTCTTTGGGATTCTTTGAGGAACACTTAAAATTAATAGGAACATTAGGAACATGAAAGGAACAAAAGCTTGAAGGTCTTAGGCCCTACACAGACCTTCTGTTTTTTTTCGTAGCTCCAACATTTTTCGGTCCCCGTTTCATGGCGACCAGGCACTCCTTGGACAGTCGCATCACTGGTGGGCCACGGGTGATGTCGGGACCTGTGAGCCATCTGAGTTCGTTGGTGAACAAACCGCAGATCCCGGGCCGCGCTTCCCAGCAGGGCCAGGGCCATTTTTTGGGCCTGGGGGATGTGGAAACTCTTGAGGAAATGTTGGTAATTTAGAAATTGATCTAGTCAGGTGATGTCAGGTGTTTTTGCTTTAAAGAGAAGAGCCATGGTTATGAAATGTTATGAACTTCACTGATCCCTTGACACTGAGCCAATTTTGGGAGATCCAATTATGGGAAGGCTGAATCTTGTGGAGCTCATCCAGGTCATCAGGCTATCAGGATTACTGGTTGGTGGTGACTGGAACATGGCTTTCATGACTTTCCATATAGTGGGAATCATCATCCCAACTGACGAACTCATATTTTTCAGAGGGGTAGGTTGAAACCACCAACCAGTATATATTACTTACATTTACTTACTATCAAATTCCCAAACGTTTATCCCTTCAAGGGCCTTTCAGTTGCTTTTTTTTGCATCGTCGAGAAAGCGTCGCAGCGTCGATTGAAAGTGATCCACACCAGAAATCTGATTCCGAGGTGATGGATCGGTCGATATCATCGACTGTTCCAACATCGACCAGAGACTTGGGCTGGTGAAGTTTCAGAGGCATTATCAGGTGCTGAATGACCTTGCGAAGTGTACGCTTCTTTTTTCAATTATATAAATTATATACTGTAAATGTTCATTCATGTTCATACATATGCACTTGGGATACATTACCAAGTTCCTGCCTCTTGTTTCATTCTACGTGTTCGAATGCTGCCCCGGCTGCACCTGTGTTGTGAACGTTGGTTGCTTTGTGAGCTTCTTGACTTGTCTCTCTGATTTGGTTCTGATCTAAACATCAAGGAGCACAAGCTGCCACTCTGAAATGGATTCTGAAGAGTTTCAGCACCTTCACCAGTGCTGAGGAATGTGCATGCCTTGCGGCACAACTACTTCATGTTGAACACACAAATGGTTGAGGTGCCAAGCGGGCAACACATGGGACCCAACTTGCGGCCACAAATTTGGACGTTGTAGTGGCCCCCCTCAGCTACAAATGGTGAGATTCACCACCATTCACCGGATATTTTTTTGTGGGTTTTTCCATGGTATTCCAACGTTTGTCCGGCAAAAGCCACGGCTTCACCCATTGCTGGCCGCAGGACGTTTGCGATCTCATAGGGCATCGGCAAAAGGCGCCAAATCGCAGCAGGCTGTGCCAGCACAGTGTCATGGCATGTCATGGCACAGCGGTGGACGGTTGGGGCTCTGGATGGCTCTGGGCTCAAACTTGGGAGCAAGTTTTGGTGGCGTTTAAAGTTCTTTTGTGGATGTGGGGTGAGATTTTTGGGGTTCCAGGTTGCCGTGACTTGCCGTGGTTTGCTAGGATTTATCAAGTGAAATGGGAAAATGCTGGGGGAGCCATTTTGTTAAGCACCGTGACTGAAGGAAACCCGTGGTAAACAGCAGAGAGATGCACGGATACAAACAGCCTTCAAGAATCTTAAAGCATCCTAAAGCTCACCTCATGGTTCGGAATGGCCTTCCGAAAGGAAGCATTGAATTAGGTCCTAAGGGCATTATGGCATGTCACATCACATAACTTCACATAATATCCCTGCAGACTATCATACGAGTTTGCTTTATTTGTGTTCATCTTGAGTTGTGACACAGAGCTTGAGTATTCGAGCACTCAAACTCTTGTAGGAACAAACCACAAGTATTGCGATTCGCGATTCAAAATTGTTTTGTTGATGGTCAACCAGTAGGTCGCAGAATGCCATGCTGTTCCTTCTTGTCAGAAAGACCTGGATAGCATCCAAATGGGATGCTGATCCCTCTTACTAAGCATCGTTGGTGGATATTGCCACGTTCATTATTGCACCAATCCCCGCAAAATACAGGCATATAAAGCCTGAAATGATACTTTAATTTGATAGAATTGAAAAACGAAGCAGCTAGCATCAACTAAGAATTTGTATATTATATATATACGTGTATATATATATATATGTGTGTGTGTGTATTGTCTCTTACTGCTTCCATCGCCATGAAATACACCTATGATACCTCCTAAGCCATGATGGGCGCTTTTTGGCGCGCCGTTCGAAGTCGGAAACGAAAGGTGATGGCAATGTCTTCAGTTTCCTCTCTCCACCATCATTTCTGAAATCCTGAGGGAGGTCCATTCGACTGACCGATGCTTCCCAGATGAGATGTTGAAAGATGTTGAAAGATGTTGAGAGGAAAAATGGGAGAAATCACAGTAGATTGAGAAGGTGCTACGTTTGAAGTGTTTGCAAACGAACATAGTGTAGAATCGGATCAGAATACACGAGATGCCATGTTTATGAACTTTCGAAAATGACGTAACGTAACGACTTTGCTTGCTGAGCACGTTGTTGCAAACTCGCAGACCACTGCAGAAGTCAGAACGGCAAACAGCAAACAATGTTTTGCTATCGCGCTTGCTCTACACCGAATACTTTCAAAGCCAGAGTTGAGACATGTGAGTGCAAGGCGACTGGTTAAAACAGCCCTGCTTTGCGGACTTGTGTGGGTTGAGACTAGACATTGCACAGTTCTATCAGAGGTTCCTATAGATAAAAGTTCATAAAACCTGACAAAAGCTGACAAAACCGCGGTAAACCCAATGGCCCAATGGTAAACCACGACTATTTTATTTGGTTTCGTGATTCAGTCGGCCACATCAACCAGTTTCCCTGTTGTCCCCACAGGTCATGAAGAAGCCGGCCGCGCCGCTTGGCAGATTTGGGATTGGCAAAACCTGGCATTTGAGTCGCAAGTTCATGTCATATGTAGGTTTCCATGAAATATACCATCCAGCTATTGGGCTATGCCCATTTATGGAAACCCCCATATGATCCCATATGTGGTGTTAGAGGGAAAATGACGTTTCTTCGTGTTTTTTTTTAATATGTTTTTATCATGTGTAGAAGTTGGAAAATCCCTATCCAACATATGAACCACCAAAACTTATGTGATCTTATGTGGATTCTTTCTTTTGCTACAAGGGTTAAACGGATAAACATCTTTCGGTGCGGATGACTACCAGCTTCACTCTTGATTTCGTGCAACCGCACCACTCCCTGGAGGAAAGGCAAAGCCAAGGCCAAGGCCAAGGGAAAGGCCGCGGCACCTGTGGAAGAGGAGGCACATCGCCGTTGCAGCTGGGTGAAGCCATGGTTTTTGGTGGGATCTTCGGAGAGTAATCTGCGTCGTCGTTTTCCAGGTGGATGTTTCTCAAAAAACTGGACCCAAAAGAAGGTCTAATTGATGATTTGCTTCTGCTTCTACAATATTAGTATATATGAGTTTTATCGTGTTCTTTTCTGACTGCAAAATATATCCTCATGTTATGCTGATAAAGAAATAGTAGCCTCCCAAATTTTACTATAAAACGGGTGATATAAATCATCAAAATATGGGTGGTTTATGACATTGTTTTCCTAACATTAATGACAATCATTGCTAATCAGTATGATCCATCATTAACCATTATTAATCACTATTAATCAACATGAATCCATGTGGCACTCTTAGAATTCCGAGAATCTTCAGGCGCAGGCAGCGCCCGAGGAGGATCCCAAGGACGAGGAGGAGGTGACATGGGAAATGGATATCCCGATGTGTCATTCCCAAACCATCCGATGAATCAGAGGGATTGATTTGAAATGATTGGTTGATTGAAATACCGGGTTCTTCAAAAAAAAAGCAGCCATCCACAGGAAACCACAGAGATACCTTGCTTACCCCCGCAAGCCCCAACTTCAATGTTGTGATCGGAAGTGCCCAGCTGTTTTTTTTGAAGGCCGCCAAACACAAAATTCAGAAGACAACATTGAATTGGGGGACGGGGGGACATGACCTCTGTGGTGTGGTACAGTACTTCATGGGATGGCTGTTTTTTTTGAAGAACTCGGTATGTTCGGTTGGGATTGACAAATGTTGGGATGGATTTACCAGGCTTTTCAAACAGTCGCGTTTGAAAAGTCACATCCCCTGTGTCTTGCCATTAATTGAATACTATCCACTATGGGTTCTACACTCATCCCAATGTGCAATTATCCGCATTCGGGCATGTCTTCAAATCAATGTTTTCAAGTTCAAGCTCCTAAAGATGACCCCCTACTCAAACTCTTATCTTCAACCTTTCTCACCCCAGACTTCTTTGCCCCTTGGGCCGAGCAGCTCCGGCAGATGCCGCCTGTGCTGAAGAAGCCGGCGGCGAAGATCGCGGAGCCAGATGCAGAGCCGGAGGAAACCAAGGTGCGGAGAGGATTATACTTCAACAATGGCAGTGTTGATTGGAAGAATTGGGTTTATAACCATTGGATTTTCGGAACCTATTTTTGGACAAAGCCATATTTTGGGAGGGGAAGTGGTCTACCATGAGTTGGCCACAAAAATTCAATTTGCATCAATTTGCCTACCATTTTGTTTGAGGATTAATACTCCAAATGGCAACTTTTATCGACATGGGTTGAAGTTGAAAGCATAAAATGTGTAAGTGAAACCACAAAATTAAAGTACTAAACACTGGGTGCATGCCAAAATGTTCGGACCCCAGGCCCCACCTGCTTAGATTGGGAATCAAGTCACAAGTCAAATCTTGAACCAACAAATAGCAGGAGTTTTCCTGCGTGGTGTTAATTTCTGATCCAATTCACCCTCCAGTAAATTAGCACATAGATATGGAGGAAGGAAAAAAAACAAACGAATTTATAGATTCGAATCCCATCCCCCTAACAACATTTATCAACATTTATCAACATACCCTGCGTCTCAAATATGTGGTCTCATGCCCCTATCCAACCATTTGTTCAGATGTTAGGGATGAATTGTCCTATTGATCATAGAATTGGATGGAAAATTTTAACCGGAAAGCCCTATATTTGATGGTAAAAACCATGGTTTCCTGTAGATTTTCCCTTAAACCATGGGATTTCACCATCTCAGGCGGCGCCGGCTCCCAAAGCCAAAGGGAAAGCCAAGGCCAAGGCGAAGGCAGCGGCCAAGGCGGCCGTTGGAACCGCTGAGGGAGAAGATTTTCTATCTTCTATAGTAAGCCAAAAAGAAGATAGAAAAGTAGTTTATCACTATTGTAGTTGGAAAAGGAATATATGTATGTTATATATAATATGTATATAATTACAGATATATATATATACATGTTAATAGATGTAAGTATGTGTATATATATATGTGTATAAGTAGATATAGCTCATGACAGTGGTACAATCCTTGATATAGTGTACTTTTTTATGTGAGGTTGTCACTTGGTTGTGATGTTGTCCCTTATTGTAAACTCAGGTCCCAGATCCTTGTGATATGAACCAGAGAGATAACTAGTGACTAGTGATGGCAAACCGAATTAGAAGATTTGGGTCCAACCAGCATGGCTTCCTCCTTGAAAACCATGGTTGCCTGTCGGTCAACATTTGAGCCTCAGAAAGGCTTATACTGCGCTCCAGCAAGTTGTCCTTTCTATACAGTGTTAACGAGGAAACCGTCATATCGCAGCAGCATCCAAATTCTTCCAGGGCCAACTACCCCATTTTTATGTTTAACTGCCTCAATGTGGTGGAAAATACCCTTTATCATATGGATGCAGTGGAAAACATAATCCCAAAGCTTCCAGGACGAGAAGCCGGCAGAGAAGGAAGTCGAGGACAGACTCCCGAGAGCGCTCCATTGGTGGAACTAGACCCCACTGGGGTTGGAGAGCAAGACCTTGCAGAAGCCATTCTATGTTGGGGTTGGAACCACCCAAAGCTACTATCCATTTTGGTATCCTGCAGGTTTTTTTCCTTGTGCTATCTAGGAAGAAGAGGAGGAGGACGAAGAGGAGGAAGACGAGGAAGATGAGGAAGAGGTGCGTCATGGGTGTTTTTCCAATGTATCAGAAGGATACTTTACAGGGCCGCCACATGTGCTGGGCGTTTGGATTTTGCTCCACTGCACCTTCCCAGCTCAGTGTGTGGCTCAACGTTTATTGATACTTAAACTCAACAGCTGGTTTATCTATAGATTATTATATATATATATATACATAATTGGTGGACCATCAATGTGACCATCAACTCAAGTCACAGATGATCCATATATAGATCATCAACCAAAAACAGCCAAAAATTCAAAATTGATGAATGTAACCGCCATCTAGATAAGTTGAAATCTATATTCCCTAGATAGCACCAAAGTTCCCTGGCCTGGCCCTTGACTTAGCATGCTGCAAGAACTCCTTGAAGGCGGAAGAAGAAGATGCAGAAGATGATGAGGAAGAAGAAGACGAGGATCGGATGGGCTGTATATGGCTGGATAGGTATACAATTAACATGTGTTCATGTATGATAAATTGACTGAATATAATTTAGTTTAATGTATGGCTGGAAGTCCAGCATCAGCTGATTTCATTTGATTCATGTCATTATGTTCCATCCCTTAACGTGAGATGATGATTCATCATTTGGACACATCAATCAAGCACATGTCCGATCATGGTGAGGTTCTTCAAATCCCGTAATGTCTATTCTATGGGTGCAGAAGATGGTAGAATCATCACTTAGCAGTTGATAATTTAACAGATTGGTATGGAAAATCACCATGTACAATAGGTTAATCACGAACTAAATGGGCCATCCATACCACAACTATGTAACAAAATCATCAGCTATTAGCAGTTGGCCACCTTTTCTGACGACACATTCGTCATGTTCAATCTCGCTTGTGTTGCTGCTCTTCTATCGATGTACTTTAAAGTGTGATTCAACTAGGGGCTATCATCAGGGGTTATCCAATACGACATATGATTGTATATACAGTACGTATAGGCATTATATGTACACGTGGATGTATCATTTACACATGTAGATTTCACCAGTTGACCATTGAACATGAGGATTAATCCCTCAAACGTTAGGAATTCACCATGGTTGATTTTGACCGTAAAAATAACAATTGAAAGTATTGATTTCCGACGAAAGACATGGGCTTGGGCTGCATTAGGAGATGGAGGAGGCACCGGTGATGAAGAAGCCGGCAGCGAAGGCGACTGAGAAATCGCTGACCCATTCAATGTCATTAGCTCCATGGCTAGCTGGAAAAGATCCTGTAAATGGAGGTGTTGGTCAGAAAATAATATTTGGCTGGTGGTTTGGAACATTTTTTATTTGTCCATATGTTGGGAATAATCATCCCACCAACCAGATATTAATGAGGATGTTTTTTCGTTGCCATGTTTGATTAGAGAGTGATGGTTCATTGTGTTCCCTCTTATTTGATGGCCTAAGTGTTTCCCAACTGACTTGACAATGGAAGGGCTGAGAGGATAAAAACCCACCAACCCCCGCTGTGGCGCATTTGGTGAGGCATCTGCCAAAGCGAAGGCCAAGGTGCGGCGGCAAATTGCTCAAAACTAGGTGTTGCTACAAATTACCATCTGCTTATTTAACAGTTTGCCATGGAAAATCACCATTTTTAATAGGTAAACCATCTATAAATGGGCCATGTTCCATGGCTATGTTAAATAACCAGAGGGTAGTATCAAGAAAAGTATTATGGTATCAGAATGTGTCGATGGTCGATGTAGATATTTGGTGGTTGTATACTCTAGTTCACTGAATGCACTAAATGTAGAGATTCTGGCCTCTTTTTGGATGTGAGTGGCCACTGCACTTCAAATCCAGGCCAAAGCTACTCCGAAGGCAGCCGTGAAGGCAAAGGCGAAGGCCAAAGCGAAGGCAAAGGCCAAGGCCAAGGCTGTGTCCTCAGGTGGAAGAACTGCCAAATCATGAACTTTTGCATCAGGTTTGACGGAAAGCTCGGTTGGAACCTCTAGATTTGTCTGAAGATAGGGTACTACTAAATCCACGGGTTCATCATCATGTTCCCTATTAGGTTAAATCATGTTAAATCCGCATTTCCAGACATAGCCCTAAGATATCTCATTATAATAAACCCATATTGACAAGGTGATATTCCTATATCCCAATAAATAGATATAAATAGTCCCATAAAAAGCAGTCCAGGCAGTGGCAAAGACCAAGGCAGGGCGGCAGGACCCAGCTGATTGTGGATAGGATCATGAACCGACTTTGGGGGTTACCCTGATGTTGGTTATATAGTGGTTTGTGTTTATGGCTTATAAACCATCGACTTTTTTTGGGAAATATGGATTGATTGTTTGTATTTTTGGATAAACCATGATAGTCCCAAATAGATATCAGATAGAGGTCAGATGGAAAAGGTCTTCGGCCTTGCCTAACACAAGGAGAACCTGTTTCAAGCCCGGCTTTCTGTTATGCTTTTGTTCTTGAAGCATTCACTTTGAACGGCTTGAACGAACTGTACTCATATGCATTCATACATAGTGTGTGTGTATTATATATATATACGTATATAGGACAGTACAAATCATACACAAATGATATGGAGACGGTACAGGCTCAGTGCAAATCTATTGCCTCATGCGTTGCAGACCGCCATTGCCAGGTTTTGAAAAGACCAGCTGCCCGGAAGTGAGGACAGCACATCCTTTTTTTGACTAATTTGATCTAATTTGGCTGTGTCTGAAGTAGCCCCAAAATCCCAGATTGGCCCATGGTAACAGGAAAAATGATGAAAAATGATGATAAAACATCAACTTTGGAGGGTAGCCTATTTTGGGACAAACCCTTAAGAGCCAAGTGTTTTTGGATCTGCCAGGAGCGATCCATGAAAATTGGGGTGAGCGACCCGGGACAGTGCCCGACACTGTGGAGTGATCGCTGGCTGGTCCTTGGAGAAACCGTTGATATAGATTGATATAGAACAACAATGAACAACAGAAATGTGGAGATAGAACTTGGAGTAGATAGAGTCCCTGATGGTTCCATTACCTTATGGTTCCATTACCTGATGGTTCCACTTGCTGTTTTTTTTTCAGATTCTACCTAGTCCTGGATGATCCTGGATGGGTATTGATCGGTTCCGTGTATGCACAAGCACAATTTTGGAATTCCCATATACAACAAATTGTGCCCAGAAGCATGATTCAATGAATGGGCAAGAACAAAGACACCAGCTGTACTGATCATCTGATCATCTGATCCATCTTTCCGCTGTGCAAGTTGATTGCGGCATAGCAAGATAGAGCAATTCCACCAGTGAACGGAGGCTCCAAGATTTCTTAGAAGCTGGGACGGGAAAGCTGCCCTAGCAGGGAATGAATGCGCAGGTGTGGGATCTTTCTGCACAATGATGTTTGGCATACTCACTACATCATGCAAAACATGTTTCTCGACCAATGTCAGTACCGAGTATTTGCCAATTACTGTAAGGCCATTGCAGGATCATGGAATCATGCAGGATCAATGTCACTAATTCCTCATTTGTTTTCTTTTTGTGATGCTGAAGGCATTGCAAGCAGAAAGTGTGTAGCCTGCGCATTGCTGACTACGTGGCCTCTCAAGACGGCGGCCCTGGAGATCTGTAGGTCCATTCTGATGGTCATTGGGTTGATCTAAAGGCAGAAATCTGAGAGGAAACAGTAGAATAGTAGATAGCAGCATCTCGAGCATTCAGACAATCCAGACATCTTGGGTTTTCAATTTCCCTCAACCCAACCCGGTAGTTGGAACATGGTCATTCCCTCCTCGCTGAGCAACGCATCTTCTCGGCGGAGCGGGGGAAAGACGTGAGGTTTAGCCAGATGGCAAGCGAGCAGCGACCAAAAAGGGCGATCCTGAAAGCTGGTTGATGGTTGGTGCAATTAATACTAATTAATTCAGAGCTCACTGCAACATGATTGCAAAAGATTGCAAAGAAGTACAGTGGTCCAGTAAACATATTTAAAAAATTAAGAATAATGATTGGTCTATCTCCAACTCCATGCCCATGTCAAGTACTACTTCACCCAATTACTGTGGACGTGTTTGTTGTACCTTAAAACAGCCAGCCATTTGGTCTTGTCGACCCAGCAAAAATGAAGGGGAAGTTTAGAAATTTTGGGAACATTGGGAATGCTTCCATCAACATCATCAACTCCGTTCAACTCCCATCCAGATCATCCAGTTGATTGTGGGAAGTGTTCCTTGCCCAAGGGTCGAATCTGCATGAGACAACTTCTGGACCTGCAGGGCCAAGCGGGCTCGGAAAGCTCTTGGAACTATGAACTCAAAAGATCTCAGAGTGTCAAACTTGGGCCCCGCAAAAATCCGAAATCCAGCTTGGTCTAAGTCAGTAAGTCAGCAGAAAATCTCACAGGTTTCGGATTGATGCATATGCTCCTCAACACCATTGAGTACTGGAGATATCAGTAGATATCATGTATATCAAAAAAACAAAACTACATGAGGGTGTGCGTCAAGATTGGTTTTGAATTAATTGGCCAAACAACGCCTGCCTTCCAACAAAAATACACGACATTTTGGGATGTCGAGGCCGACATTTCTTTTGGTAACAAAGGGCTTTTGCCTGGGAAGTGCCGGGGCTTGAAACTTCAGGGTGCCACCCACGCTCCTCATGTGTACATAGAACGTCCCATGGTGGCCACCAAAGGGCACGAGACTCAAGAGCCAGTGCATGCACAGAGTGGTTGCCGTCGGTGTCCAGTATTCAGAGGGTCCATATTTTTCCATATTCCGAATCAACAAATGGGGAGCCAAAGACATACTTTTGTTGAGTTTCCTGACCAAATAAATTTTGAGTGCAAAACACTTTGTATTGAGGTTTTGTATCAGGAGTTGAGCCGGTCACCAGCATGACGCCTTGCCTGGAATCCAGAATTATCCAATCAGAATCCGTGGATTCCAGGCTGAACTTATCAGCGCTGCGGCGCGTCCGGGGACTTTGGAAGGAGGTGCCGAGCGATCCGTGGGCGACTGGGAATCCGGTGGGTTGTCATCATCTTTTCCCATGAAAATGAATGAAAATGGGGGTGTATCAAAATTGTATACCTTGAATTAATCAGACACACACTTTTTTTGCTAGGGTCCGTAATGCTCAAGATACCGGTAAATTAGGTTTGTGTAGGAGTTGGATTCCATACTTCGTATCAGTTTTGTTTAGAATCATTAAATCAAAGCAAATCAGTAATCAGCAAGTTCCATGAGCAAGTTCCATCAGGCGAATCATCAGGTAAATCAACACCTTTCATCATGAAAATCCATCATATTCAGTTCCATCATATTATAATAGTCCATTCCGTTCCATCATGTTTCCATTATGCTCCATTCAGCTCCATCATATTCCATTCAGTTCCAACATGTTCCATTCAGTTCCAACATCATCATAATTCTTCTTCAAAATCTTATTCCATATTCACTTTTTTTCAAAAACGACATCATTTATCATCAAAATCCATCAGGCAAATCATAAACATTCATGAAAATCCATTTCATATTCAATTATTCAATTACCCACTTCATATTCAGTTCATGTTCAGGTCCATTTTCCATTCAGTGAATCATTGAGCGCTTCACAGTTCCATTCCTCCAGGAGCTTCAATCGGTGACCTTGACTGAACTCTGGGGCGGCCAAACTGCTGAGCGAGACGAGGCGGTGGCGATTTTTTTTCTGGTGAAGATGGATGAATTTCCCATGGATTTCCAGTGAGTTTCCACTGATGTAACCAGTGGTTTTCGCCTGGTTTCTTGTGGCTTTCCTGTTGATGGGGGGGTTCTGGGTGGTTTCAGCTCCCACCTGCAGGGTTGATGCGATATACTGGAGATATAATGACACTGATAATGGCTATGTTGTTGCATCAATCAAAATAGGATGAAATATTTACATATATGTTACACATAATCATATAATACACAGCATATAATATACGTATATAATATATATATATATGCAAGTGTATATATATATATTAGTAGTATAGTTCGATATACGCATAAAATAATATGTTCAAAAACAAGATGTGATGTCGAAAAAATTGCACCTCAGAAGTTTAGGCCGGTTGCCTCCACCTGGCGCGGCAGACTCAATACCAGCTGAAGGTGCCCTTTTGTTCGCGACATCATGGTGAAAGATTCCCAAGTTGACATGGTTACCCATAGGATCCATGGTGCTGCTATATATGGTAACATGGATCCCATCAATATACCCCCAATGTTAGTATATATACCATACATGGATCCTATGGGTTAGTGAATTGTTAGTGATATATCTCAGCAAATACTCTCCAGTAAACTGATAAAAATAGCTATGACATGGACCACAGAAATAGGTGATTTACCTATTCAAATAGTGATTTTCCATAGCTATCTTAGTTTACCAGAGGGTATCCCATAAAAGATCTGATTTCACTACTGTAATTACAGTTAAAATATCCCATAAAAGATTACTGTTCTGTTAGTGTTCAGCCAGCCAGTTGGGATCCGCCATCCCAAATGGATCCCGTATTGCTTTGAGAGGTTTTACGAAGCAAAAAATGGGTGGTATTGGTATTTTACTAACATGAAATATCTGTATGAAGTTGGTGATATTCCAATACTAATGCCTAGTAAATCTCTAAAAATAGTCTGGTATCCTCATCATTCTGAATCACTAACCATCATTAATCATAACATATACACAGGCCATGTCCCATGTTGGTGGAAATCCGGCATTCGATTGCCAGGTGCGCATGGGTCATCGGCTCCAAGACTTCCTGTTCCTGCCCTACAAGGTACAGCCCCACTGCAGACAGAAAAAGACACAGAGGCATGGCACCATAGAAATACACAGAAGATACAATCATGAATGTAATGAAACATACACTGTAAAAAAAATTGCAGTCTATACATATCTAGTTATGTATATATAGAGATATTTAATATATGATCTATATCAATCGATATTATTTATTATATATATATGTGTGTGTTATACACAGTAGGTATAGTATGTATACTGTATACTAAGTGAAAGCCTGGTGGGCCAGGCCATGGCGGATCCGGCTGTGCGAACCTTGTACAGCAAGTATGTCAATGCCTACACCATCCATGAGGAGATCCGTTGGAATTTTTTCCGGAAAACACATGGGAAAACCTTGGAAAATTTGAGGGAAAACCATGGGGAAAACCATGGGGAAAACCATGGAAACGCCCCAGGATCTTGTTAAAACCATGGAAACGCCCCAGGATCTCAGAAAAACAAGTCATGTTTATCATGGTTTATGAAAGTTTTTGGCCATGAATTGGGGTAAATCATGTTAAATCCCCCTTTCTGAGACAAGACCCGCCTGTTGATCATGTCGCATCTTGAGATATGCCCCTCTTTTGGGAGGGTGAAGCATGATTTCAGGGTTCCTACATTCCAGCTCAGATAGCAAATCATCCATCGAAACGTCGGGTGGTCTCAGCTTTTTGAACCTCTCTGACTAAGGGGGCAAAATCCTGGCCAAATCCTGGCCAAATCCTGGCCCACGTTCAGGTGGAGCCATAGATCAAAGTTTAAGATTCTGACCAGATGTGAACAAAACCTTGTGGAAGAACCATGAAGAACCATCCAACTGGCCGTTTTATATATGTTGAAATGGCGAAAAAAACAGAAGATTTCCCATGAAACCTCCGATGTCCAGCTCCTCCTTCCAGGACTTCGACGATTTGAGACGGCCTGAAGATGTTGCAAAGTGCCCCCCCAGTGGATCATATGGTAAACCCAATGCCATAAACATCATAAACCATCCCCACTATCACTATACTGTACGGTGGTCAAAATATGTCAAAATCATCCCCAAATCGTAGCTTTATAAAATTGGCTTTTACATGGTTTTACCACATTATCAGATTTTGTTTAACATATTAGAAAGGATGTCGATGATGACGAAAATGAGATCGATGAATCTGAATGATATAACATTGTAGTCTATAACTGGTTGGTGGTTTGGAACATGTTTTATTGTTCCATAATATATGGGATAATCCTTCCCAACTGACTTTCATATTTTTCGGGGTAGGTCAACCACCAACCAGTCATTCATAGCGGATGACTGTCACGGCAATGATCAGATCCCATGGCAGTCTGACTGCCTCCTGAATCCACGCTGAGTCGCCATGGCAATGGCCCTTGCAGGTACTGGGTGGCCCTTGCTGAGATCTTTGAAGAGAATCAAAACGCTGGGGATTTAGCCAGGGCTGGGGGGGATTGGTGCTGCTCGCAGCTTGAGCTATGAACAAGAGTAAGTAGTACAGGGTTGCTCCAACATGCTCCAACCATCTCCAACCTATGGTATAGGTAAATCATTGGAACATATTGGTACAGTGCTGCTTTTACCTCTATAGTTTGCCAATTCGATTTCCTGTTGGCCCCATTCCTTTGCTGTTGATTCAACCAGCAAGTGGAAAATGTTGACATCCGAATCATCCGAAAACATGTCGTTGTAAGATATTGCGTCTGCAGGAAACCTCTGTAATGTTGATGGTGAAAATCAATGAAAATCATGCAAAAACCATGGATGACCCATCATTTTTGATGCCAAAAATCAGGCAGAAACCATGGAACATCATGCGAGAACCATGAGTTTTCCTCGATTTATTTATAGACTGCCATCCCCCAAACTGACATGCACAGGGTCGAACTGTTAGTTGGGGGCATGCTAAATCACCTGTTTGCTTTGAGTTATGTCGCCAGTATTGTTGGTGCAACCACCATGTTTGATGCATAAAGACTCATTTTAAAAGAGCCCACGTTTCCAAAATTAGGTCCCTTCCCACAATCCATACAATATAATTATAATATATACATACATGTATATTATATATTCATATATAGTCTGTATATATATATATATATTATACAGATATTGTTAGTTGTGGGGGGATGAAAACATCTCAACACCATCTGGGTTTCTCCGCGTTTCGCGTTTAAGGTGACCTCCCTCCTGGGCATGGCCAGGCGGAGAATCATCCGATTGGATCCGGGTCAGCCCCGAGGGCGCCGTGGGAAGTGATGGGAGGTACCTGGGTAAAATGGTAAACTGATGGTAACATGATGGTATATTGCTGATAAATATATATATATGTATATATATATATATTATTATACTATATTATACATATATATATTATATATTATATTATATATATATATTAAATTATATATATATATTATACATATATATATATATTGATGGTAAAATGATGGTATTATGGATGTATCATGTCAATACATGTTACCATTATTGAATATTATTGATGTACATATATTGACATGATAAACCATGACTATTTTTGGGATTAAACTGAATTAATGATGAATTGCATATGAGATTCGAAGATGTTTTTTTTCACCATTATTTTCTCAGTTTTTGGGGGGCGAGATGTCAATGATTGAAGATGATCCATGAAAACATTGCGACCTGCAGAAAAATCAGGTTTGGCCCCGACCTTTGACAACTTCGTCTCCAGTTTCTTGGTGGGGGAGCTTGGTGATGCTATCTTATTGATCTATATGTATATATATGTATATATATATATTATGTGTGGTTGAATGTCGGAAAACGGTCGGTCAAAACATGTTTCAAATGGCACAGAAACATCAGAAACCACGTTGCGAATCCAGCATCTATCTACAGCATCCAGCACCGAGGTGTCGCGGATTGGGACGCACTTGCTGGGTTCGGCATTCTTTCAACAGGCTGACCCCTTGGATCTGGTGTTTCTGGTGTTCGTGGTGCTGTGCAAGTTTGCAAACATTAATTAGTCTTACAGTCTTACATGAATCATACTAGGCAAATTACTGTATATATCGGAATTGTATCAGATATACCATGATATAATTACATGAACATCATATATATATACATATACATATACATATATTAATATATATATATCATTCTTATTTATGTCATCATGAAACTTCGGTGGCAACGGGTGCGGCAGGTGCCGACGCCTTCAGGGGGAAAGAAACCCGCAGGCCGGTCGGTCCAGTTCGGGGATGGGCCCAGTTCGATATGGAACCAATGGAACCAATGTTTACCCTCTGGTAAATTAACATAGACCCTGAAAATCACCAATGTTTAGAGGAAACTAATCTTCCAACCCCTATCTGCCAGGGTCTATGTTAATTTACCAGAGGGAAATGATGGATATCCAATTAACAATGATTTGATATATAACCAAGAATAATGTTATAATGATTTTAATGGTTATGTATCAAATGTTATCCAATTGAATTATGGATATCAATCATCAATATCTATGGATATCCCTATGGATATCGATATCAACTATTGTATTGATAATGATTTAAAAAATGAGAACATATATATACATATATGAACTAATTAATTATCCATGGCCGATATCCCAAGCAAGTGTTATTTTGTCGATACTGGTATCGACTATTAGTTTATCCATATTAAAATGGATATCCATGTGATCGATAGTCATAATATGTATATATACATATATATATATATGTATCAATTTAACTACTAGTCATAGTTATGTGCCCATAGTGTGCCAATACTATCAATACCTGTATATATTATCTATAGAGATACGCACATAGATAATCCATAATGGCAATACGAATTATATCATCCAATATCATCCAATAGTCAGTATCCACAGAACTGGACCATGGAAGGTGCAGCAAGCCATTGACGCCGAACTATGGGACCGTGATCGAGGGATTTGCTGGTGATTTCTTTAATATGTTGGAAGGTTTCATCACCAAAATGGGTCGCAAATGAATGTGTATCTATACAACAAAGTCGTCATGTTCCATCCCTAGAAATGGAACCATGGTCGCAAGCTGAAAACTGAAAATGGACATTCAGATTCCCGTGGAACACCTGGACAAAGGTGTGGCCATGGGTGTACTGCAACCGACCAGCTGGAGCGCCCAGTGAGCTGGTTTACCAGGCATAAAATCACCATAAATGGGAGTACCCCAATAGCTGGATGGTTTCTTGGCTGGAAAAACCTCTGAAAATGGATGATTTAGGAGTACCCCCATTTTAGGAAACCCGCAGATGGATATATAATATATGATGATACGAATTTAGTTAATCCATTCTCCATGATAATTTATGTAAGTCAATATATTCCAATAATATTGGTGAATTCTATCAATTAATCAATACCTGGTGATATGGTTGGAATATATATATATACACATAGGAGATACAACGGGACAATGACTATCGATATAGTAGCTTTTAACGACCTCACTGACCGACCATGTATGACCATATTCATGTGCCATGGTCAAAATTGGGCACATGGTCCCCAAAATCATGGAGGACTGGTTTCCGATCACCGGAATTTGATCCACAGTTCTCCACCAGGATGAAATCGACAAACAATGGGAAGAATCAGGAATATGATAGCTCCACTAGAACAACATGGCAATGAAAATCCCAAGTTTTGGAAAGTTTGTTGTGAATTTGGATGTTCCAACCAGGCAGGATGCTTTGTTACTGTGGAAAAAACAAACAACGACTGGTGATTCTGTTCTATATCCATTTTATTTAAATATGGTTATGCTTCAAAGCCTTCAAACGGTACCCTGGTGAGTTTACACCTCAAAACAGCTGGTATCACGTTTCATTGACCAGGTCCAGCGAGTTTACTGGGAGCTTTGGTGCTGCTGGCATAGCTTACCGCTAGGTTGGTCTTAAAATGCAGCGGGATACTCCACAAATATAATTTCACTGGATGAATTTGGGAGTTCCAAATTTTGAGACAACTCCAGGTAAGATTGTTGTTTGACTCCCTGATGATTGTAGGAGTCTCTGATGCAAAACTTGTAGGGGGATGTTTATTTCGGTCAGGGACAGTGGACGACTGTATGACTAAGCCAAGAGCTTTTGCCACAAAACCTATGGGGATTCTGGTTGCTACACGCTGCCACATTTGGTTGGAAGTACAGCTGCATGCGTATGTTCATCAAGTTGGCGGTAAAGCATGAGAAACAAAAAGTGCCCTACCTTGAAATCACTAAAGAAAAGATTGTTTAGTCAATCGCCCACATCCACTGCAGATCCAACTGCCAGGTGGAATCATTCAAGGGTCAGCACCCAGAGTTCGCAGTGCCGGTTGACATCCAGGCACCGGAGCTGTGTCAGATATTAGTCATGTGGTCCTAAGAATAAACCTACCATTTGGGGAGGTCTTATACCAGCTGTTTATGGTCATATTGGGTATAGTTTATGGCATTGTGTTGACCACATTCTTGGGGCTGCTAGAAAGACAATATATAATAATAATATATAATAGTAATATATCATAGTAATATATAATATTAATATATTATAGTAATATATAATAGTAATATATAATATTAATAGTTTTTTTTCTAGCATTTTGATGATGCGTTACTTGTCGATCTTTTTGAAGGAGCCAAATTTCGCCATTCTTGTGGATCCTGATCTAGCTGCAATGATCATCCAACAAACCGAGTCGTTGGTTTCGCGACCCAAGGGCAACACCGAAACCTCGATCCTCTACATCCCTGGACACCTTCGTGGCATTTTGCGGGAGTCTCTTGGCGCTTTGGCGCTGCTGGCTAGGTCATGAGATGTCATGAGGATCAGATGACTGGGGGCAGCTACGGTCGTCCTTCAGATAAGCTGATCATGATCATCGAAGCGTATCGAAACGCTTTGGGGTGCAAAGTGTTGCATGTTCTTTTCCTTCAATTGAAGGGATTGAAGGGGTTCAAGTTTCGGTTGAATTTTGAAATGCCTGCAGGTATCCCATACATGCCATACAGGCCAGCTGTTGTTCCAGCATCTCAACTGTCCAGCTGGACCTGGGATCTCACCCGAGGGTCCTTCACAACGCTATGAGGGAGACTGCCAGCAATGCAGAGGCCTGGAAGGCTTCAGTTCCAATGGGGATGATTGAAGCAACAATGTTAGCAACAAAAATGGTGATCCTACCGGGCAAAGTATTGGAATTTGAAGATCTTTAAGCCACCCAACAAAGGCTGGGAATGGTTGTCTCTGCAGCTCCCTCGGCTGAAGGTCTGGGAGTGGAGCCAGGCGTTGGAGGATCTACAGATCCGCTGAATAACGCCGAAGACCATCGACAAAGACCATAGAATACCCAAGAACCCTGCGGAAGCCATGAATGTGTCTACTTAGTCCAGTTGGTAGTTTCACGTGTTTCCATATGTCAAAATGTTTTCCACAAGAAGATGATGACCTACACATTTTCTGATAATTTGTGGCTGAACCACCAACCAATCTGTCCGAGCCCGGCACGACGCCATGGGGCACCCACGGGGACCAAGATGTCCATGGCAACCTTGGGGGCCGCTCGTAGAATACGCGTGGGAGCCTTGACTGCATGGCTTGAGATGATTTTGATGTGTACAAAATGGGGGTACCATGGGGTACCGGGATACCTATAAAATTGCAGTTTGAGTGGGGAAAAAAGGTGATTTCCCGTGGGATTTGAGGGTTATCCTATTTTCAGATAAACACAGAGAACATGATAATGTTGCAGAATCTTTAGAAATGATGATTTCCCCTATTTTGGAGCTATACTTACATGCTTTCGAAAGGTTTTAAAGTGTACCATTGTCATTGAAAAACTAAATTTCTTCGCCGGGTGAACCCAAGACCAGCCACGCTCCAACGGTTGGAACTGGAACCAACCATTGCACTGAGAATGGAGCGGAGACGATACCTTCCAGTGCTATCAGCAGCCAACCGAGAAGACCATTTTGAATGGGGAGCTCTTCAAAGAAAAGGCCTGGGAAGGGCCAGAAGGATGGGGAGAGATTGGAGGGACGAAGGTTATTGAACAGCATGACTGGAGGTGATTCTGGAATATTCTGGATGGATGTTGGCAGTTGGTGAATAAAACATGGCCAGCCCAACCAGTCAAAGGCGTTTGGCAGATCCCGGTCGATTATGGATACTTCTGCTGCGCGTGTTAGTTTCAAAAATTGGCTATACCTCAAAATCACAATTTCAATAGCGAAAACGAGATTGCTTTATATCAGTATCCCTAATTTCAATTATTTTCGGACTTCCCCATGTTGTGGAAACCCACCAACAAGCCGCAGCCACTGCTGTGAAATGAACCCCTCAGCCACCGTGTGACAGGAGCGGGTTTTTCTCAAGAGGACTCTGAGGTCGTGAGACAGGGCCTGGGAACGGGGAGATGATACCAACAGACAGGCACATGTTTCAGGGTTGAAACCGCCAGCTAGGAAATTGAGGTTCAAGTGTTTAGGGAATTGCAATGAATTATTAGATATATACATACATCTGTTGATGATTGTTGAAACATATCATTTTTAGACTGAAAAGATGGAATTTGAAGACATTCGAGGATTAGACTGAGTCATTTGTGAGACTTTCTTTTTGGACCCTGCTTCAGAGCGCAGGTTGCACAACGTGTCCTTTCCCATCGGCCACGACCGAACGGTGCAGATCGAGTTGAAGAGTTTCTGGCAGCCGGAAGCCTGACAGGAAGCCAAAGGGCTGAATGCCATTAGCAAAACACGTGAGATGACTTGGGTGGTTGGTAATGTATAGTAATATATAGTAATGTATACTAATGTGGTAAACCCAAACCTGGACACGACCTGAGCCCCAAACCATTCGGTTTAGCTGAGGAAGCCTTGAGATTGGATGGCTGCTTGGATGGGCGTTTCAGGATGGTTGGTGGAGGACCTCAAAAATGGGATCAAATGGGGATGTCCATAATTTAGAGGTACCCAAAAACATCCCAAGACATTCTAAAACCAGTGATGATTCTACAATAAATGCCATGTTAGCCATGTTGAACCATTTTGAGCGGATTTGAGGGCCACCCAATTTAAGAACATTTGTGAGATTGAGATCCGTTCCTCCCACAACGCAGATAGTCGCAGCACTCAGGCAGAGAGTCACGAGGAGGAAAGTTTGTGACGCTTTTGTCAGATCAACGACCTCCGATCAAAGATGCCTTTGCTTGGATCAAGATCCTTGCCTGGTTGGAATGGCACGGTATCTGAATGGAGATAGCCCCCCCGATTCGAAACGGATGCTGTATTCAGCATTTGTGTGTCCTGCAATCATGTATTATAGCACCCCCACAAGGATAGGAAAGTAATTTAACAATATTTAACATCATTTTAGTAGGAGTGTGCTTTCCTATCATTTTGTGACTTACTGGGGTGTACCGCTTTGGGTTCATGCTCATCGGTCAGTATCATCCATGTCAATACTCAGCCATGCTCTCGGGTCAAGGTACCTCATGGTCACCTGAGTTTTGATTGCTGATTTGATAATCCCCAGTTTGGTTAGTTTGGTTGGTGAATCTCCCCATTCTTGTTGATTCCGTAGCATTGGTGTTGTTTGGAGCTATATTGGTCAGTACTTCGACTGAAACATACCCAAAGCATCTTGAACTAAAGCTATATGTTTGGATAGCTACTTATCACCCCCACCTTCCCTCCAAGACCCTCTGGTTTGTTGGTGGTTTCAATGTTTTGAATTTCTCCCTATTTGGGATGACAATCCAACATGACTTTGTCTCAGGAAAAGAAAAATCAGAAACCATACATGCCCTACTAGTATTTATAAATGGCCATAGATTCTGGCTCAAGAACCTTCATGTTTTTCCCAACTGCCAGGTGAGGGTCTCTAGATTTTAACAAAGGTGCAACTCTAACCCTCACTCACTCACCCACGCACGCACACACTCACTCAGTCACTCAGTCACTCAGTCACTCAGTCAGTCACTCAGTCACTCAGTCAGTCGCTCAGTCACTCAGTCACTCAGTCACTCAGTCAGTCACTCAGTCACCCAGTCAGTCACCCAGTCAGTCACTCAGTAAGTCACTCACTCAGTCAGTCACTCAGTCACTCAGTCAGTCACTCAGTCAGTCACTCAGTCACTCAGTCACTTCAGTCACTCAGTCACTCAGTCACTCAGTAAGTCACTCAGTCAGTCACTCAGTCACTCAGTCAGTCACTCAGTCAGTCACTCAGTCAGTCACTCAGTCACTCAGTCAGTCACTCAGTCAGTCACTCAGTCACTCAGTCACTCAGTCAGTCACTCAGTCACTCAGTCAGTCACTCAGTCACTCAGTCACTCAGTCAGTCACTCAGTCACTCAGTCACTTCAGTCACTCAGTCACTCAGTCAGTCACTCAGTCACCCACTTCTTCACTCCTTCACTCCTGCCTTCACTCCTGCCTTCACTCCTTCGCTCTCGCCGGATGCAGTGGAGCGCGCCCGGACCTGAACTCCAAATCACCAAAATGATGCCAGAGATATTGCCGGACAGAATGCCAGAACGAATGTCAGAATATATACCACGGTGGGTCACTCGAAGTAAAGTAATTGACAAACCCAGATATCATATTGGCATTGTATTCGAGACAATTGACAATATCTCATTATGGTGGCTCTCCCCCTGATTCTTGTTGGTCATCACCCCAAACTCCTGGGGGAACCATGTCTGAGTGAAAGTGAAACAGCTCTGGCATTATATTCCCAGATTGTTGGCTATATAAAGCTACGTATGGCTCAGCAAAGATCCCCAGTAAACATCCCCATATTCTGGTTGCTACTCAATGTGGGCTATGGGGTTGTCCAAAAACAGTGGCAAAAAGACACGCATGATGGCTATTTGAATGTGGAAATGATGTTTGATTAAACCAGTTGACTCTACACGGTTTCCCTTGAAATTTTCACGAACTTATATTGAAGATGTTTAAAAACCCCAATCTTTCCAGGAAAAAATCCTTAATTCCCGGGGCGCCGCTGGGCATATCCCCATGAAATCGAGGTTGGTGCAGCCCTTGTATAAGCGCGGTTTCTCCGTGGTGTTGCTGGATTTGCCGGGCAGCGGAGGGAGCGGCCTCAACACCAACACGGAGGTGGACGGAGGATGTGTTTTTTCGGCCGAAACAACAGGGAGTTCCCTGCAAAATTGGGATGTAATCATGAAAACTTGGAAATGAACCATCCAAGATCAGGATTTGAAGGTCTTAAAATGTGGTGAACCCTTTTTAAGAACCTTTTTAAGGATAATTTTAAGACGAAATTTGGAAGCTACTGTGAACTATCCCAAAATGGTTGGTCAAGTCCCCCTAAGTGGGAACATAATAAGAATTTCTGAGCTGAAGATGATTTTGAATCTTGAGATCCAGGTGCCCTATGAGGACTGGGAGGAGGAGGATTTCCGGATTGTGGAAAATGCATTGCGTCTCTTGGCTTCCCGAAAAACCCCTGATTGTTCCCCCATGAAAGTTGGCAGACTGGGAGAGATCCCCAACTTTTGCACCCCATTTGATGGGGGATGCAGCACCATGACAATCGACTGGTGAAGAGCAGGTCAATCGGTTCATTTTTCGCCACTCATTGTGGGTTAGGTAGTCATGAACAAGTATACTGAGACATGTCACCGCGAAGATTGTGGCATGTGACCTATACGGCTGACCTCACCATAGACCTCCCATGAAAAAAGCCTGGGAAGATGATTTTCCTGTTGGATATGGCCATGTATGGGTTTCATGTTATAAATTTAGGGGCTGTAAATGCTGGTGAATGTTGTAGAACATCCGTAGAACATCAATCAGATCTGGTTGGTGGTTTGGAACAGTTTTTTTTCCATATATTATGGGAATAAGAATCCCAACTGACTTTCATATTTTTCAGAGGGGTAGGTCAACCACCAGCCAGATAGCCTGTTGCTCACACGTTGTTCCAACGACCTCGAATTTGGCCAGCCGACCTTGGCCGACGTGTCCCGTGGTTTTTCATTCCTGTTGGAGATCGGGATGAGGGGGTGCAGTTCCATGAGTGGTTATGTAACCCAAGTTCTAGTAACGGGGATATCCTATAGATTCCTATAGATTCCTATAGTATATATATATATATCCCAGTTTTCTATATAACCCATATATCCCAAGCCATTTCTCATGGGGCTTTGCCATGTCTATATCCTAATCCCCGTTCGAAATCCCGTTCGAAGTCATCCCTGAGGCGGACTGCAGGTGAAGCGAACTCATCTCATTGTTGCTGAGCTTCGAAGCGCAACCAACGTGGGGGTTAGCCTGTATGAATGGAGAGTATTTTTGGTGATAAAAAAATGGCCTTGTCAAAGTCCCAGGTTTAGAGTTCTCATGATTGACCTTTTGACCTTTTGCTATTTTTTGATAGATATTTTTAAGGGGTTGATAATTGCATGTTCATACCTCGGACGGACCCAAAGGACGAAACAATCGGCCTCAGGTCGGAGGATGTGAAAACAGGAAAGCTCTGATTTTTAGCCATGGGGGTACCCCAATAGCTGGATGGTTTATTGGCTGGAAAATCCCAATCGAAAATGGATGAGAACTGGGGGTAGCCCCATTTTAGGAAGCCTCCAAATAAAAATATAGCGATTAGTATGTAGCCATTGCGCATTTGCAAGCATTTGCCCTCCTCCCATACAATTCCATTGGTTTTTCAGTGGAAATCAAGAACCATCCAACTCTCGACGAGGCCTTTGGACGATCCTCTCGCATCATCTTGAAATTTGCCAAGAACACCCACATCAATGGCTTTTCTACTTTCCTGGTGACTGGGCGGAAAACTTTGAGATGTGGTTTACAAAATCCGAACATTGGATGGGTCGTTGCCAAGCAGGATGATCAGTACTGTGGAATTCTGTACCGTTTTGTTGTTGAATTGTGGTCACACTTTTTTGGAAACCATCGCCAGTGTCGCCCAGGAGAGAGAACATTGCTGGTATCAACCTGACATTGACTTCTTTGCGTCTAAGCTGCCTAGACGTGATTGGAGGAGCCTTAGAGAATTTAGATACCCTTAATGTATGGACTACTCCCATGCTCCTCAGGTTAAACATTCCCCTAAATAGTTCCAATTGTGTCACAGTTGTGTCACAATCCTAGAAATAAAATACCCTACTACACCATGATTTATGACGGATCACCCACCCTGCTGAGGCACTCTTCCACAACGAGGTGCCTGGGTTAAAGTTGGATTTCCCAGATCATCCAAGTATGTTACATCTACATACATCTATGTTCTTTACATGATTTACATGCTTTGGATTGTTTATTATCAGGATTTCCCAGGTTAGCATCACTGACATGTTCTATATACGTCTATTATATACAATGATTTACCTGATGTTTACCTGCATAAGTACCATTCTTTGCCAAGGCTATATTGATCAATAGTTGAATCGCGCGTTACCTACATGTTACCTACATGTTCAGGAAGTGTTCCCATGATTTACATGCAAAACCAGCTTTCGCCACATATTTACTCCCAGATACGTCCAGTGTGGTGCGATAAATCAGCAGAAGCCGCAGGTGGGCGACTGTCCTCCGGGCAAAGTGCACGAATGGCAGATTGAAGCGGAACATCGCCATGAACATCTCCTGCGGGAGGCGATGGCCGGCTTTTTGGATCGACCGGTGATCCCGCAACAAAAGAATCTACATCAAATGAGCAACCAAGTCCAAAATGACCAAAAAAATAGCAAGGCAACTTATGAAAAAAAAAGACCAAATAATGATTTTGAACTACCCAAGTCTGAGGCTACAAACATCTCATAAATTTACTGTATATATGTATATCATGTTAGTCCAGAGCTTGGTATTGGTTGTACATAATTGTTAGTTGCATAGATGCTGTTAGACACTAGACATAGAATGACATGGATATTATCTCAAACAATGCCAATGCTGGACTCATCTGTATATGTACACCAACATACTTATGTTATCCTGCACTGTCATTACGTGTGTACGCATATGTCCAGATGATTAGAGACTGTATATTAATGTACATTAATTATATGTATATTATATATATACATAATATGAATTTAGACAATTCTGTGTGCATATGAATTTGAATATGAATGATCATGATTGTTTATCTATATTTTCATCAATCATTATTATATAAATACGAATATTAATCCATTAATCTATATTGATCTCACATGATTCAACCAGTGATATCCACTAGATAATATCACATGTTATATTGTAAGGTATAATCTAAGATTGCTAATAATCTACCCATATATAAAATATAATACATTGTATGAATAATTTCACATTGTATGAATAATTTCATTATCTAACTTATCTATATTACATATTATCTATATATTAATCACATTATGATGAATTTTTGGATTTTCACCTTTGGAAAAGGTCATGAAGCCCGTGCGCATCATGGCTTTTCACGAGCGTTTTCCAGAGGATCCAGCGGTGAAGGCGCTTGGTTCGTGGAACGGGTTTAGGGTGAGTGGTGGGGTTTGGTGATGAAAAGTTGGGGAAAATCATAGGAAGAATCATGGAAAATTATGGGAAAATTGAGGATCTCACCAACAAAAATTAAAGAGTTGAAATATTTGCCCTATTATGGAAACATAAAAATAGATGGTATATGCGTCCCTTCATTTCGAATAACGGATTGTTTGGCTTGGCGGTTTGGAATCGGCAGATCCCAGATACTTCCTGCGAAATGACTGGATTGAAAACCAAAAACCCATAGCATGGACGAAAATCAGTGGCCTTTTTATGACCGTTCAAGGCCTTTACCATCTTCTACCCTCCGCAGGCTACGCAGCAGTTCATTGCACGCGCGCGCTCGTCACCCGAAGCAGCCCTCTCGGAGTTTTATTGCACACGCATCTCTCGCGACACTCAGATATGGGCATCGATTGGTGAACACGGTGAACGCGGTTGATCTGGTTGCTAGGGTAATTTCAAACTACTTAAGGTTGTTTCAGGTTTTTTTGTTCATCCCTACTGTTACCTCAGAGGATGATGCCCAATGACAAATGGCAGTGTGTCAAAACCTTGTACCCCTGGTGAACATCAAAATAGCTGGTAAATGGATGTTCATCCCCCTAAAAATGGTATTAATAGGTATTGATCCATACCCAAATAGCAATTGCGGGGTTGAAACGACCATTGCAATCCACAAGTCGTGTTTGCCTCCCGCCTCTGAGCTACAAATCTAATCCAAGATGCGACAAATGAGTTTTGCCGTCTTCAACGTTGTTTATAGAAGTACTGTATATATAAATTATTATATACTATATATACATTATACATATATGCATGTATATGTATTATATATATTTTTATTTATTTACCATATATGTCAGCAACGTTGCAGATTCTTGAGAAACAATGTTCTCAGGCAGGACCTTGTTTCGGCTTGTAAGAAACTAGATCACGTGTTCAACCGATTCCACTGCCCAAAAATGAGGAAGATATTTGCTTTGTGCGCCCACATGCGGCTTTGGATGTCAGGCGCAGTCAGTCATGGGTCTGTCCAAAAATGGGAGATCGCCCCCAAAAATACCCTCTGGTAATCAAACATCGCAATGGGAAGCCCCAAACTAAATCCACCCAAATGGAGGTTTATAGCTGGGAAAATCATCAATGGAATGTTCGTCATGTTTGATTGCCGAAGAGTATGGGAAAAATGATAATTAAACCAAATTTGGATGCTACATCTTCAGGCAAAGTTGGGGGAGCTGGCTTTGTGCCATTCCGTAGACAAACCCATGGCCGTTATTCAGCATTGTTCATTGGCGACCGTTTTTGATGGTTAACTCCCCACAAGTTGGCTGGTTATGTGAAATTGATCGGTTTGACATGTTTGGGTATGCCCCACTTTCAGACAAACCCATATCAAACTGTTGTTACATCCCACACCCCATATGTACATATACATATACATAGATAAATCATAGAGAGATAGAAAGATAGATAGATTGATAGATTGATAGATGGATAGATACATATATATATATATATGCGCATGTATCCCCAGTATATCCCATGTTTGACACGCCTTTGTGCTACTGGCAGCTCGCCAGTATCATGGCTATGGCCAAGAACTTGATGACGGCCATGGCAGACTTTCTGAAGACTGCGAATCAGGGGGATGTCGTGGCTTGTTTTGTTTGGGATCTCCTTGGGGGATGAGAATGGGACCCTGGGGGGATCTGTGGCTACAGACAGCATGTACATCAGTATATAGTAGTAATACATATATTTATATACATATATATATATACACACACACATAGTTGGATAGTTGGGACATCACCAACAATTCGGGGGTATGGGTATTGTTGAAACCAGCAGGCAGATGTTTGGGGGCCCGAAAGAATCAATGGTTTCAATCGCACATGGATGATTCACCACATTCGCCGCTTGTGGTCTGTAGCTGGTCAAGTTTGGCAAGGAATCCGAACAATTTTTCCTGAGTGTTTTTCGCCCCATTCTTTCAGGTTGTCCTGTCTTCTCAGATTTAATCAGATTTATTATCTCCATAGTTTACAGATTGAAGTTTACAAGTTATTCCAGAGAAATCAGTTCTTGAATCCATGAATCCATGATTTCCAGAGTTTTTTCACTGCCTACCCCTGGGATCTCACCACCTAAGTCGCAAAATTCACTGCAGGCAGTGCCCGTCTTCCTGCCGCAGCTTGGTCAAAATGGGAGGGACTACATGATGTTCTGACAAGAACTGAATGTTGGGATCTATTATAGGGGGGTTCCATAAATGGGGGATCCCCAAAATGGATGGTCTATTTATCATGGAAAAGCATACTATAATGGATGGTTTAGGGGTACCCCCATTGATGGAACCCTCCATTTATGATGGTTGGATCATAATGGATCTATTTCCATCAGTGAAATGTTGGATTGACAAGTACTAAAACTGTACGGATCCAGTTGTTGGACGAAATCAACTCCTTTCGAATGTATTTAGGACACGGTCACACATGTGACATTGTGTGACATTGTGTGACATGTGAAGTTTGGAACCAGGACTATTTGCGCATGTCCCAAACTTGGGTCAATCCATGATTTGAGCTTATTTTAGTGATCTACTCCGTCAGGGAAACCAATAAATTGGTATGTTGGAAAATATGGCACCCAAAAAAAACGTGGTTTTTGATAAATTTCTCCACTCAACTTGCCATGTGGGGATATACCGACCCATTTAGATTTCGGGACGAACCCTTGAGTGTCATATGGTTGCGCATGCTTACCCCATTATGATCCCAGTAAATATGGGTTTGTCTGAAAATATATCCCCAAATCCATAGTTTATCCTCATTGTCTCTATTCAATAGCCCTTTTTTTCTTACCTCTAGATTTAAATAAACAAAGGTGCAACTTGTTCCTCCTCCACCTCCTCCTCCTCTACTCCGGATGCAGTGGATGACGCCTGGACCCGAACACCATATCGCCAGCTCTGGGTGCTGTGGAGGGCACCTGGACCCGAACACATGCTAGAGAATGTCAGATAGAATGTCAGAATAATATGCCAGGGTGGGGATCACTCGAAGTAAAGTAATTTGCTTTATATAGCTCATTTTGAGAACACACCCATGGCCCATAAGAATCCATAAGATATATCAGAAATAAAATGAAATAAACCCATATGGCTGGTTTCAAGTTCCTAATATTTCCCAATAAATAGCCCCATCAAATCCTTGGTTTATACCCCCAAAATTGTTTCGCCCGTCCAATGAGGCACCAGGACGTCAAGGTCGGGGATGGATCGGTCGTCTTCCCCAACCATTAGCAAGAATAGCAGGGTTGTAGTATGTCAAAGTGGTAGGGGGAGGATATGGGAGGATAAAATATGATAAAGTGACAGAAAAATCTACGAAAGCACCTGAAAAATGTGACGGAAAACCCCCAGGAAATTGAAATTTCACAAGTGGAGATATGGAGCCCCTATAGCTATCGCTATATATATCCACTTAGAACTGGAACTGCACCACCAAACATGACTTTTGTCCACTTTTTGGAGACCTAGTGTGGTAGCTAGTATTTGGTGATTAGCCAACTGTTGTTTTTGTTGACTCTCGTCCCAAGATTGCTGACTCCCAACAGCGCCAGGATGGGAAAATCAAACAATGCAGCAAGGGATGTGTGAATCCTCGGAGAGGCTGGGAGTTGCAAGCAAACAAGCAGCAGTACCAAATGAACCACAGGTCGAACCACAAGATACCACAGGAATGGGAGAAAACTCGACTTCAGGAACAAAACCTGGTGACTGGTGGGTGGTTTCAACAAAAAACATCCCTTTTATGACAAAGAAGACCTGGAAAACCCATGGTTTTTCGCTCGTTTTCCCAGCATTTCCAGCTTTGCCAGGACTACACCACTGGAGCTGCCCCAACCATCCGAAAAATGCGGGAGGTCGCGTGCCAATAGCCCAGGTGCCACGGCTGGGTGGAGCTTTGGTTTTCCGAGATCATGTGGTAAACCATGGTAAACCCAATAATCAAACCTACAAGCATGGACACTTTCTACCACTCATTGCACCTCATGGGCACCTCATGGCAGGAAGAGGAGGAAGAGGAGGAAGAGGATGCGCCTCAGCAAGAACCGCCCAAGGAAGACAAGTTGATGCTTCGAAGCCCAGGACTGGTGTATGGTACCCGAAGCTATGTCGGATTATTTCTGGTGGTTCAAACTACCCACCCCCTAATATGAACAACACCCCTATTGGTCCCAACTACTTGTAAATCCCCTACTACGGGTGGTGTTTAGGCCATTTGCGGGATGGATTAATTTCCATACTGGGGTACAGTAAATTCATGTCACAGCAGCAACACGCAAAAGGCTCTAATTTCCGAAAACTTGGGTGATCTACCTGGGTGATGTTTAGGCCATTTCGTTGATCATTCTATCTACCATTAACAACGATGATGTTCATTAACTATCTATACATATATCTATACTATATATATATCGTACCCAATCGTACCAATATGTATAATATGTATAATATATACTGTGTTGCTTTTATCATAGGTGAATAGTTGTTATAGGGTTATACATAATATATATATATATATACTATGCTATCGGGCCACCCCCACATATTTATATTTTATGTAATTATAGTATATATATATATAATATGTTATCCGGGTCACCCCCATATGTTTACATATGTATATATATATATATTATCTTATCGGGTCACCCACACATACACACATATATATATATATACTTTAAACCCCACAACGCTTCCACTCAGCCATCACAGCAGCAACAGCCGGCTGCTGCTGCTGCTGCTGGCTGCTGCTACACCTTTGAAGAGATGGAGGAGATGCAGGCCTCAGCAAACGTTCCAATTCGTGATATATATATATATATATCAGGTTTATCATTTAAATGGGATATACAAGATTGGTGGGAAATATAGTCATAATATATTTGAGATATATATACCAGATTTATCATATTTAGATTGGTGGTAACATATACATCATATATTTGAGATATATACCAGATCTATCATATTTAGATTGGTGGTAAAATATATTCATTCATATATTTGAGATATATACCAGATTTATCATATGTTCGATATATATATATGTGTGTAACCGAAATTGGTGGTAAAATATATTCATCATATACTTGAGATATAAACTAGATTTACTATATTTTTGGGATATATACCAGATTGGTGGTAAAATATATTAATCATATATTTGATATATAAACTAGATTTATCATATGTTTAAGATATACCGAATATTGTTTGTATCCCTGATTGGTGGTTTGTATCCCTGATACCATGTTAAAGGGATGATCAAGGGCCCTTAGATTGATCACTACTGGCAGTAAATTGGAATTTCAATGGATTTTCTTCAAACATGAAGATAATCATGGTTCCTTTGAGCGCTCACTACCGGTAGTGAATTGGGATGTTCTTCAACAATTGGGATGATCGGGGTTCCTTACAACATTCACTACCAATAGTGAATGGGGAATTCTTTCAAACATTGGGATGATCGGTGTTCCTTAGAACGCTCGCTACCTGATATAGGGAGCGTTCTAACAGGGAGCGACCGTCGCAACCTCTTAGAACACTCACTATAGCGGTAGCGAGCGTTCTAAGGGCCCCCGATCATCCCAATTGTAGGAAAAATCAATTCAAATCCCAATTCACTAGCGGGCGTTCTAAGGGCTCTCCATCATCCCTATTTTTGAAAAATCCATTCGAATCCCAATTCACTACCGGTAGCGAGCGTTCTAAGGAACCCCAATCGTCCCAATTTTTTAAGAAACCCATTGAAATCCCAAGTCACTACCGGTAGCGAGCGTTCTATAAGGGCCCCCCAATCATCCCAATTTTTGACAGAATTACCCATTCACTACCGGTAGCGAGCGTTCTAAGGAACCCCAATCGTCCGAATTTTTGAAGAAACCCATTGAAATCCCAAGTCACTACCGGTATCGAGCGTTCTAAGGAACCCCAATCGTCCCAATTTTTGAAAGAATTCCCCATTCACTACCGGTAGCGAGCGTTCTAAGGAACCCCAATCGTCCCAATTTCTGAAGGAATTCCCCATTCACTACCGGTAGCGAGCGTTCTAAGGGCCCCCCAATCATCCATATGTATAATTGCTGCTTTTAAGATAGATAGCGTTCTAACAGGGAGCGACCGTCGCTCCCTCTTAGAACACTCACTACCGGTAGCGAGCGTTCTAAGGGAGGTTTCCTGTCGCTGGAGCACCCTCAATCTTGCGTTCTTCTCACTAAGACCCCAGCGAAAACACAAGATCATCCCTGGTCCGATGTTTGCCAACCCCCCCTTAGAACACTCACTACCGGTAGCGAGCGTTCTAACAGGGAGCGACCGTCGCACCCTGTTAGAACACTATCTATCTTAGGGAGCGTTCTAACAGGGAGCGACCGTCGCTCCCTCTTAGAACACTCACTACCGGTAGCGAGCGTTCTAAGGGCCCCCGATCATCCCAATTTTAGAAAAAATCAATTCAAACCCCAATTCACTACCGGTAGCGAGCGTTCTAAGGAACCCCGATCATCCCAATTTTTGGAAAAATCCACTCAAATCCCAATTCACTACCGGTAGCGAGCGTTCTAAGGAACCCCAATCCCAATTTTTGTCCCAAAATCCCAATTCACTACCGGTAGCGAGCGTTCTAAGGGCCCCAATCATCCCACACCGATCATCCCAATTCCCCATTCACTACCGGTAGCGAGCGTTCTAAGGAACCCCAATCGTCCCAATTTTTGAAAGAATTCATTCACTACCGGTAGCGAGCGTTCTAAGGAGCCCAATTTTTGCCCCATCAAAGGAAAGGAACCATGATTATCTTCATCATCCCAATTCTTGAAGAACATCCCAATTCACTACCGGTAGTGAGCGCTCAAAGGAACCATGATTATCTTCATGTTTGAAGGAAATCCATTGAAATTCCAATTTACTGCCAGTAGTGATCAATCTAAGGGCCCTTGATCATCCCTTTAACATGATATCAGGGATACAAACCACCAATCAGGGATACAAACAATATTCGGTATATCTTAAACATATGATAAATCTAGTTTATATATCAAATATATGATTAATATATTTTACCACCAATCTGGTATATATCCCAAAAATATAGTAAATCTAGTTTATATCTCAAGTATATGATGAATATATTTTACCACCAATTTCGGTTACACATATATATCGAACATATGATAAATCTGGTATATATCTCAAATATATGAATGAATATATTTTACCACCAATCTGAATATGATAAATCTGGTATATATCTCAAATATATGATGTATATTTTACCACCAATCTAAATATGATAAATCTGGTATATACATCTCAAATATATTATGACTATATTTCCCACCAATCTTGTATATCCCATTTAAATGATAAACCTGATATATATTATATATATATATCACGAATTGGAACGTTTGCTGAGGCCTGCATCTCCTCCATCTCTTCAAAGGTGTAGCAGCAGCCAGCAGCAGCAGCAGCAGCCGGCTGTTGCTGCTCTGATGGCTGAGTGGAAGCGTTGTGGGGTTTAAAGTATATATATGTATATGTGTGTGTATGTGTGGGTGACCCGATAAGATAGTATATATATATATACATATGTAAACATATGGGGGTGACCCGGATAACATATTATATATACTATAATTACATAAAATATAAATATGTGGGGGTGGCCCGATAGCATAGTATATATATATATATTATGTATAACCCTATAACAACTATTCACCTATGATAAAAGCAACACAGTATTTATATATATATAAATGTATAGTATATAATTACTGTACATGTACAGACCCTATAGACAACCCCAAAAAAGATGGAAAAGTAATCTATTCGCCAGGCCAACGGCCGGCTTCGGCCCCTGCCCGACGGCTTGCGGGGCATGCAGGTGATCGTAGGGGCACCCACAGATGGCTCCAAAGAAACGCGGAAAATTATACGGATGTTCCATGATTTATATGGTTGAATGGCCATCTGAATGGTGGAAAGTGGTGGAAAGTGGTGGAAAGTGGTGGAAAGTGGTGGAAAGTGGTGGAAAGTGGTGGAAATTGGACTGATTACCATCAAATTCGCTGAGATATTGGGAATATGACCAACACTGGGATATAATGGGATATAGAACCAACTTAATATGATTTTGGTTTTGTTTGAAAATGGGGTGTACCCCAGCAAAAAAGATTCATGCAATGTTGATAGGGGAAAATGATGATAAACCAGCAGATGTTGGGCTACGACATGTTCGGACTCACCCATGGGATAAACACAACGGTATACATCTTGAATTGGGGTTTATACCTTGCATTTCTGGAACCAGTGGGGATGGGTTTGAACGTTGGGTTTACCACTTTATATTCATTTTTTGAGTGGTAATGATGTTGATCCATACCCAGATGGTGCCTAGATGCTTTTTGAGTGGATACGGGTGAATATTCAATAATCCCTAGGAACCACAGACTGATTGGTCATATTTAGCACTAAACCATACAAGGTTGTGGGACATCCAATGTTTGCCCACGGACATTTGCTTGTAGTTTGATGAGGTTTGATGATATATCCTCAAGATCTTCCAATATCTTGTAGCACGACTGCCGCCCTGAAGTCATGCTCGATGTTTTTTGACCATAGGCTGCTTTTATGTGACAGGAGAAATGGTATTCTGATATTCCTATCCTACATTTTCATTGCTTGTGATTATATACCCTGGATCTGGATGATATTCCTTTATTAAATTCTTTAGAGCTTATTGGTCAGCAACATCCTCACTGACTCAACCACCATCGACAGAGCAGCAGGTGCTTCCCTGCAAAGCGCCATGAGCCGCGAGAAATTCGCGCAGCGCAACTGGGTGGTGACGTCGCAGAAGCACCTGGCGTCCACATCTCAGCGTTTGAGCCCAGCAGTGGATGGGGATTTGTGTCGGAGATTTGGTTTGAACATTCTTGAAAGAGTATCCTGCTATTGAAATCCTGGAAATTTGAAGTGCAGTACACCGTTGAGGGAACAGCGCAGCAGGAGGGCCAGGAGGGCAATGGAATCAAAGCAAAGCTCACAAGAGTTGCTGAAAATTCGGAAGAGGTAGAATTAACTAGGTCAACCTTGGTTAGATACTTTAGTACGTTAATATTTTGCTATGCTATCAATTGTAAAATGTACTAACCAGCTAAAAACATGATTTTTTGACAGGTATCTAAGATTTACCATAAAAGGATATGTTGTTGTTTGGTGGGCTCAGCCTCTGCCAATCCTGCTTCCGAGGTTGGAAGTTTCTTGTCGCAATGGAGAAAATGGTTGTTAGGTTGGGAGGACCACAAGAAAACCTGCGGACTGCAAAACGTTCAACTGAAAAGTCACATTTCGATGAAATGACTATCCCCACAGATCCCCACGGATCCGGATTTGTAACAAGTAGCTTTCGCCTTGTAGAGTCAGTATAGTTTAGTTGCTCAGTAGAGAACCTTTGATTCGTGATTGCCTCACGGTTTCGATCACTGCCACTGCACTGAGATTTCCCCGAACGAGGCGCCGGGCAATCCCAAAGATGGGGACTCTGATTTGACAAGCAACTGACTGTCCAACGAATAGGATGGAAATGATGGATTCCTTCCAGAACTGGGACCATGATCCCAAAAAATCAAGAAAAAATGCAGAAAAATGAAAGATTTCACTGGCGCTGGGAGGCCACCATGCGCTCCTGTCTCTATCGGGTCAAGGACTTGAATCCCCCACTGAACAAGGCCATGCAGCACCAGGTGGGGAATGGGAATGGGAAAATAGGGGAGATACCCAAAACTAGCTAAGTTGGTAAACACAGGACAATATAATAACTATGACTATAACTATATATATATAGGCTTTATAAATGGTTTGTGGTCATATATCGAAGCATATAATATCATATTATGTCATATTAATATCCCATCTTCGGTCCCAAATATGCATCCCGGTTTCATCATCCCTACTCAACCATGGTTATAAAAGGGCGTGTTCACTTGGGGTTATGCCATGTGCCCTGGTGGAGGCAAACATTCAACTCCTGCCTTCAGATATGCGGGAATGGACTCTTGCGGCCGAAAAGGCCCAAAGGGTTGACAAATTTTCACATCAGCAACAGCAAACCAAGAACTTGAGACAGCTTTGTGCCGGACAAATCCGGAGAAGGAATGATTCCGTGATGGCATTGATTTGCTTCTTGATCCGAACAGCGTGGATGCAGAGCTGGCACAAACATCACATGAATAAAAGGAGACGGATGGATCAAGCGTGTCACCCTTGGTAGACCAACTAACCTGGGTAGAATCCGGATCAACATTTTGTGGACTCCAGATATCGCCAGATCATCCATGTTCCATTTATGGCATATGTTGAGCTGGATGTTGCTAGGTGTCTTCCTGAAATGATCCCGTTGAAATTGGCAAATTTCTTGGGCCACACCTTGGCCACAGGTCTTTGAAGTGCGAGAGGTGGGGTGCCATCCGGAATTTTGGGTAGTCCTTTGAACTATGGCAATTGGATGGTAGACAGTGGGTGAATCATCTATGCAAGCGGAACATGTTCCGTTGCCAGATCAGATTGACAGAGGGTAACTTGGTCAAGGTGCAAGACATTCCTTGTTGGGGAGTTGATGCTTGATCACATTGATTACCTTTCAACAAACCGAGGGTAGAAGGTGGTTTCAAGTGTCATCAAGAATCAGGGCGATGTACAACAATGTAAGGGCAACTTAGACAAGTGAGTTTTGTCTGAAAACGTGGTACCCCATTCCATCCCTTGTGAAAAAAACCATTGTCCCTGTCAAAATGATGGTGTCGGAAGGCTACAACCCATGTTCAGACACACCCAAATGATGTATTCTTGTTGAAAATGTTCTTTATGTATCCCATATATTCCCATATGTATCCCAGAGGATATCTCATGATATACCCATATTGTATCATATTGTAGCCATCGGGATATTAGTAGCTATCCTGGAATATGTAGTACTCTCATTATAGTAGCTATCCTGGGATATGGCTTAAATTCCTACTATAATCGGCCATATCCCAGGATAGCTAGCCATGCAGTCGCCCTCCAGATTCGATCCGTTGCGAGGCAGCCATCGCAAAGGCCAAGAGGGAGGAGGAGCTAAAACGGCGCAGGGTCGTTAAATCAGAATTATAGTGTAATATTATTGTAATATTATAATTGTAATATGATTGTAATATTTTGAACAATGATTGTAATATGTTGTAATATAGTGTAATATTATTGTGATATTTGTAATATTAATTGTAATATGATTGTAATATTTTGAACAATGATTGTAATATGTTGTAATATAGTGTAATATTATTGTGATATTTGTAATATTAATTGTAATATGATTGTAATATTTTGAACAATGATTGTAATATTTTGTAATATAGTGTAATATATTGTGATATGTGTAATATATCGTAGTATATTGTAATATATTGTAATATAGTGTAATATATTGTAATATATTGTAATATATTGGATACTGTGACAAATAAACTGCCGATATTAGTGGACCAAAATATTACTGTAACCAATTGGTATATAATTTATTGTGATATTCAATACTATTCAAGATTGAACATTTCATGTACACTATATATATAATATATGTATACACCAATAATTACCGGTTGGTACCAATAGCAGTAGTTCAATCAAAAACTACTGTAATACTCGGTGGCGGGTGATTTCTTTGTTCCACTCAACAAATGCGATGATGAAATCCATTGACGAGCATATCGTTCGGGGGGTTGAAACCTCGAACCAGACTACCAATCTTAACCAATAGTAACCTATATATAGTACCAATATACCAATATTACCTATATACCTATATATAAACCCTACCCACAATTACCAATTCAATAAATATGCAGACTCTTGGAGGAACAGTTAATCATTCCAGTTGTCCAGTTCGGTTATATCAATTGGGCTCTCTTCTGGGTTTTTCGTCGGCTGATCCTTTGAGGAAGTTGCTCCATAAGAGTAACATGTTTTTTGTGAGGAAGGTGAATGCAAGCCAGATACCCTCTGGTAAACATACAAAAAGCTATTGAAAATGGCCATAGACATAGTGGATTTACCCATTAATAGCATGGTGATTTTCCATAGTTACGTTAAATTACCAGAGGGTATTCTATCGATCTTGAACCCGGCAGCCAGAGTTGCCAAGACATCTAGTCACTTTCCTATTTGGCCGCAATCCTTTGAAAGACATCTTCGGCACATGTTCCCATTTGTTCCTTGATCAGTTGGCACTCAGACATACCTCTTCGTGACCCATAACTACTTGGTGGTTTGGAACATGTTTTATTTTTCCATGTATTGGGAATAATCATCCCAACTGACTTTCACATTTTTCAGAGGGGTAGGTCAACCACCAACCAGCATAAAGACGGGATTTCCCTCCTCAAAACGCTCTACAACCCTAGGTGGCATGAAATGATGGAGACCTCAGTGACCTTCCCACAGATGCTTCAGATGGCCCAACAATTCAGCATTGGGAATTAGTGTGACCTTAATCGACCATCATAGCCATAATAGCCTTTAAATGAGTATCATAACTCATAAAAATTAGAACCATTACAAAAATAACAATCATCATTACAACACCGTCATCACCATAATAACGACTACAACCATCTACATAATGATTAAGGATAATAATCATAAAAAGAAACTATCATAAATCATAATTTAACCATTCTAAACGATTTTGGTGTATTCAGTACAATATTACACTGAATATCCGTAATAATCCTTAGACATCACAACCACTATATAGTATTCATGCATGAACGCCTGGGAATTCGCTTCCGATCACCAGGAGGAACGCATGGAACTGCTGGCCTTCCGTCCCAAGACAGCGGACACCGATGGAGAGGATAGCTCGAGTCCATCTCGATGGCTGTGGGATCCAGGGATGGGACCAATTTTTGTGGGTGATAGCAAGATAGAAAATCAAGTATGTAATCCGCCCTGATTTTGGAAGTGGTATTTAGATGTATTTAGATGTATTTAGTGTCTTCTAGTTTTTTTGGAGAGTAGGTTTGTTATATGTAAGCAGATTCATGTTTGGAAAGTCATGGAGTAGCTGAAGTTTTCGGGGAAGAATGCCTAATGTACTTTCTTGCGAAACAAGCCCTCGTATCATCAACTTGGAATCGAACGAATTCAAATTGCCTTGCAATTCTGAGGGCACCAGGGTGTTGCAAAGCTTGCCATTTGGAACACCGATTTCAAACATTCCAAATGCGCCTTGGCCCTTGGCTCTTGGCTCCAACGTAAATTGGCACAGGGCGCGGAAGACAATCGCACAAACCCATGTTCAAGACTGCGATATACTTCAAGTATCTTCAACAATACACAATGGTATAATTGGATACAATTGGTGTAACAGTGTAGCATCCATAGGTTTCTTACACTGTCTTACACACTATAAGTTGATATTTTTGTTCGCTTACCTTCCCTGCCCGTCTTGGAGGAGCCAGCGGAGCCGGAGGTCGACTCGCTAGCATCTGAGGCCGTGATGAAGCCCCTCCCGGTTTTCATTTTGAAAGTCCCCGTTGCATGGTCCCAAGATGTCCCAAGATGTCCCAGTTGTAGATGTGATTTCATCCCCTACGTTTTACCCATTGATCCCATTGGTTTCTCGGGTGTGCTTTGATCATCTTCGATCACCGGGATCACAGTCGAGCCCATTCGGTGCAGGTGCAAGAGCCGGTGCAGCCAAAGTCCACTCTCTCCACGGATGATTTTCTCATGGATATGGATTGGCGCCTTGGAGCTTGACCATGGTATACCCGTACACCATCGTACACCCCTATGTTCGGACCTGCCCACATGTTGGGTAGAAGAGAGAAAACCGTAGAAACGGCCTGTGTTAATTGTGGGTCGTTGAGCCATACCATGCCATACCGCATCCATATGGCGGTGCTCCAAATCATCGAGAACCCCAGGCGCCGCGGAAGCCGCAGTCCAAAGGTTTGCAATGTTGGCAGCAAGTGGAAGTCCTAGCAGCCAGGATTCTCGCATCCGAGTGGCGACCGATTGGCAGTAGGATCATATAGGACCCATGTTGACGGTGGAAAGATGTGAACAAATGAAGCGACAAGAGTTGCATCCTCAAGGGACTCAAAAAGCTTTTTCAACCAGACTAATTTGAACATTTTGAACCTGGATCACGTCCTGGATCATGCTGGTCATTGCTTTCGGGGGCTTGAAACGTCTGAGGTTGTCCTTTATGCTGGACGAAGCCCCATCAATTCCACAGTGGGAAGCTTGGAACACAGCAAACTCAGCCGCTGAACATCACTTGTGCCTGGGTATGGGATGGGATGCTTCAGAATCTGCCAGAAGTATCAGAATTAAACAGAATTAAAAGCCCTCCAAGAATCGGATTTTGGATGATTTTGGGTGTCATCCGATCTTTTGGGCATCCGATTTTGAACGCTTTGTTGCACACCAAGCCCCCCGTAGGAGCGAGGACGGCAGCTTTCGATCTTCTCGGGAAGTTCCCACCAGCGACAGGTGAGAGATGGGAAATTCAGGTGTTGACATGGGTCAACTCGGATGGTGTTGCTCCAATAGTTCAGGGTGTGTATACCCATCATGGGAAACATCCCAACCGAAATTGGGTGAACTATAATATAAGATTATAGGACTATAATAAATCTATAAGAGTGCTCTTTGCCAGTGGAACAGCCAGCATGTTGTGCTGCCGGTATCTATGGAGAACTGGATGACGGATGAGTGCAGCACTGTGATGATTTCTGAAGTTGATCAAATCTCTGTCAACTTGTGTATAAATGGGATGCGCGTGTCGCATGGGGTTTCAGTTTTGGGGTAACAACCACACATCAACTATACATATAACAATATAATATATATATATATATGTGTATATATATATAAGATGTTTTCTATATAATAGATTTAGCTATAGTAAAAGAATCACTGCCTTTACTGGCTCACTTCTTGAATCATCCCATGAAATCTTCCTTTGGTCAGCCGGTCACCAGGCAGGAGCCAGAAAGCCCAACAGCCACAGATGCTTGGCGTAAATTTATGGGTAAGTTTCCCATCAAAGGGGATGTTCATCAATCCATTTTGATATAAAATCCTTAATGATAACTAATCATACATATATATATATATATTGATAGGGCTTAATTATGTTCATGATCATGAATATTGATTCATCACCCTATTTTCAGGTCTAACAGGGAGAATCCTGGTCATGATGGTATGATGACCATATCTTCCCAAAAAATTGATCATTGATCATGATTGATCATCGTTATTCCCACCAGCAAGTTGTGGCATGTTGTGGCGCAGGTTCCATTTTTCCAACTGATCTCTCGCAGGATGGCGGGATCTCCACACGTCCGGACAGCGCGCTGAGTGGCGCCGGCACCCGCCCCGCCAGCGCCACGCAGTGCCCGCTGAGCGGCAAGCGGCCGAAACGCCCGGGAAGCGCCGCAGGGTCCACGAGACCATCCAGTGCCGCGGATCTGGTGGCTGATGGTGGATGGCTTCACCCTGCTTCACTTTAAAAAAAGATTGGCCCAGAAAACAGATTACCAAAATTTACCAAAGATGTAATGCCTAAGATGACCAGATGACCACGTTTGGATAATTTCGTGGATGTATGCTTATTGCACTCGATTCTAGCTCGCACGGAAAGTTACGTGAAGAATTCCAATGGTTTTCTTTCCATCAGTTTGTGGCTGTTTCAAAATGAAGAATGTTCGACTACCGCTTCGTTTGCCTGCCATTCAAAGCACGGTACCCTCTGGTAATTTAACATAGCTATGGAAAATCACCATGCTATTAATGGGAAAATCCACTATTTCAATGGCCATTTTCAATAGCTATGTAACAAATTACCAGAGGGTATGTGAATTGAGGTTTGGAAAATACTCCAGCACTTGACCCCACAAGTATTCTGGGCCTCAGGTGGCACAGGCACTGCGAGTACTGCACCTTCCAGACCCTCCAGTGCCACACGCTGCTGGGAACATGTTGGAAAGGGATTGGCTGAAGCCACTATATGTTGATGTGGAAAATGATTATAATATCATATAATATGATATAATATAATATAATATAATATATATAATATAATATATTATAATATATATTATATATAATATATTATGTGTATGTATATATATATATATTAGGTTAGGGGTTTTACCTGATTTATGGACAAAGCATGACCAACGTCCCCCATGGTCGCTGTGAACCCATCCGAGGTCTGAGGGACCTCTTCTCGAGCAAACTCAGTCGCTTGAGGACCGGCCCCGTTGCGGTTTGCAGTTCGGGGCGGTCCTCTGATTTGCTGACGGTTCCATGGTGAAACACATGGGCACCTGTATCAAACAATTTTTTAAACACTGCCATAGATGAGCCGAAAAAGATGGTTTAACAGATGGTTTAACCAATGGAGATGGAATGGAGATGTGTGGCTGCTGATTTTTTCAGGTTTGCCGTCGTTGACTTGGCAAATCTAAAGATCCCATGCCAGGCCGACTTCTGCCCTGTCAAGATCTTCATCCTCCACCAAGCTGTCCTTGGAACCTGCACAAGGTGTGCTGACTGGGGGGCCTATAAACCCCATTAAATATAGTGATCTCAATTATATCTACTCGTACCATAAACATCCATAAACTAGAGTTATTGGAGTTATAAATCAACTTACCTATGGGGTCCCTCCTTGTACTATTCAGCGATTTGCAATTCTTGCTCCCGGGATGAATGTTGAATACTCTGTAAAGCAATGAAGATAGCAAGTGTCTTGTAACATATCTCCAGAGCTGCAGATTATTTGCACCTCATGCTCAAAACGTGGTGTTTGTGGAAGATTTACTAATCGTGTAGAGGAAAACACGCGTATGTGCATCATTTGTATGGGGAAGAGGTTCATTTAGTGAATTCGACCATGCCAACCCGGTCGCGGTTCTCGCGAGGTGCCACAAGTCCTACCAATGCCGGCAACCTTGCGTCGTGGTTTAGCAACCGCCGCAACTTACTCACTGGAACTTGAGCGGTGGATAAGAAATTTTGTACATAGCCACTGGGCGCCCTTGGACCCCTGGCATTTCGCGCAGAGCTCCTTCCACTGAGTTTTTGGGTTTCATTTGCATATAGACCTGAAGACAAGAGAGAATTCTCGAATATTCTCGAACAGGATCTAAACAAATCTAAGCTGAAGTGTGACATCTGAACACGGATAATTTATGACGATGATGCTCCGGTTGGCGGCCAAAGGTGCGGCCGGGCCAAGTTCGTGATTTTTCCTAACGAACTTCCCGACCTCCGATGGATGTCTTGGGACTGCAGTTGACCTGCGCATTGGCTATGGTTGATGCAATTGGCTATGGCCCTCGAACTGAGATGAAGTTTATGACCCCCAGTCATGGCTAGTTAATTGGATGGTTTGTGGCATTGGGTAAACACCCTAAACTTACTGATTTCTACTATGTTTATGTCCAGATGTGCATGGTCAGATGCCACGAAGATAATGGAAGCCGCACATGTCCGGCAAAGAAAAATTAAGAAAAAGGTGTCCTGCTGCGCTCAGCAGTGATGTGTTTCCCATGCAAAAACAGTAGTGAGCTCATCCCGTCGAATTCAATTATTCACCAATAGACTTAAGGAAATTAAAATGGAATCCAAACATTGCCAGTTCCAAAAAGAAAAATGAGGTTCTATCTTGGTTCTCAGGGATGTACATCTCTTGGCTCTGCCCCTGGCCCTTAACAAATTCTGTGGCCGCCAAAGCCGTTGCGCAGGTGTCTGGTGTGCAGCCAGCACCGGTCAAGGTGCGTATCAACCATGGCCAGTCTGGAAGCTTAGGATTTCAACTGACATGTAGGTGAGTCAGAATGGATCAAGATGGATAGTGTTGCCACAGCAAAAATGGCGATGCAAAGAGTGAGACTGAGAATGGACCAAAGTTGGATGGCTGATGATTTGAGCTTTTAAAATATGGATAAATATGGATAAATATGGTGGTTATTGGGGATGCAATCATATATTATATGTGATTATATATGGTTACTTGAAATGGAGAGGAAAAATCCAAGAAGTCATCAGAAAAATTTAAAAGGTCCATCTCAATTGAACCTCCACCCATGGGCCGAAGTTTTTCGGGCGGTTGAAATCCACAGAGGTTGGGTGTCTTCGTGGTCATCTCTGATGAAGCCGGTGGCATCGCAGACATCGGCGATGTGTGGAGATGGGGAGAGGACGAGCGGCCAACAAAAGATGTGGGGGTGGCACATGATCTCCAAGCAAAATCACGATAGTGTTCACAACAAAAATGAACATAGAAAGGATAAACACATGTACTTGGATTGTTTGACATTAAAAGGCGAACAGAATCCGTTGGTTTGTGGTCTCAGGGTTTTGATGACGGGGAGCGCACGTTTTTTTGTGTTCTGACGCCGAATCTCCATCAGGACCCAGCGATTGTCATGCAAGATGCTGAAGATAGCGAAGACGAGTGGGAGGACACCTGGTGGGCGTCGTCAGTTTTCCAGTGCTGCAGAGTCAACTGCAAAGGCTGAACCAGTAGGAGAAGAAACTGGGGTGTTTCGCAGAGGGGATGGACTGATGGAGTGTCAGAAAAAGGGGCAACCAATTGACCTCAATATTCTCAAATCACACGTTCGTTCATGGTTCCAATGGATTCAAAAACATGTGGCGGTCGTTAGTTCGTATTGCTGTTTAATATTGTTTAATATAGATGCAAAAACTCATACCAAAATATTTTACCAATCATTTTGAGACCAGATGGGATTTCCAGAGATTACCACCTTCCCATGGTTCAGATCCAGCCGCCTCGAATCTTCAGGACCCAGAAGCCTTGATGGCCAAGGTGGAGCGCGGTCAGATTTTTCACCATTTGATGACCATGAAAGGATGGGCCAAGTGATGAAATGTATAGGTTGTTAATATCTCAGCTATCGAAAAGTCATACCGATGGGTCCATATTTCATTTTTCAGGGTGTTATGAATATATATATACATGTAATTGTATGTAGATGATTATATTTAAAGATTGTCTTATTTTTAATTGTTCATATCATTTATTTCATTCATCCATCCATCCATTTATTTATTTTATTTGTTTATTTATGTATTTATTTTTCATATATATACTTTTATTTATCTATATTTATTTATTTAAAGTATATATATATATATCTTAAAGTTTTTTAAAGATGATCTATCTATCCATCCATCCATCCATCCATCTATCTTTCTGCAGAGGCCCAGGTCGCCAAGGCCACCATGCGATTGCCCTTGGGTTTTGGTTTGCCGTTGGCCAGGCTGGAACCATGCAGCCATGGCCCGTTTGAAAACGACCAAGCTGATGATGTTTGATGTTGTTTCTAGGGTTTTTGATGATGTTTGATGAATTTGTTATATCATGCTATATACAGTTTGATGTTTGTTTGATTTTTGTTTATAGTTGTGTTTGTTTGCTGAATGTTGATGATGTTTGATTATTTTTGTTAATGGTTGTTGCCGATTTTTGATATGGATGTCCCTCAAACTTTTTTGCACCCATAAACTATATACCCCAAATTGCAACCAACCGAGCAGAGCAGGCTGACCGCCAGATACTTTGGAGGTGACCTGCGGCTTCAAACACTGTTGGGACATGGTACCAATGCGTGCCCCGGGTGCCATTTTTGGTGAAACCATTGAGTTCACAGGCCACAAGTCGCAGGTTTCAAGCCACTGCAGGGTGGCCACTGATTTTGCTGGGCCTACCCCAATCAGTCTCCAGGTACATCCACATCCCAGAGCTTCAGCACGACGGCCACTTCGGAGTGTCGGACGGCGATCGCGGAGCGCTGAAAATCGGAAAAAAAAACGTCGCAGCAGCAACCAGGGTCCAATATACCCTGATTAATGGGGATCTAATGGGGTTTTATGGTGCTTAATCCTCTTACAACTGATATATTTGTTTGGGGTGTTTCTGTCTTTTTTGGGATTGGGATACAGTAGATCATCCACTTTGAACAGAAAAAAATCTGTTAACAAACGACATCCCCACTAGTTTGATGGTGTTTTATCTTAAGTGGACGATGACCCCCTTTCCCCCGGAGGTGAGTCAAATTTGGGAGAATGGCTGCTGTCACAGCCTAGAGCCTTGGGAGAATGCATCTGCTTCGGCCCTGTGCTTGACGCACTTGGGACATGAAGAACGCTGCAGTTTCTTCAGTTTCTATTCAAGTGAGAAAAAAAAATGAGACCAGCATAGTCTGTACAGCTAAACAGGTTCAAAGCATGTAGACATCGAAAAGAACTTGAAATTGGTACAGGTAGGGGAGTGTACAAGATCCACTTGAAAGCACCTAGAACAAACCTGCTCCCTAGGATCGGTTTGGGGCGTTGCCCCTCTACTTTGTAGCCCAGAGACTGATTCTGAAGTCCTTGAGACTGGTCTTTTCTCCACAGAAATCAAGTTTTAAAAGATCATTGGACTGGTCTGCTTTCCTTAACAAGAGATTGTTCAAAAGCATCGGAAGCAGAACTTGGAGTGGAATTTGGTCACCGCAGTGGCCTCAGCGTTTGACGCCATGATGATGCCAAAGAAGACCGACCTGTCAACACCTCAGAGGGTCATGGCTCAGCTGAACATTTTATGGTGATTATTGCAAGAGACGGTTCAAGCATGTTCAAGCAACAAAGGAGAGACAATCAATGAGAAAAACCGATGTGGTCACCAAGAAAATTTGGAGTTTTTACATATTTTACGATCAGGATGCCATGTGTGGGTCCCCAATGGCCATAGTTCCCAATGCCAGGAAAGGCTTCAAAGGCTTCGGTTTCGGCAGGTGCAGACCTGAGAGGTGACTGAAACATGGTATCACCACATGGTATCACCATGTTTGTTGGTTTACACCCCCAAGATATTCCCATTATTTCCAGTAATGGTAAACTGGTCAACCCAGTCTTAAGCCATCCCCAGTCTTGGTTTTACGGCATTGTTTCGATTTGACATTCCTCCATTATATGCCCAATGTGTTCCCAAGATTTTCCACAGGATATTCCATAAGATATTCCATATATTGCCTGTATTCCATATGATCTTCCCAATATATTCGATATTCCATGTATTTATAATACATATGTATAATATATATATATACTCTTTTTTATGGTTCCCCCGGTCCTTTCCACCAATTCCCACTCATCAAATCCGATAGCTGCGCCCCCTCCCAGTGCGAAGCCGGGAGCAGCCGTTGCTCGGACGCCAGGGAAGCCGCAGGCGCCGGGAATGGACCGAATTTGATGAAAGCATTGGTGATGAATATCATGGTTAACTAATGGTTGATTAATGGGTAATTAATGGTTAATCACCAATGGTTAACTAATCACCAATGGTTAATTAGTTGGTAATTAATGGTTGATCATTTGGTGATGTTAATTAACTAATCATGGTTAATAATGGTTGAAGAGTGGTCAATATTAAAACTCTGACCGGATGGTCAGTATGGACACTTGGAAGAATGTGGTAAACCCTATGCCAATCCTATGCCATAAACCTAGGTTTTTGGGGGGTTGAATCCCATCCATAAAAATGGTGATTTTGGGGATTGATGAAATGACATAGGTTTTACCATGTTGATGATAAATGCTGAACATCAATTGTGACTGCTTGATCACTTAAATGGTTTTGGGGAACCAGGGTGTTCATGTGCAACTGTATTAAACGGCTATATGTTGTTTATTAGATTTTATAAAAGTGATTTAGCTGATGAGTTGATACAGTACCATGTAGGATGATTAATGATAAGTAAACCCAATGTGAACCCTGCTTTCTACTTTAGACGGAGGCGAAGGCAGCTGGTGGTGTCGCTGCGCTGTTCCAAGAGTCCATGAACCGAGAGGCGTTGTGTGGTATCGGGGGGTGCACCCTGCCATCTATGCTGTAATTTCTAGATATGGACATATCATGACATATCCATTTGTCCCATGATTAGAAATGTTGATATGATGTTTTGATATGTATTTATAATTTTATCATATCTTACCACCTTGTTCTTGGGTCCCCAAGTTTACTTCATTCAAAAGCATCCTTGAAAAAACTTACTTCCGCTCAGCTGCTAGGAGAAAGAGAAGAAGAGCACTCTGCCCTCCTGGTCCAAAATGACAGCCGAAGCAGCACAGGCACCGTTGCATGGACATCAAAGATGGGCTGGCAATTGCTGTTACCTGCAGCTATGTAAAAATAGAATGATGCTGATACTCTTCAAGACTCTGCCAATGTAAGCCACCTCGCTTCGTTTTTTGCTCGGGCTCTGCGCAAGTCTGCGGGGCATGTCCTATCCCAAAATCACCAGCAACTAAGGCGCAGAAACAGGCCGAGGCCATGATGACGGAGGATCCCACCGTCAGCCTCAAAGTTGATGTGCTGGATGGTGTTTTGTTATGTTTTATTGCCCTGGGACCCTGGGTTGAAAATGTTAAGACAGCATGGGAAACCACCCCAACAAAAAGTTTTCTGATTGGGATGCCCCTCCCTTGTACCAAAATCCAGCTGGCTGAGGTCTTTCAATATGACGAGGTCTTGGACGACATCAAGGAGGCAATGGAAACGACTGTGTCAGAGGGTAGGCCCGGGTAGGTGTCCTATGGTTTCCTAATCGGGCTAAAGTAGGCTTTTTGGAGTTGCAATTGTTCCAAAAAGTTCTAAAAATATCCCGGTGATCCCGGTGATCCCATCAAGTCGCATCATTTCTTGGCGATTTCGTGTCCCATCTGATCCTACGATTCTCAGTAATTGAAATGATGGCGAGGGCAAGTAATCCCAAACTGACCTCATTTCAGGTGAGCATCCAGACTTTGGTGATCAGTTTTAACCATGTACAAAGTCCATGTACTATAATTCCTTTGATAGGTTTATGATTATTTATTATTATTACGATTAAATATATAGTATGATTCATCCAAATCTAGTTGATCATATTGCGCCATTTCTTGTCAGTTGTTCCTGAAAAAAAACTTGGCAATGAGGAGCTTGGTGTGGAATCTGTCGCAGAGAAGATCCGTGCCCTGCCGGAGTCTGCCGGAGCTGCTGCAATGTGGATCATTGAATCACATGGGCCATGCTTTGCACTCGAGTATTTTGACAGTTTGCTATGGACAATCAGCCTTTTTAAATATGTCTAATAGGTAAATCATGGTAAATCATCGACCTATTTTCTTCCATATCAGGAAGTTCATGGTAAATCGTATGAATCATGGTAAATTATAGTGACCTCACTGTGACCTCACTGGAATCAGGGTTGGTAAAGGGAATCGTCTCCATAGCTGGCCGCAAGTTTCAGGTGAGTGAAATATGAGAATTGACCAAGATTAATCATGGGTAATCATGGTAATTCATCATATTAGTCATAGTAAATAGGACAATCATCAAGTTAATCATATTTATCATAGAATTGGATGATGGGAAAATTTACAGGAAAGCCCTATACTTGATGGTAAAAACCATGGTTTCCTGTAAATTTTCCCTTAAACCAATCCAGTGAGTTTAGCTAATATGTTTATCATAAGTGAATCATCACTTCCTTCCGCCATCGAGGTGCTGATGGCTTGGAGCAGAAGAAGCGAGTGGGTCTGCATGTTCCTGATGGCGCGGATGCTGTCGCTTGGCACAGGAAATGATGACTGGATTTCAGCCAGAGTTTGACATGGATTGTAGTGGATTTTAATGGACTAATGTGGAATTTCATGCAGATTTATGAACGTTGATGGATTTTCCTGGATTTTGGTGGATTTCAATGTACTTTGAAGGATTTTAGTGGTTCTTGAAGGAATATACAAAAATATACTGGATTATACAACCAATGATATGATATGTGGGTGTGTTTGAACATGGGGCATGCCCCCAACCTTGGCCATTTATACAATATGGAACCTGATGATTAGCCAGTAGTGGATGGAATGGGGTAGCCTGTTTTCAGACAAATCCGTGTCCATCAAGAGATTGTGTGATGCTGTGATGGTGATGATTTGATATACAGTAATTGCCCGCCCGGTGAATCGACTGCCTGCGTTTTCAGGTGAAGACTGGCATCAAGCGATCTGCCAAGTATGTGGACAAAGTCAAGCAGCTGGTCCGGGATTGCTGCGGATAGTGATTCCCCCCGGTTGGATCGCTGGGGCAATTTTCGGCCACATGCTGGATGGATCGGTGGCTGAGGATAGCCACAGATAGAAGACGAGTGGAACAGCAGGCAGGGCCTTGAGGGATGCAAATGAATGTTTGAGGCTTTGAGGCAGTGGGTGCATGGTCAAAGGGGTTTGGCTCAGTACCAAGATGATACCGACAATAGAGACACTGCTGCACATCATCGTCATCGTCATCGTCATCGTCATCATCATCCATTGTTGGATTTGTTGGATGTGCTGGTGAAAGGACCGATCTATCATCATCTAACCAAAAAAACACAAAAAATACGGAAATCAAGCAGTTGAAGTAGGTTATTATCATGAATGCTTCATGTAAGTCTGACTTCTTCGTACTCACCCCGAAGGGACCCTCAGATCATCTCAGATCCTTCAGATCTTGGCCCATCAGATTGTTGAAGACCGGCTGCTGAAGAAAGAGAAAGAGTTGGGGTCCTCAACAGAAGTTCACCACTGAACCACCGCAAAGAAACCTTAGCACTGGGGGCTACCCATGGCATCCCATGGCGTACCACTTTGTTCAACGGAAATTCATGGTGAATGGTGAGATTTTTTTTGGCAGAAGGGGAGAAATTTGGATTTCCATCTGTAGTGTCCTACATTGGCAGCAAGAAGGTGTTGAACCACCAGAGCACCCAAAGCACCGCAAGGTGTCCCCCAAAGATGTGTCAGTACCTGTGCCCGCAGTGACCCTTCGACCAAGGGCGAGGAAAGACAGCGAAGTCTTTGTGACCGAAGCCTTCAAAGAGGAGAACCACTCCCAATGGCTGGTGCACGAAAGTTCCTTGATGCTCGCATGGTAAGGACGCACCCTGGCACTCTGGATTTCAAATCTAGAAAATGTTAGATTCAGATATTATTAGATATTAGATATTCAGATATATTCATCTACCCATCTTTGGGGTGCTCTTCAAACTGCGGCCCAGCCAGCCCTGGACTTGACCCCAGGGCATTTCACTCCAGTTGAAAGGAGCTGAAACGAAGAAAGAAGTTTGAAGATGAATTGGAAGCACAGGAGGAGATGGACCAGAAGAACGCTGTCCCTCGGCTGCGATGGCCCAGGATACTTCAACCATGGGCAAGATTCGTTAGGGTACATCAGTACAGCAATTGTTTGGTGTCCCATGTATTGTCCCTTCAGATTTTAGCCTATCCAGGCTGAAAAGCAGGAGCATGGCACTGGCTTCGCCTCCATGTGCCCACAAGGGGACCCTTGGGGACGCGTCATGCTGCCTGCAAGGCCTGCAAGGCCTGCAAGGCAAAGTTCCAGCTTGAGTTTTGTCTTGGTTCACACCTCTACTGCTGACTTGTATTTTGCATGCTATTCATATTGGATTCAGAATTTGCTTACTGTACGTATATTTTTTTGGCTGTTCAGTCTGTGGCACTTTTCCTTGCGATTTGCTGCATGCAGGAGCTAAAATATGCCAATTGCTGCATTTTGGAGCTAAACATCTCTCATTTGCACCCTATTGACTACATCTTGGAGCTAAAATTGAACAGTATTTGCAACATGTTGGGTCTTGGATCTTGGCAAAACTTAGCAGCATCTCGGAGCCAGCATTTACACAATATGAGTTGCATCATGTTTGCCGTAGACTGAAGTCTCTTATTTGCATGGTATTTGTAGCATTTTGGGACAACAATCTGCAAATGGTATTTGCTGTTGAAACAAGAAACTTGTTCTCACTGGTATGTAGTTGTTTTTTCATGTTTTTTCATGTTTGTTCCTTGTTGATGACACAGTCGCAGAGCCTTTTGGCACTTGAATCTCTGCGCGGTATTCGCCCCACAAAACGAGGACGGATGATTCCCCAATGTCACACCACACAGATACGCAGGTACCGAAATCTTCTGAATGGTGGCCTTGCAAGCAGTCGCGGTGGTGAGAAGGTGGGTGAGATAGGCTAAGATGTTATAATAAGATATTGATCCATTCAGAGGGGATGTGATTCAATGAATATGAAATAATATTGATTTCAGGGATATGAACATGAATATGAATATCAATTATGAATCATATATGAATTATGAATATGAATTATGAATATGAATATGTGAATATGTCATGACCTGTCTTCATGAACATCCATTTTCTTTTGACCAATCTTCCCTTGGTATCACTTGGTACTTGGGGCCAGGTCCGCGAGATGAAGCCTGCAAGGTCGGGGGCGCCCAGGGCGCCTGGGCGGGGCCCGTGGATGGGGGCCTCCACTGGTGATGTGGAAAAATCACTTGGGGGCCCCGGAAACTCCAGATGTTACCCTCTGGTAATTTAACGTAGCTATGGAAAATCACCATGTTTAATGGGAAATTCCACTATAAATGGTCATGTTCAATGGCTATGTTAAATTACCAGAGGGTGCACCCAGATGAGATAACCAGATAACAAAACAACATGTAGAATCACCAGCCTAACAATCAGAGCAGACAAGCCATTTTAGCCATTATCAGATAATCAACAAGCCAACATCATCCAGCATCATCCAATGAACCGACATTTTTGAGCTCTTCGGAATGGGATTCCTTGACCAGGGAAGACTTGGAGGAGGAAGCACCAAAGATGGAGGTCAAGGCTATGGGTCTGATACACCCTAGAGATGGATCGGCATCAAGAGTGAAATTTATTTTGCTAGTTTCATCCCAAAGTACTGTCATCAACTTCATAACTCATCTTCAAGGGGATAGGCCGAAACCGCTGGTTGTGTGCGACTCAACATGCGAGGACGAAGAGGACGAAAAGATTAAGGAAGAACTCGCTCCATTGGTCGAAAAGGCCATCCTGAGAGGAGAAGTCCTTCCCAAGATGGCCTCCTTACTAAATACCTTTGGGAAGGATCGGTATTTGGTGGTTTAATGTTTGTTTCCAGCCATCAGTTTTTAATGGCTTTTTACATATTATATATATATTATGCTTTTATATGGTAAACAGCATCGCAACGAGAGACTGAGACATGTCCAAATAATTTAATGCATAAGCGGTGGAAGAGCCAACAAGGTGCAGAGAATCTAGGTGGCCCCTCCCCCCAATTTTGCAGCTTCAATTTGCATGTTGTATCATTGTCATGTTGTCAGATTACTCCACACATTGAAGATCTTCACCATCAATCAAGGCAAAACAATGGGAAGCAAACATATCATATAAAAACATTATACTATAAAGCATAGATCAAGCACAAATAATGGAAGTATGTCATCAATTAACATATCACAAGCCATCCATGTAGCGAGAGATCAACCCCTGCCGCCTCCCGTAGACTGAAGTGAAAGACGAAGCCAGTACTGATCAGCCCGGTGTTCAGGACGATGGGCTGATATTGAAGCAAACAAATTGGTGCTAAGTAAACAGATTGGTAAAGGGTAGGTCGAAATGGATTGATGGGTCTTCGGTATTCTATTGATATTATATTACTGTATGCCTCAATGACGAATTTCCGGATTTTAACTTATGTTCTCCCGTTCTTAAATCGGTTGCCATAGATGAGGGAATATTGTAAACCCAGCTCAACATGTTTTTGGGCAGGGAAAAGGAACGATTAGCTGTGCGTAAATACCCATGGTGCAGGGTTCTCTTTCCCCAGAGGATGCAAAGGGTCCGAAAGTACATTGTGCAGTTTGTTTTTGTGGGATACCACATTTGGAGAGTGACAAGTGTGCAGTCGGAAATTATGATGTAAACTATGGAATGGCCGTGGTATTGTTGGATAAATCACCATGAGTGTTGGTCAGTTACGAGTTTCAGTCACGACTGGCCGATATGGGATTTGAGCAAAACGATCCAAAAATAAGCTACTGAGCCCGAAAGTGGCGCCAGAGCGCAGAAAGAACAGAATTATATCATGAGAATACACTTGATTCAATAGACTATTTAGAATATTTTTAGAATAACCATCAAAGAACTACCACTTGATAGACAGACTAATTAGACATCGTTTCGTTTATTATATTTCATCATGTTAAGTCCTATCTCTGGATACTTGACATCGAGCCAGTGGCAGGATGTTGCGGCAGCGCCTAAGGCACTGCTGGTGGGATGATGGTCCCCAAGTGATCATGGTTTGGGGGATGTTTTGAAGCCACCAACCAGATGCTTTTTGCCTAAAAAAACTAGCTGTTTTGTTTGTTTCACCATGGAATAAGTCCACCATTGAAAATTTGGTGACGTGGGTAATGCCCAGTAAATTTGTGTCTGGGGGTAAATGGGAATATATCCCGCAATAAGATTGGGTATGCGTGGATGGCGTATGCACAGCATACTTTGATCGTTTACATCCTTGGGCAAGGTATGCCTCCTAGAGCCTACAGGTGGAGCCCAAACCTCTGTTTTCAGTTGATCTTCAAAAGTCTGGATGATGAGCAGGTATGGCCTGGTTTCTACCATTGTTTGTACCAAAACTGGACGGGTTGATGGGAAAGAAATCGATGCTCACTGCAGGAAGAAGCCAAGGAGAAGAGGGAAGAGAAGGCTCTCAGCGCCAAAGAACGCTACCTCTTGCGAAAGAAAGGCGCCCCACCAGGGTGGGTTTGGGGTCTGGGGTCAATCAAGGTCCTTTTGGCGCACCAATTCGAGATTTTGGTTGCCGCAGATGAGTCAAAGGAATCAGTTTGGCTTGGCACGCTCCCGAGTCCTTTGCATCTAAGTAATAGCTATACTGGCTGCATGTTTCACCGGCCCTTTTGATCCCTTTTGACTCTTGCCTCTGAAAGACCCGTGTCAGAGCCAGCTGTCTCATTCTTTCGAGTTCCAGCTGTCGGTTCAGTGACAAGAATGGTCAGTGATGGGAGTTAGGAGTTAATCAATGTCTCATTTTGAACTCACTTTTGGATCTTGAAAAGTGATGTTTAAAGATGTTTAAAGAGGATGTTGGTTGTGAATGGTTGTGATATTTTTACTTAATTAAAGATCAAAATCTTCCCCCATTGAACATCACCCTGACCTATTTATAGATATTTCTTGGTTCTAATTTCTCAATGGCTGGGTGATGCTGGAGTGGGACTTGTCATCAGGCCTGCTGGCTCCCGAAGAGTAGTGCAGTGCCCAGAGACTCGATGGATGTCATGTTCTGCTGGTTGGAGCGCCATCCCGAAAATTGCTGTCTATGATTGGGATTTACACTCTGGTAAACTAACATAGCTATGGAAGATCACCATTTTTCATGGGAAAATCCACTATAAATGGTGATTTTCAATAGCTAGGTTAAATTACCAGAGGGTATGATTTCTATGGATTTATTGGGTAAGATTGGGTGTTTTTTCGCCTACAACATCCTAGAACTGGGATGATGTAAACCAAATTATCCATTTTGGGCTTGTTACTTTGATGGTTTATGGTAGGTTTGCCACAGCACAGCATCTTACAGCTTCGGCCCAAGAGACGCCGCGACCAAACTTTGAGAGAAAACACCGCACGCGGCAACTCGCCCAGTTAGTTCCTTGGAGCACCGAGGGTGTGGCTGATTAAAGGTGAAGGATATGGAGATGGAGATGGAATGGGGTACAGTCAGTATTGAGCCAGTGGATTCAATGGTTGTATCACTGGTTGTATCACCTACGTAACCAATTGTTGTAGGATATGTTTGGTTGGTTAACTCAGTTAACTCACTATAGCTGTGAGTTCACATCCCCGTGATTGTGTTGGTTCCGACTGCTGTTCTTGCAGTATCTTGAAGAGGCACCAAAGATGGCCCCAGCAAACTTCATCACTTTTAGCCTTCGCCATCCATGCTCAGGGTTTTTTGGGATACCAAGATGGTGTTGTCTCAAATTTGTGAACTGCAAAATCCTATTGTTCATCGTCATTTGCCCATGTACATGGCCACAAAATGGAGGTAAATCTGCCATGTTGATCATGTTGAGACAGGACAAAAAAAAAACTTTTTTAGGCTGGCTATAATGGGATATAATGGGATATATTGAGACATGGGATATAATGGGACATCAACAATCATATTCTATCCATGTCTATCCCATTATATCCCAGTAAAGAATGTCCTCTGTTTGTTGGTTGAGTTCCTCCAAAATCGACTCCGAGGCCATGCCTATGCTCGAAGGACGGCGCGAAGTTCCGCCGCAGATGCCAGGTTCTGTAGGAGAAATAAGATGGGGATTTCACCAAAAGTTGAGAGATAATTCGATGGATTTATTCGAGATAAGAAATAAAATAAAAATAAAAAATGAATAAAACGTATTTAACATGTGTTTGAGATGCCAATATGAACATATGGCCAGGACATATATATATACATACATAGAATATGTATATATATATATTGTGTGGAGGTAGCGCGGTGAACCTAGCAATAAACCAGCCACAATTTACCAGCATAGTTTGACCATTTGGGTGGTATTGTCAATTGTAAACCATGGCAAAACATGGGATTGGTTGGGCTTATCACAGTACCAACCCATCCCGTTCTTCGGTCTCTGAGCTGCGTTCCTGTGCCAGGAGCAAAGGACAAGGAGAGTCACTTGCAACTGAGGCAGCAAAAGGTTCAATGCATCGGACGATTTGTTGGCTTCAAACATCTTTGTTCCATCAGGGATGACGATTCCCATTGACGCCTTTTTTCAGATGGGTTTCAAGTACCAAACACAACTTGGGATGGATACTATGGTGGACGTGCATTTCTTGATTTCACGGATGAGCATGGGTCATGGGACTACAGATGTTACTGTAGTATTTGTTTGAATTCACGATGCCAATTTTTAGGCCAACCAATTTTAGCCTATAGCCTATGAGATCGATAAGATATGTTGAGACTTCCCCCACCACGTCCAATTTGCCAAGGCAAGACTTCCTTCGCAAGCACAAGTTCGAAGATGTGAATGAGCCGCGAGTTCGGGCTGGATGCATTGCATTCGGACGCCTGGTGGCTTTCGAAACCGCATTCGTTCGTCGAATGTGGCGTTTGGGGGATACCAAGTAATTAAGTAATTCGATATCTAATGATTTCGACATTTTCAGGTGTCCAGATGTTCAATGTTCATCACTATAATTAATCACTATTAACATCTATTAACATCTATTAACATCTATTAACCATGTTTTTTTTTCTTTATGAATGTTTAACATATATCACTATAATCACTATTAATCACTATTAATCACTATAATTAATCACTATTAATTAATCACTATAATTAATCACTATTAACATCTATTAACATCTATTAACCATGGTGTTTTTCTTTATGAATGTTTAACATATATCACTATAATCACTATTAATCACTATTAATCACTATAATTATTCACTATAATTAATCACTATTAACATCTATTAACATCTATTAACCATGGGTTTTTTCTTTATGAATGTTTAACATATATCACTATAATCACTATAATCACTATTAATCACTATAATTAATCACTATATTAATCACTATATAATTAATCACTATTAACATCTATTAACATCTATTAACCATGGGTTTTTTCTTTATGAATGTTTAACATATATCACTATAATCACTATTAATCACTATAATTAATCACTATAGTTAATCACTATATAATTAATCACTATTAACATCTATTAACATCTGTTAACCATGGGTTTTTTCTTTATGAATGTTTAACATATATCACTATAATCACTATTAATCACTATAATTAATCACTATAGTTAATCACTATATAATTAATCACTATTAACATCTATTAACATCTATTAACCATGGGTTTTTTCTTTATGAATGTTTAACATATATCACTATAATCACTATTAATCACTATAGTTAATCACTATAGTTAATCACTATTAATTAATCACTATTAACATTAATTATTCATATCTTGTCCTCCAATAAAAAAACGCCCAGGATCTCAGGAGATGCTCTACCCGATTCATCTGGCCGCCAAGCTCGGAGATGCGTTGGCTCTCCAGGCGATCATCGATGCGGGTGCTGACTTGACGAAGAAGCGGCTTGGCGCCAGGGGATTGTTTTCGGGGATGATGGTGACCTAACTGACCTAACCCCTTAATTGGATATGGCTATGGATCAATACCTATACATACCATTTTTAGGTGGATGAACATCCATTTACCAGCTATTTTGATGTTCACCAGGGGTACAAGGTTTTGACCCATTGCCATATAACTGGTGGTTAAGTTGAAATCGGCATTGTCTCAATTCGCTTGCAATAGAAGTCAGCGGGATCCTCATGGAGTGAGCTGTAAGACTGAGGACGTCGAAGGGGCGCAGTCCGTTGGACCTTGCAGCCAAAGCCAATCGCAACGGATCGCATAACTCGGTCCTCTCCACGTCCCTTGGGTTAAATATGGACCCTCGGCCGACCAGGACCTGAAGGACTTGGACGTTTTGTCGTCCTGTAGGGGGGGATGTCAGCCATGTCCACATGTGCATACTGGGTGTACGACTTTTGAGTCCCAGGGATGTCTTCTACCCAAGTTTCGGGGGACCGATGTGTGGACTGCCAATTGCCAGGTTGGCACAGGAACTGAAGATCGCTGAAGTGTGAGCGGTGGCACAACGATGCGGCCAAAAAACGGCACCCCTGGACTAGTCGTCGCCCGCCCAGCAGGTGGCTTCTGTTGAACTTTGACAAGCTACATGCCCAAGTGACATCAAGTGACCAAGCCATTAGATATGTGATATTTGCGTGTGTGTGTGTGTGCTGTTCAGTGTTCTTTTTTGAATTGGAACTACTCGGTGCTGATTGAACTTTGATACTCTTTGAGCTACATGGCGGTGGCCATGGGTCAAAATGAAACGTCTGCATCATTCGAAGAGAGGCTCTTCGTGTTTCTTAAAAGTAGACTTTTGGAATGGTCGGAACATGTTTTTTCACCCATTTCATGTTGGTCCCAAAGGTCTGACAAAGGTCGCCCCATGTTGCGACTCACCATCTGGGCAGCGAAGACTCAGCTGATTTGCCTTGCAAAAAATGGAAGGGCTGAGTGTTATCCTCCGGTAATGGCTGCAAAGTCCCCCAGAATCCCTTACAATGTGGGTTTGTCTGAAAATAGGGTATATTCCCAATGAAATAACCATTTAATAGGGATAATGATCATTAACCATTGGGTTTAGGGGTACACTATTTTCAGACACACCCATGTGAGTATTCAAAACTTTCCTAAGAAACAGTTGCAAGCTCTGATTGGCTGAGCAAGATGCGAATGGTAAGGCATCAGCTAATCGTTCTGTGTCACCTCGGCCGGCCAGGCCAGGTGTTTGGAAATCGCACCTTCAGAGGTGTGACCGCTTCTCAAGTCCAGCGATTCCCTCGCTCAGCAAAACTCAAAAACGTACGGGGACGGGTTGGAACATGGACCCGCAGCACACCCACCACATCCAAGCAGACCAATCAGCTTCCGGGCTGGCACATTGAGAAGCAGTGTATCCAACTCATGAAGCTTCGCCTCGCGCAACGTGAGGATGGAGACGTTTGTAAGGCATCAAAGGCATCAAAGGCTAATAAGCCATTGACAAGCTGTGGCCCAGTAAATATATGCAAAATGAATCAAAATCAATCAAACCACTTGCGACCTGAGACCCAGTGGAATTGAAAACGCTTGCCTTTTGCTGATTTGGTTCTTGCTTTGCTGGGCCACGTGCCGAGAGCATCCGAGAGCCATGATGTGTTTGTTCAACCAAATAATCCAAATACAATACGACTGGATACAACCACCAAAAATAAAAGTGATGATGATGATGTTTATTTCACATCATTGCTCCAGCATTTGATTTCTCATAGCTATCATGGCTCAAAAAAAGGGTCACTTCTACTTGAACCATAGGGTTCTGGTGGTTTTGGAAAAGGCCGGGAAATCCCCGTTGTCATTTGATTGTTCTTTTATCAACACCCCGGAAAAAGCGCCTAATTTGAGGTGTTTTCCGCTCGTGGGATCCCAGGGGTTTCAGAACCCCAGCGATGTGAAAAGGGCGTCGGCTTGGTCCGTGTGGAGGGTCGGCTGACGTGGGCCTTTGAAAACTGGGTCTGTTGGAAAAAGAAAAACACGTCCATTGGGTGAATCACAATGTTCGGACCAGTTAATATCGGGACAATCACAACGTTAAATTCAGGTCTTTGCTACTATAAAGATATTATAAAGATTATTAAAGTGCCATTTGTTTAACGGTGTCCCCAATTTCAAACAGATTCATTTATACCTGTCAGAATGGTTTGCAACTTGTCAAGCGCCCTGTGACCGTTTCAGAGATCACGATCCCCATGAGTTCCGATTTGGGGGTTGGGTTGAAACTACAGAGCAACCCGGATGGTTGGGATATTACCTGGGAAACGGTCACTAAAGCATTTGGAAAAAGGGGCCAATTCAAATCCCAATTCTGCTGACTTCAAAACAGTTCAATGGTCAATGATATCATTTATTGATAGACCACACCGAGTTCCATACAACTCAGGTGCTACCAAAGAAGCTGAAGTGCCAGCCGAGCAAAACAACAAGGGGCTTGGGAGAAAGGGATGATTGTGTTCTTGAATCAAAATCCAGGGAAGCACTGAAGTTGTTTGGTGTTGTTTGAATAGGTTAAAGACATGTGATTGATGACTCGACCTAGATAGCACCTAGATTCATGATTCAGGCAGGTGGTCCTGGTGTGGCTGGATTCGGCAGAAAGAATACCGTACATGGCCATGGTCGGAATTTGGGATTAATATAATCAATGTTAATATTATCATTTATATATAATATAACTTAATTTCATTAATTAACCAGTACAGTATAGTTGAATGACATTTCGGGTTTTGAACACTGATCAATTGCCGGAATCATGGCTACCTTCTATGTGACCATTGTTGTCAATATGTTTTACCCGCTAATATGTTCTCCATAGTTGTAGTTGCAGGGGAAGTGTGGCAACGTGTCATCTTGCCCTGTAAAGTCAGACATCCCGTTTCTGATTACATACGTGGGACAATGCTTGACCATCTATTGATAGTATGGGATCCAACAAATATGTGTAGATCTTACATATAAGATCATAATATAATACTTGGGATAATGATCAAAACGATACATTTGTACATGTTTTTTGCATCTATTGGGTTTTTTGCATCTTTTCAAAGTTCAGTTCTCATGTTCAGTTCTTGATTCAGCTGCGATGTCTCGGTGATCGTGATTTCTCAAGCATAGGAAGCATGGCGTGAATGATATCAGAGGATGTGTCAGTGTAGAAACACCCAGCAGATGGATATACAATGATATACATTCACATATATATAATCATATATATATACACAGCTTACCTCACGTTTGTTTTTTTTCTGAGCACCTTGGTTGGTTGCAGCAAGATGAGACAACAGGAATAGTCCAGCGAAGCCATTGGGCCAAGCATTGTTTAGACTGTTTTTACATAGTACATTCACATTATATGTTACAGTATTACATAAGTGGTGTGAAATGTACTGATTGACAATGCCCAGGTCCACTTCTGTAAATCACTGTATCCCAACCCATGAAGACTTGACGACAGGGAATCACTGCACAAAAACATCCGCGCGGCTGACCGCCATTTTTCCGGTGAACGGCAAGGATGACACAGGCATTGCGTTGCATCTGGTGGGTGCATTGGTTACTTTGTGATTTGCAGTAAGTTTTCCAGCCTGTTTGAAACAATTTGGATGTTTGATAAAGTAAAGCTGCAGTGGAAGTTGATTCAGCTGCAACAAAGGAATATAAGACAATGATAGACAATGGACAATGCAAGAGGTCATTCAAAAATCGCATATGCAAAGGGAAGTCATCCATTCTTCGGGTGACTCTTTGGGTCAAAATTTTGCCTCAATGAAAGCTCGATGGTTCGCTCCCGAAAAACACGAAAAGCTGCGTTCTAAGGGGACCAGCATGATGGATCACAAGCTCTTGCAGAGCTTAGACATTTGGGCGGCTGTTCTCCATCTGATGAATTTTGATTATATCTGACTTTATTGTCCATGCTTTCGGAGACTTGAGGCTAGAAGAAACGTCTATACAACAGCCAGAAAACCAGACCCAATTCGACCAGATTAGACTGACCCAAGCATTGTACATGACATACCCAATTATACCCACAAACATTGTGTTGTTCCATAGTTGTGCAAAAGAAAATCCCATAAGATAAATATATATATATATATATAGAAATGTTTCGTATATACTGAAAATAATGATTCTGCCATAGATTTCGCAGGTCTTCCCATACATTCTCAGACAAAACATGTTTACTGTAAATGCAAATAAGATCAGATTGAAAATATGTTAAAACTCATTCAAAGAATCATCCCAATTGGTAGTGTAATATATTGTAATATATATATATAGTAGAATAAGAGGATGCTTAATAGTATAATATAGTAGAGTAATATCAACTATTGTTGATATATTATTTTTATATATAATATATAATTTATAATATCAACAATATAGTTTCAGTGATATTATACTATTTATGTTTAACAATAGTTAAATAACCATAGTTATAGTTAAATACTGATATTGATAGTTAAATAACCATAGTAAAATACCATAGTTATTATACTGTTCATAGTTGAATAACCACAAGTTTAATAGATCACCAAGGTCTCGGCTGCCCGCCGAGCCGTTGCAGCCGCCATGGAGGCCAACGAGGTCTGGTCTGCGGATGGGAAAATGTTGGGAAAATGGTGGGAAAAAGCCGCGGAAAAACGGTGAAATGTTGGGAAAATGTTGGGAAAATGTTGGGAAAATGTAGGAAGAACATGCATTCTGAATGAGGTGAAATGGTGAAATCTCACCTTCATGCATGTTTTCTCTGCCTTTGTAAGATCTTGATGCTGTGTGTGTTGCCAGTATCATCCAGGGTGTGGACTGGTGTTGGTCTCGTCCTGGACTGGGACTAATCCCTTCTTCCTATTACGAAAACTCCCCCAAATAAAAAAGATAGGATTGGCGTGGCACTTCCGGTTTTTTCTTGGTTGGGCACAACTGGATTATTTAATTGTGGTAATTGAGAATCAATAGGAGAGCAGGATGGTGAAACAATGGGTTCAACTTCCTATTAATAAAAATAGATTGCCAGCTGGCGGTTTTTCTTAGGGTCCCATCTCACAGGTTTTATTTTTTATTTTCATTATTAAGGTTTTCATTGGAATATTAGGGAAAACCTTCCAAATCCAGTTTTTGGCCATATGTTATATAGATTTTAACGAGAATTAATCAAATTTGAAACCGAGTTTTTTTATTGTTATTATTAGGGTTTTCATTGGAATATTAGGGGCACCCTAATACAAAATACCCCCTAATAATAAAAATAAATCACCGTGTTTACCATTGGGGGGTGGGGGGGTGGGGTTTTAGTAATAGGGAGAGAGGATTATTTAGTGGAGTTCCCAGCAACCGGACCCTGCTGAACTGGGACTAGATTAGATGATAAGTTCAAGATGAAGCAACCGAATGGATCATCTGAATCTCATTATATGTGTATATATATATATACATACTATATACATACTATATGTATAGGACATGGGGCATATGTTTTAGTGTTGTTTCTCTTTGGTTTCCAGTTGTCCCCTTCCAGGCAGCTCATGCAGATGATCTGACCCCGACAGCGGTGAAGGCTGCTATCCCCGGCGCTTGCTTTGAGGGTGGCAAGGTGGTAAAGATGTTGCATTGATACTGACATTGATAGTGATACTGGCATTGATAGTGATACTGCTTTTGATACTGATACTGGTATTGATAGTGATATTGATAGTGATACTGATATTGATAGTGATACTGATATTGATAGTGATGTTCATGTTGATCTTGATATTGATATGTATACTTTTTGGTAATCAAGCATGGCAATGGAAAACGTCCCATTGACAGATCATTGTTCCGCAAAAAACACTATTCATAATGGATGTCCCATTCTCATGTTTGATTTCCGAAAGGTGTGTATCATTAATGATTATATCATCCCTGACTATAAAGACTGTTATTGCTATGGATTGTGATGATTATTCAGTATTGCTATTGATAATGATGACGTTGATGGCGATGGCGATGATGATGAGGAGGAGGAGGAGGAGGACAATGACGATGGCGATGGGGATGAGGATGAGGATGATGATAATGATGATTTAGATGAAGATGAAGATAAATATGAATATGGTGATGAATATGAATATGATGATGCATATGAATTTGAATATGCATATGAATGTGAAGATGATGATGATGATGATGACGACGGCGGCGACGACGATGATGATTGTGATTGTGACTGTGATGATGGATGATGATGAATATTATGATGGTGATTTGTTGGATCATGTTTTTATGGTTGGTGATGAATATGATGGTGATGAATATGATGTTGTTGAATATGATGATGATGATGATGATGATGATGATGATGATGATGATGATGATGATGATGATGATGATGATGATGATGATGATGATTGTTTAGATCATGATTTGTATGATGATGATGATGATGATGATGATGATGATGATGATGATGATGATGATGATGAATATCACAATGATGATGAGTGATTCTAAGTGTATGAATTTCATCAAGTTCGGATAGATGCAAAGGCAATGCTGGAAGGGGATTGAGTTTCTTGACTAGGCTGGTGTTTGTGCACCCAAGTCATGCCCGCAAAATATGCACAATCTTGGCGTGAGTCTTGCGATCTGGGTCGGGAAAGGCCCATGGCAGTTCCTTCATGTCCTCTGAGTTCACCACCCGCACAAGAGGAGCCCCATATATCGTTATGATATGTCCAACTCAACTCTGTATGATCAGAATTCAATAAAATTCACACGTTGGTGCTCCAGTTTTCTGAAATGACAATATCATGATACTATAGCAGAAACGGATAAACATCGACAATCACCCAAGTTTTTTTAAAGGTCAGCTGATATTTGTTTGTGCCTACGACAAGTGATGATATCCACCCGATGATCATCCCTTGGAGGGACCGCTGGAGCGTGTGTTGCAGGCACCTTTTTGGGCGTGGGGAGGGGCTGCTGGTACCATCAAGTCAGATCCAGAGCTGAGATCAGTGTTTTCATGATGTGTTCAAGCGTAAAAGATCGTAAAAGTATGTTAAAGTTGTCACATCTTCATACATCTTCTTGCTTTCACTTCCCAATACTTTCCAGATGTGTTCATTTGGATTTCGATGGTCCCAGTTGTGTTCGGTTTATGGGGCCGCTGTCAGCCAACGCGGTGCTGGAGGCAGCTGAAACGAGCTCGAGGAGAAATGCAAACAGAGAAAATCATAGTGCAAACAGTCCACTGAAGCACATACCCTCTGGTAAATTAACATAGACCCTGAAAATGACCTATTTATAGTGGCAACTAGTCTTCCAAACCCTATCTGCCAGGGTTTATGTTAATTTACCAGAGGGTAATTCTGCCATCATATTCCAAAATTCTGGTTTTATGGGGGTATAATGGGAAGCAAATGCGGATAATTATGGGAGAGAGGATATCATGTCATATCAAAAAGCAGTTATGTCATAGCAGTTGGGGGTTTCTCCCGTGGCAGCGTCGAAATAGGAGACGGCAGACCTTTGCTGAGTTCACCACACTTTTGGGTGAGGAGATTCAGGAGGTGCATCGCCATCGGTAGGATGATGGTAGCATGATGTACAAAATACAGGGCTCCCAAAATAGCTTTCAGGTGCCTTATAAGTGGTTTAACTATGGTTTATGGTAGATATAACATGATATAACTATAGTTAATGGGGTTTATAAACCAACAAACATCACTGGGGGGGCACCATCCTGTAGGATGAAGGACTCAAACGCTGGATGTAAGAATCGTATTCCGCAAAGATGCAGATACTCTCCCCCTGATGGTCCTATGTGGCGAGAAGTGATGCCACTGATGGCCAAGATAGGTTCATGACACAAGACTTGGGGATAGGTCAAGACCATGATTTTCTCCTATCAGTGCAAGGATGAATATCTATTTGCCAGCTATTGTGGTGTTCATCAGATATTTTTTAGTACCCGAGTTTTGACCCACAGTTGATGATGTTCTGTACAGGATGACACCAGCACCCTAAAAAAAATCATGAAATGTTCTTTCTTTTGGCCTAAGACCGACGAGAACTGTTTAGATTTGTGAAAAATTACTCTCCATCCAAGAGAAAAGTTGTAGATTCAATTCTCCGGTTTCAACGTGCCTCAACTGGTCTTCAAAATCTATTAATCTATTTACCCTCTGGTAATTTAACATAGCCATGGAATAGTTCACCATTTTTAATAGGTAAACCCAGGTAAACCATCTATTTCTATGGGCCATCTATACCATGGCTATGTTAATGGGCCATCTATACCATGGCAAACTGTTAAATAACCAGAGGGTAACTTCATTAAAATTTGCTCCACGTGCCATGTTCCCAGCGATCTTCCAAGTCGCCACAATCCGAGCCGAGCCTGGCAGCGGTTACTGCCCTGGTTCCCCAGGCTGCCGAAGAGTCGATGAGTGAGGCGATGCTGTCTGTGACTGGGGAAAAAAAATATGGTACAAATATGGAAGTCCCAAAAATTCTAAAAGTTGGTACAAATCTTGGTGAACAAATGGGGGCTTCGTTAACGCTTGAGCCATATACGCAAAGTCATCGTGAGGGGCAGTGTTTCAATGTTGCTTGATGAGTCAGAATGAGTCAAAATGAGACCTTCGATTGGAAAAGGTGAGAAACGATCAGAATCCCCTCAAAAAGTCGTCAAATTGGGGCCTCTGCAGCCAATGTTGTAGCATTTCAGCACGGGATTCCGGACAAAAATCGAGGAGAGTGTTGGCATGTTTTTACCATCAATTCCCGGGGGGCTGACCGGAGTGACCTGCTGATGTTCCTATCATCCGCTGTGCCTTGGTGAGGCCACTAAAGCTGCGGAACGAACCTTGAGACAGGCCAGAGGTTCTGGAGATTTGGTGGAGGTTGCTGCCGCAGATGTTGGTGCCATGGTCTCCCTAAAATGAGATTTGTTGAATTTGGTTGATGTGTTTGTGGTGAAAATTCTGATGAAGATTGATGAAGTCATGGAAGATGTCCCCCGACCTTGAGATTTGTGCCCACAGTGTTAGGTTGATGTGGTGTGAAAGAACAGTCCCAGAAACTTAGGGCAGTTTCTTCAGGCAGATTGGATGAAGCAGTCTACATCAGAAATATCGGTAAAGAATCCAGTTTGTGCAGCGAAGATGCTTGGCATTCGCTGCGAGCCATGTCCTCCGCTACTTGGCGCCAGTACTGCCCTGTAGGCGAAAAGCCTGATCGAAGACCACTTCCACATTGACGAGGCGGGGGTTGCAAAGCCTGGGAAGTCTCCAGGGCGTTGGTTGTTTCGTGGGGTCAAGGGATACTGTGTTTCATGTGGTGTTTCATGAGGTGTTTTGGGCTGGCATTTGTGTAGTCAGTTGAAAGGTGTGTTGGCGACGTCTTTTGACCCATTTAATTTGGCACAACTTGAAGATCTGAAGCAGAAGCCAATTCTCGGCATTCCTAGCCTCAGTTTTGAGCGCCCCAATGGGGGATATGGCATCTGCCGGAGGCTTTTCGAATGCTGGGGCCCATTCGTCAAGACTCCAACCTCGCCAGAGACATGCACGATTGGCCTGCGCGCCCAGGGTGACCGAAGGAGTTCTTGGTGTAGGACACTCCCAAGGGCATACTACTTTAGAGACCATACATCACAGCACTGACCCTGAAATATTGGTTGCTTGGATACATCTTGGATACATCTTGGATACATCTTGGATACATAGCGATATAATTTCATGGGACAAGCAAGGCGGTGTTCATCATGTTCATAGCTCCCCATCAAAAAAGGCACCCAGGTTGAAGCCGCTGATCCTCTGAGGTTTAATCTCGTTGCTCTCTTGCCTGTTCGGACGCCAAGTCACTCCACTGCTGATTTTGGATTCAAGGAAGTGAACAGCCCACCTGGATCACCTGGGATGATTGGCTCAACTCACCAAGCCTCTGGATGTTGCAATTGCAGGTCATTTATTTGAATTTGCGGAACTGGTGTTGTGGCGTTCTCAGAGGGCGTGAGAGGTCTTTGGAGCCGTGATTGAACCTGGGCTCGCTGCATGAAGAGTCTTTGGGGCTTAATGTTTCGTCCTGATTAGTGTAGGCCCCCCCCCTCAACAATAGCTATACCCTCTTTAAAGTTGGGCGCAAAAAAGCGGTTCTGCAGGGGAAAAAAAACTACAATTAAGTAAGGATTTCAATTGGCTACAATTGAAATCTAATTAAAACGTGTTTTTTGCTGATGAACTTGTAGTACTTGTAGTACTTGTAGTGAGTGGGGTTCAGCATGTTGATTGCGTTACCTTTTCCACCTTAAGTTTTTTCTTAATGAAACATGTATATAATAAGAGAAAGAGAAAGATAAAGAAAAAGAGAAAGGGAACGAGAGAAAGAAAAAGAGAGAGAGGAAGAGGAAAAGGAAAAGGAAGAGGAACAGAGAGAGAGAGAGGAAGAGAAAGAGAAAGAGAAAGGAAAAGAGAAAGAGAAATAGAAATAAAAGTTGCTTTTGTAAAAGGCTGTTCTTTCTTCGCTTGGCTCCAGGATCAGCTCTGGAAAAGTTTGCTGCAATTGTGAACCGTGAGAACAAACATCTTAAAGTGAACTGGACCCTCTCATGGCCCAGTGCCTTGGAAATTTGTGGGAAAACTGTAATAAGGGTTTAATAAGCGATCTGATTCTTCTGGGAATGGCAGACAAGCACAGTTTTTTCCAGAAAAAGTGTCGAGATGTTTTTCACTCAAACATGTTTTTTTCAAAAAGAATTGGTCTCCCAAGATTTCTTGCCACAATAGCGAACCTACCAAACAATGCATCGGTTCAGAATAATGTGTTTTTTTGGGCACAATAGCGAACCTAGCTACTAATCAGGATACAACATTTAAAAAAACTGAGCTGCAGTGGTGAAATGTATCAAATCTTTCCAGAAAGCTGAGTGTTCACTTGCCATCTAGGCAGGCTGCACCGGCTGTTTGGAGGTCCCAGGGGTCCCAAGATGGAGTGGCACTGCTGAGGCGTCACCTTTTCAGTGAGCCTGTTAAAGAATACCATCCTGTGCCTCGCCTAAGATGCTGGACCCACAGGCGATCCGTGTGGCCCGATCCATACCCATGATCCATACCCAACAATGACAAGTTTTACTTATACCAGGCCACTTTAGTATGTATATATATATATATGTATATATATACCTTTGCAAATTGGTGCGGAACAAACCTTTTATACGTAACTCAATCATACCATACGTCCGGATCACCGCGGAACGATCCATACCCGTGTTTTGAGCCTCACTCCCAAGTATGTCCACTATATAATTATCTATACGCATGTATTCCTCATTATTGTTCGTTCATTCATCCATTCATTCATTCAGTCATTCATTCAGTCATTCATTCATTCATCCATCCATCCATTCATTCATTCATTCATTCAGTCAGTCAGTCAGTCATTCATTCATCATCATCATCTACCACCTCAATTCCTCGTCCCGACCCAAGGGAGAAGTCCGTGGTGGGGATGTGGCACGGAGAGGCCGGGTGGTGGCCAAGAATCTGTTGGCAAATCCCAAAAATAGTGCGTTAGCTATGGGTAACCATTGGAAAATCCCAAAGATGATGGGTCTTATATCCGTTTACATCGTTTTTATATGTTGTTATATGATTAGGTTCTGTATTGTTTTCTGGTAGTGTAATCCCCCATAGCATCGAAAAGAATAGGGGAAATATGCCAAAAGGATGGTTGGTCAACTGTGGATTTCTGGCTAATTAGATTCTGTTCCCAGTACAAAGGGTAGCAAAACCCCCGAAGAAAAAGAATCAACCAAGGCCAGTGTCTTTTTGAAGCTGCGCAGGTGTTTCAGGAATTCTGGTGGACTACCTTGGCCTACTTTATCTTGGCTCCTCGTTTTGAACAAGTTGAGAAAACCTGGGCTTTGATAGTTCATCATCACTGTCCCTACAAAAAACTTGCCATGTGGCAATGTGGCAGTTTGTTTCATTGTCAGACACACCCGTATATAGTTATAATATATATATATAGATCAGAAGAATCATTTTAAATGTTGGTCCCAATCTGGTCTGAATCTGACAGAAACAATCTTTGATGTCCCTTTCGTTCCGATTCTTTCAGCTACAGGCGGATCCTGTCCTTGCAATCCTTGTAGCTGGCAGAAAGTACGAAAAACTTCCTTGGCCGTGCGTCTTTTTCAGGAAAATCTGGACATTACAACAGGGTTGCTCCAACCCATGATAGGTAAATGGTAGCCTGCCTCCATGGGGGATAAATGTGTCCTTTTATAGCTCTATGTATACCAAATTTACAACCCCCTGGGTGTTTGGAGCATATGCCAAGGACATTCTTTGGGTCATCCTTCTACCAGATTGTGTGAAGCCTCGCGCTCGGAGGATTCAGCTGTGCGATTTCCAGCAATTGATCATATGTGACCTCGAGGTTGGTTGATATTGGTCATCTATCCCCCTAGTTGTCTGTGCAAACCCCACATGGACTCGAGCTTTTTGCTGTCAAACCAAGGTCGCCTGGTGTAATTTTGAAGCATCACTTGGCGACTGTAGGACTGGGTTTGTTGCATGATTGGCTCAGCATCCAAACTGACCAAATTATAATTTATGGATTGTATAATCCATGACCAAAACATTTCTAGATTAATTTTGGTGACATTTATGGCTTCGGTTGCAAAACAAATTGTAGCCATGGCCCTGTCCCCTGTTTCATGAATCCCCATTCTCCTTGGGGATAATTTTGGGATGGGTAAGGGGGAATAAGAAGAAGCTGCATCAAAAGGCGAAGCCATGGTATGAACTGTGGCTTGGCTGGAGCAGCATATCCCCATGTTTGATGCTTTATATCTCCCATGGTATCATATGCTATCTATGTTTTTTCCCTTATGGTTGATACGATTCACAGGCAGTGTAGCTAGGCCAGCGCCACGTCCAACAACCTCCGGCTCCAGAAGAGGATACATTTTCATTCCAAAGCTTCGGCCAGAGCATGGCTGGCTGATGGGCGCTTGCATGATCGTTGAGGCAACAGAGCTGGGTTTTAGGTGGAAGAGTTTGTGGGATTTCTTGGATGATCGGGGTACTGTACCCCAAGAAAAGTGGATGGATTTGGGCAGGGAGAACATGTTTGGGACATCCACTTGGAGGTTATGAGTTATGAGATAGTGTAGTTGAATAGTTTTGCCAGACAACATTTGGAATTCTCGGGCGTAAGCTACAAGATAAACAGTGCACCTGGGGGATACAAACCCAATTTGTCCCTCACATGTGACTCACAAGTGCCCAGAAGTTCTGCACGAGCCGACGGATCAGGTAAACACCTGGTTTCTGATTGCGCGCAGAGCCTTGAACAAGCGCGGCGATCGTATGTCTGGAATCCAAGCGGCCGAAGCAGCAAAATTTAGCAGTGCAGCGCAAAGATTCAAGAGATTTCAAGAGAGCACGAAGGCTTCCAGAGCCTTCCTTTAGAACTTCAACCCTGCTGCTGCACCCACTGTTTGGCCATGTGTCTTGCATTTCCTCATTTGGTGCAGGTCTAGCACCACTTGAAAATGGTGGGTTGCTTATTAATCATGCTAATCCCCAAAAGGGAATGTGTATAGAGAATTCAGAAAGAATCGTGTGTTATTCTCCACCATTCAAATTTCAGTTTGAATATCGACATGTGTATATATAAATACATATATATATATATATGTATACATATATAATTATATATATGTATATATATACATCTTGTATATAGTACTATAAATATAATATAATTATATATAGTATTCATTACTCAATTCGGATTTTGACCAGTACCTGCACCATGCTTTTGCTTCATACCCTTCCTGTCCGGCCGCAACGTGACGCGGAGGTTCACAACAGGCGTCACTTTCTGGAAGTTCCTGCGCCAAGTTGAGCTGATGACAAAGTCAAAAAGTGTCGGTGAAATACCCTCTGGTAAACAAACATAACCATGGAAAATCACCATTTTTAATGGGAACATCCACTATAAATGGCCATTTTCAATAGCCATGTTAAATTGCCAGAGGGTATCCAATTTGTTGTCCAAAAAATGGTTGGTTCCTATCCCCAGTAACATTGATCCAAGTTTTATTCTGCTGTTCAGAATTGCAGTGGAGCAGAGAGATTCACCAAATCAACTGATGGTGAGAGCTGATGCCCCAGAAAATGTCACTTTGAAGTAGGAAAGTAGTGTTTTCAATCATTGGATGGAATGGGATACCTTACTTGTTGTGCAAAATAATGGCCAATGTTTGAAAATGATGACCTTGAGGCTCAAGTCCTTGAATTTTGGAAGCCATTGTAGGTGACAATTGCAGCTTGCCAGTCCAATAGGATCCGATAGGGATTCCAGGGACAACTAATGGTAGAAATCAGGCGTAATGTAATCCAAGATCGGCATTTGTTTTCATGTTTGTGGCATGTTGTAGCATCCAAGGAATTGTTTAATAAGTCATTCCATTGGTATGTAGAGTAGATGTGTATAATTGAATAGACACTCGTATATTATATATATAATGTGTATATATATATACACATATTTATACATACACATTAAAACAAACATAAAAACGAGGATCATGGCAAAAATAGCACTGTTTCCAAAATCACAATTGATTTTCCCATTTAAATTTGTTCAGCCGCTGGGACACCTTCGTGCAATGAAGCGCAAAGCCGTGAGCGGTCAGGTGGCAAAAGAGTCTATCGAACTTGAAGTGTCCTTATCAAGTGGACGGCGTGAAATCGTAGCGGTCCCGCAGTCTGGCACCGTTGCTGACTTGAAAATCGCTGCACAACAGTCTTTGGGGCAACCTTTCCTGAGACTTGCAGCCCCTGGTCTTTTAGATCCAACAGACAGTCTTCGACTTTCTGGGCTTCAGGATGGAGACAGCGTTACAGCTATTGCACAGCAACCAAAGATAGCTGCAAATCGCGGGGCGTTTGCTTTGTGGTGTGTTGGAGGCCACAGAGTGGTGACTTGGGGCAATCCACGCTTTGGTGGTGACAGCTCCAGAGTCCGAGATCAGCTCAGGAATGTTCAGCAGATCTGTGGCGCAGAACGAGCTTTTGCTGCAATTCTGGCAGATGGAACTGTGGTGACCTGGGGCGAAACACACTGGGGTGGTGACAGCTCGAGTGTCCGAGATCAGCTCAGGAATGTTCAGCAGATCTGTGGCGCAGAACGAGCTTTTGCTGCACTTCTGGCAGATGGAACTGTGGTGACCTGGGGCATTCCACACTTGGGTGGTGACAGCTCGAGAGTCCGAGATCAGCTCAGGAATGTTCAGCAGATCTGTGGCGCAGAACGAGCTTTTGCTGCAATTCTGGCAGATGGAACTGTGGTGACCTGGGGCGATCCACACTTTGGTGGTGACAGCTCCAGAGTCCGAGATCCGCTGAGGAAGGTTCGGCAGATCTGCGGTACAGGCGGCGCTTTTGCTGCAATTCTGGCAGATGGAACTGTGGTGACCTGGGGCGATCCACACTGGGGTGGTGACAGCTCGAGCGTCCGAGATCAGCTCAGGAATGTTCAGCAGATCTGTGGCGCAGAACGAGCTTTTGCTGCACTTCTGGCAGATGGAACTGTGGTGACCTGGGGCGAAACACACTGGGGTGGTGACAGCTCGAGTGTCCGAGATCAGCTCAGGAATGTTCAGCAGATCTGTGGCGCAGAACGAGCTTTTGCTGCACTTCTGGCAGATGGAACTGTGGTGACCTGGGGCATTCCACACTTGGGTGGTGACAGCTCGAGAGTCCGAGATCAGCTCAGGAATGTTCAGCAGATCTGTGGCGCAGAACCAGCTTTTGCTGCACTTCTGGCAGATGGAACTGTGGTGACCTGGGGCGATCCACACTTTGGTGGTGACAGCTCCAGAGTCCGAGATGAGTTTATGTACATCTAGCTACATCTAGGTGCATGATAGGACCAAATTGAAAATGTCGTGCTGGCACACATTTTTTATGTGTGTCAAGTAAACCATCTTCCCTTACATCATCATGTGGGTATGTCTGAAAATGGATGAAAATACCCCCAATGAAATAGCCATTTAGTAGGGATAATGATCAGCAAAACCATTGGGTTTTTGGGGGTACACAACATTTTCAGACAAACCCATGTTGCTTATCAGTCTCGGATCTGCTGGATCTGCTGAGGAGAATCCTCACCACAAGTGATGGTTAATACCGGAGAAACCATTTGAAATGGCAGAACAAATCAGGTCTGTTCCAGAAATTGCTGATGTGTTGATATAAATTTGCAGGATCCCTCTTTATATATCTACGTATATGTATAATTATGTATAGATAGTAGATATGTATAGTATATGTGTATATATTTGTATATATGTCGAGTCAAAAACCATCATTTCTTGTAAAGCTTGTTATAAGCCAATCCATTGAGTGTGGGATTTGTGATGAATTTCTGCAGAAATATGTCAATGGCATAGCCACTTCGGCTGGATTCTTGAGAGCGAGCTCGACTTATTGTTTTTGGATATGTGGCAACGAGCCTGTTTTGTAGCACCACGTGTACATACAATATTATATGTACTTGTCTATCCATTATACTTGTATTATTACTACTTATTATTATTAATATTATATCACTATCTTAATCAAAGGAAGTTTGCAAGCAATACTTCCGTGTTACGGACAAATAGAATTCTGAGACTTGAAATGATGAAGGGTGGTGCGCGATTGAGACTTGACCTTGATGAAGGGTGGTGTGAGACTTTTCATGACATAACAATACATCACATTGAGACTTGACCTTGATGAAGGGTGGTGTGAGACTTTTCATGACATAACAATACATCACATTGAGACTTGACCTTGAGGAAGGGTGGTGTGAGACTTTACATGAAGGGTGGTGTGAGAGTACATCACATTGAGACTTGATCTTGATGAAGGGTGGTGTGAGACTTTTCATGACATAACAATACATCACATTGAGACTTGACCTTGAGGAAGGGTGGTGTGAGACTTTACATGAAGGGTGGTGTGAGAGGTACATCACATTGAGACTTGATCTTGATGAAGGGTGGTGTGAGACTTTTCATGACATAACAATACATCACATTGAGACTTGACCTTGATGAAGGGTGGTGTGAGACTTTACATGAAGGGTGGTGTGAGAGTACATCACATTGAGACTTGATCTTGATGAAGGGTGGTGTGAGACTTTTCATGACATAACAATACATCACATTGAGACTTGACCTTGAGGAAGGGTGGTGTGAGACTTTTACATGACATAACAATACATCACATTGAGACTTGACCTTGATGAAGTGTGGTGTGAGGGAAGTGTTGAGGAATTGGAATGGCTGCATGATGTTACATGTCGTGTGTTGTGGGGAGGAAGCCGGAGCACGAAACCGTGTGTTTTTCCGTGTAAAGTGGCTGCAGCCGGCGATGAAAGGTACCTCGTCTGTGCGGCGGGTGCGGCTGCGGTCGGTTTATCGTTTTTTTTTGCCGCAGTGTAACGGTGGCTTCAAGCTGCTTTGGGTGTGCTTGTGTGTGCGTAGTTATAGGGTGTTTTGGAATCTGTGCTTGCAGATCGCATTGGAATGGCTGCATGATGTTGCAAGGGTCTGTTTTCGGGAGGAAGCCGGAGCACGAAACCTTGTGTTTTTCCGTGTAAAGTGGCTGCAGCCGGCGATGAAAGGTACCTCGTCTGTGCGGCGGGTGCGCCTGCGGTCGGTTTGCCTTTTTTTTTTGCCGCATTGTAACGGTGGCTTCAAGCTGCTTTGGGTGTGCTTGTGTGTGCGTAGTTATAGGGTGTTTTGGAATCTGCGCTTGCAGATCGCATTGGAATGGCTGCATGATGTTGCAAGGGCTCTGTTGTGGGGAGGAAGCCGGAGCACGAAACCTTGCGTTTTTCCGTGTAAAGTGGCTGCAGGCGACGATGAAAGGTACCTCGTCTGTGCGGCGGTTGCGGCTGCGGTCGGTTTATCGTTTTTTTTTTGCCGCAGTGTAACGGTGGCTTCAAAAGCTGCTTTGGGTGTGCTTGTGTGTGGCGTAGTTATAGGGTGTTTTGGAATCTGTGGTTGCAGATCCCATTGGAATGGCTGCATGATGTTGCAGGGCTCTGTTTTGGGGAGGAAGCCGGAGCACGAAACCTTGTGTTTTTCCGTGTAAAGTGGCTGCAGGCGACGATGAAAGGTACCTCGTCTGTGCGGCGGGTGCGGCTGCGGTCGGTTTATCGTTTTTTTTTTGCCGCAGTGTCACGGTGGCTTCAAGCTGCTTTGGGTGTGCTTGTGTGTGCGTAGTTATAGGGTGTTTTGGAATCTGCGCTTGCAGATCGCATTGGAATGGCTGCATGATGTTGCAAGGGCTCTGTTGTGGGGAGGAAGCCGGAGCACGAAACCTTGCGTTTTTCCGTGTAAAGTGGCTGCAGGCGACGATGAAAGGTACCTCGTCTGTGCGGCGGGTGCGGCTGCGGTCGGTTTATCGTTTTTTTTTTGGCCGCAGTGTAACGGTGGCTTCAAGCTGCTTTGGGTGTGCTTGTGTGTGCGTAGTTATAGGGTGTTTTGGAATCTGTGCTTGCAGATCGCATTGGAATGGCTGCATGATGTTGCAAGGGCTTTGTTTTGGGGAGGAAGCCGGAGCACGAAACCTTGTGTGTTTTTCCTTTCCAGTTAAAGGCGTGGCTGCAGAGGCGACGATGAAAGTCCTCGTCTGTGCGGCGGTTGGCGGCTTCGGTCGGTTTAAAAATCGTTTTTTTTTTTTGCCGCAGTGTAACGGGTGGCCTCAGCTGCTTTGGGTGTGCTTGTGTGTGCGTGTTATAGGGTTTTTTGGAATCTGTTGCTTTGCCAAAGCCGCATTGGAATGGCTGCATGAATGTTGCATGGGCTTTGTTGTGGGGAGGAAGCCGGCGCACGAAACCTTGCGTTTTTCCGTGTAAAGTGGCTGCAGGCGACGATGAAAGGTACCTTGTCTGTGCGGCGGGTGCGGCTGGGGTCGTTTCGTTCCTTCAATGTGTTTTGCAACACTGGATGTTCCTGTGTACGTAGTTCTATGCGTTTCTTGAGTTTGTGTTTGCAGATCGCATTGCAAATGGCTGCATGAATGTTGCATGGGCTATGTTCTGGGGAGGAAGCCGGAGCACGAAACCTTGTGTTTTTCCGTGTAAAGTGGCTGCAGGCGACGATGAAGGTACCTCGTCTGTGCGGCGGGTGCGGCTGGGGTCGTTTCGTTCCTTCAATGTGTTTTGCAACACTGGATGTTCCTGTGTACGTAGTTCTATGCGTTTCTTGAGTTTGTGTTTGCAGATCGCATTGGAATGGCTGCATGAATGTTGCATGGACTTTGTTGTGGGGAGGAAGCCGGAGCACGAAACCTTGTGTTTTTCCGTGTAAAGTGGCTGCAGCCGGCGATGAAAGGTACCTCGTCTGTGCGGCGGGTGCGGCTGCGGTCGGTTGGTCGTTTTTTTTTTTTGCCGCAGTGTAACGGTGGCTTCAAGCTGCTTTGGGTGTGCTTGTGTGTGCGTAGTTATAGGGTGTTTTGGAATCTGTGCTTGCAGATCGCATTGGAATGGCTGCGTCAAGGTTGCTTGCCGCCGCGGCTGCATGCGTAATACTATTGTCTTTTGCAGCTGAAGATTGTAAATCGTATTGGGGTGGCTGCATCCAGGCTGCGATAGTCATTTGTCAGCAGATTTTCCCAATTTTGGCGCTAATAATTTTCCATGACCCATGCCTTAAAAAATTATTCCAGGGTATCAACTAGGTTATGGAATAATTTCTTTTGGAATAATTTTCAAGGAATAATTTTTGAGGGGGGTAGGTATACGATTATGCATGTTGGAATTTGAAAATCATGATCCAGCCCGTCAAGATACCCCGGAATAATTAGGTTTTGGAATAATTTTTGGTAACTTAAAACATCTTAAAACATCTTGAAGCAGCCTATACTTCCTACATTTGGCCTGGCCTTTCCAAAAGCCATTCCTAGCTTGGTGGTGTTTGCCTAAAAACATTTTGCTGGAAATGCCAATTGCAGTTGTTTAAGGCATCATGCAATTTGGGCAATTGCTGCCAACCTTTTTTTGCAGCGTACTTGCACGCACAACTAGTGTCGACCGGACCACCTTTCTCTCACAGTACTTTCTCTCGAGAGCTCTTTGGATGGCAATGAATGGGGACTGCTAGGAAAATACCTAGGAAAAGGCCAGGTTATTGGAGATGCCTGGTACCCCTCAAAAACGAAAGCGGACAGCTAATCACCAAATTAGCCCAGAAATTGGCAGAAATTAGCTCTGCAATAAGGTCGACCGTTTGCGCGCAGCTGCTTACGATCACTTGCGTTTGGCTAGAAATACACTATACCGGTATCATTTTGATGGAAATTATTCCATTTTTCCATATGAACTCATGAGTTCTTAGAATATTTTTTTTTGAACTCAACGGGTGCCGGAATAATATTATAATTATTCTGAGGTATGTTGACGGGGGTATCCCCTTAAGGCATCCCTCATAATTTTCCTTTTAAAATTCCTTTTAAAAAGTGCTTCAAAATCGTCTTTTTTTCACTTTGGCGTCGAGATCCGGTTTTGGAGCTGCAATTTCCGACGCCATTGCACGTAGTTCTATTGTGCTTTGCAACTCAGTCTCTGCAGATCGCATTGGAGTGGCTGCGTCAAGGTTGCTTGGTGCAGCGGCTGCATGCGTAATACTATTGTCTTTTGCAGCTGAAGATTGTAAATCGTATTGGGGTGGCTGCATCCAGGCTGCGATAGTCATTTGTCAGCAGATTTTCCCAATTTTGGCGCTAATAATTTTCCTTTTAAAATTCCTTTTAAAAAGTGCTTCAAAATCGTCTTTTTGTCGCTTTGGCGTCGAGATCCGGTTTTGGAGCTGCAATTTCCGACGCCATTGCACGTAGTTCTATTGTGTTTTGCAACTCAGTCTCTGCAGATCGCATTGTAGTGGCTGCGTCAAGGTTGCTTGGTGCAGTGGCTGCATGCGTAATACTATTGTCTTTTGCAGCTGAAGATCGTAAATCGTATTGGAATGGCTGCATCAAGGCTGCGAAAGTGATTTGTCAGCAGATTTTCCCAATTTGGGCGTTGATAATTTTCCATTTAAAATTCCTTTTAAAAAGTGCTTCAAAATCGTCTTTTTGTCGCTTTGGCGTCGAGATCCAGTTTTGGAGCTGCAATTTCCGACGCCATTGCACGTAATTCTATTGTGCTTTGCAACTCAGTCTCTGCAGATCGCATTGTAGTGGCTGCGTCAAGGTTGCTTGGTGCAGCGGCTGCATGCGTAATACTATTGTCTTTTGCAGCTGAAGATCGTAAATCGTATTGGAACGGCTGCATCAAGGCTGCGAAAGTGATTTGTCAGCAGATTTTTTCAATTTTGGCGCTAATAATTTTCCTTTTAAAATTCCTTTTAAAAAGTGCTTCAAAATCGTCTTTTTGTCGCTTTGGCGTCGAGATCCAGTTCCTTAGTAGTAGTACTGGGAAGTGATTCATGAAAGCTTAGATGACATATGAGAAGAGATGAGATGAGAAGAGATGAGCTGGGATAAGGTGAGAAGAGCTCAGATGAGATGAAGTGTGGAGTGTGAAGGGTGCAGTGTGAAGTGTGGGGCGTGAAGAGTGCAGTGTGAAGTGTGGAGTGTGAAGTGTGAAGTGTGGACTGTGAAGTGTGGAGTGTGAAGTGTGAAGTGTGGACTGTGAACTGTGAAGTGTGGAGTGTGGAGTGTGAAGTGTGGAGTGTGCAGTGGGAAGCATGCAGTGTGAAGTGTGGAGTGTGAAGTGTGGAGTGTGAAGTGTGAAGTGTGGAGTGTGCAGTGCGCAGAGTGCAGTGTGAAGAGTGCAGTGTGTAGTGTGGAGTGTGAAGACTGTCAAGTGTGAAGTGTGGCGTGGAGCTTCAAATGTGACATGTGAAACAAGACACCAGTTTCGCAGAGTGCACGCACGCACGGGCTTGGCTGGCGCACGGCGCATGCAAGTTCTATAGATGAGAAAAGTCTTATATATATATATCTCTTTAAGGCAACTTCCGCCCCGCCTCGTGCGGGTACTACTGGTATTATATCAATATCCAATCTTCTATGTGCATACATGCACGGCATGTAGGATAAATAACATAGCCCAGTAGATGCCTACTAATTACATGGTCGTGGGTCAAAATGTAAAACCCAGCCTTTGAGGTGCCCCATTTTGAGACATACCCTCCTTTATTGACAAAAGAATTACTGATCGCTGTGATTGTGAGTTAAAACCTGATGTGAGTATAGTTCTGATTCCCAATTTGGGTGTCTGAACTTCCCTTTTTTGTTAGTTTTAAGATTCTGGTTTCTCTTGGCTCAAACCCAGAATTTGGGGCTAGTTGAAATGTGGTGTTGCTCAAATCCCGATTGTGTATGTGTGAGCAAGTATCACAGTAATCAGAAAATACTTACTGTCACTATTGTCATTATCCTGATGATTGTCATATAGATTCTTGCCATCTATGATCATTATTAGTCATTATGGTGATTTTCATCCTCGTCATTGTCATCATGATCATCATGATATACTGTATCATAATCCCACTTAGAAGGCAATTGTAAGTCACAAGTCCCCATGGCAACGTGATCTTGGTAAAGCTCATGAGGTGCCTGTTGTGGCCAGCATTTGCACAGAATCGGATCAAGCGAGTGTTCGCCCACATTTTCTGATAAAACGATTTTCGTTTATTTCATAGATCATTCGGATGAGATGTTCATTCATGGCATTTATTCATAGGATGCAAATGATTATATATATATACATAACTTCAATTACAGCTAGGATGATTCTTACACCAACTTTCCCTCGGTGTCATTGCCATCTGATACTTAGCCGTGCACTTCAGGTCAATTCGAACCGCAACCATCTCTGGCTGCTTCTACCTCTCCTGGTGCGGAAGCTGCACTGGAAGTTTCTGGAAGCTTATCCATTTGGCTAAGGTTCAGAAATAATTACCCAAGAACAACAAATAAATAACAAGTTGATGCTGTGTAAATTTCATGACATTTTGGATCCAGAACAGTACACCTTTTCTGAGCCAAACCGATTTATGGACTGTCGGCAGGTTTGTGATCCGCTTGGTGATCTATCCCTACCTGCTGATCGTGATTACACGTGTGAAGCACTCAGAGCAGTGAAGTTGGTGCCTGATAGTTAGCTAAGTTTTGTAAGTTGGTTTATAACATTTCAGAACTAGAATAACTGAGGTTTTTGCTAATTATAACAGATATAACTACATATATTTACATATGTTTACTGGGTTTCAGGTTTGTAAACCAACGAATTTTCGGGGGCAGCACCTTGGTCAGGAGTGGATCAAAGAGTCCAATCGAGTCGGCACTCCTTTGAACCTCATTGCGATCACTCCCGTCATGCAGGCCGCGACGGAGGGAGGGACCACTGATGTTTCATGATGACATATGATGACTGAAAAACTGAATAGGGGGAAGCTAAGCAAGAAACCGGGAGATTGTTCTGCGGATTTCTGCGTACTTATATAAGCGAACTTTCTTGGGCACCAAATGCCAAGCACAATGCGATGTGATCTGAGATCCCGTGCAACCTGTTTTCCGGAAACGTCCAAGTCGGGCCAAGACCACTATGGACCATTCCAACCTCCCAAGCATCCTACAAACTAAACATCCCAAATCTCATCCCATTCTCCATCCTGCCCAGTGCGTCTTCATCTTCTTGAACATGAAGTGGACGGTGGACCTGATCCGATCAAAACTCAAGGGCCGCGGGGCTTCCAAGGGCCTCTAGAGCCTGGCGGTAAGCGCTCAGAAAGGCCTGGCCTTGCCTGTGCGAGGTCGAAGTTGTTGTACATTAAGCGTATGTTTAGTAATGTGGTAAACCATGGTAAACCCAATAATGCGATACATGGGTTGTAAATATCATCCTTAAATGGTAGGTTTTGTATTGGGTTTGCCACATTATAGTACACAATAGTAATATGGGTATGAGTCAAAAGCCTGGTACCCTTCTGTTCACCCAAGAATAGCTGGGATTCATGGATGTTCATCTTCCCAAATATAGCAATATAGGTTTTGAATGGTTTTGATACATTGCCGTACGACATACATACATACCATGACATGACATAACATAACATACCATTACATTACATGTGCATTTACATTTACATTTACATTTACCATTACATTACATTACATACCATCCATACATACATACCTACCTACATACCTACCTACCTACCTACATGCATGCATACATACATACATACATGTATATATATATACATACATATTAGTACTGAAAAATATAGCATTAACAACAATGACAATAGCAGTAATACTAAGGACACTAGGGGTTATGTGACATATACATATGTAGATATGAGGACCTGATAATTTGATTGGCTAGTAGCCTGCAATAGGTGGTGAAGCCAGCTGATTGACAAATAGCATAGGTATTTTTCAGATGTTAAATATTGTACAATACTGTGCTTCATTATAATACATTTAAAATAATGGAGATGATGGACGAAATCCTGATGCCTCATGCGGGTGTGTCTCCAACTTCAGCGACAGCTGCACACAGCCTTTGGGCTGCAGCTGGGGCTGGTCGCAAGCTGCCAGTTGCGCCAGTCGTAAGTGCGGCAGGGAGATATCTCAGAACGATCAGGCAGATGCAAGCAAAGCTTTTCTGCATGCGTGTAGTATATTCATGGGCTTGGAAGCTGGGAGACACTTGGGAGAGTCTCTAAGAAAATCTGCACAAGGCGCAAAGTCTGACTTCCAGAGTTGCATTTGAACTTGCACCTGTTTTCAATCTGGAGTTTGGATGTCAAGTCGCATAATCCGCAAGGGATCCGCAATTTGTGACCTCATTTAACAGGTTCCTCTCCTGCTTCTTTGCCCATTTTGCCATGTACGAAGATGGAGAAAGCAGCAAGAACCGTTTCATCTTTGTTTTAACAGCGCTCGCAGCTTCAGATACTACTGATGCCTCGACCGAAGTCAACTCCACGAAGGGTCAGAGGAAACCGCGGCACCTTCAGGTCTGCATACTTTGGGATCAAGGTTGACCGTTGAAATAATTGTGGGAGTTTTGGATCGTTCTGTTTTTGCAGCTATCCGGTTCCTGATCTGCTGAGCTGAGTATATGTGTCGCTGTTCTTCCCGACATGCAGAGAAGTGTTTGAGAGGGACCAGCATCCAAATTTAATCCAACGTAGGCTGCCTCTATTTGCCTAACAAGCCGTGCAGTTTTTGTTGATGCCGTGCAAACTACGGATGTGTGTAGATGTCATTCTTGCCAGATATAGTTGCAATTTCAGCTGCTGCGCTGTGATCTTGCCATCAATTTCTTGGCGGCATTTAGAGCACTGCTCCGGCAGTGTGAGTCATGGCCCGCAAAAAGGATCTTTGAGGAGTTGGTGTTGTAGGCAGCTTCAGTCGATGCATCCATAGTTCCAGCGAGTTGCTTCACCAAGGATCATTTTCATGGGAAAGATATGAATTTGACTTCATGTAAGCTGGTCAGCTGAAAAGAATGGTGGAACTAGTTTTGACCAAAAGAGCTTGGCAGGTGCCCAGTCGCTGTAGTTTTTCCATTCACAGAGGTTTCAGGCAGGAGCCATTTTTGCCGGCACCAACCCAACAGCTACAAACTGTTTGACTTTGGACAACGAACACAAATTCTCGGTTGGATGCAAACGTACCAATTGTGGATGAAGCAATTCATCAAGTCCTGGCCAAAAGACATCACACAGAAGTGGTGTGGCCTCTTGTGCCACTTGGGGATTGACAGCATTCAACAGCCAGATGTCGTTGACCCACCGCTGCTTACTTGAGGCACTGGCTGTTTGGGGTGGCTGTGCATGTGGACCCTGGCAGAAATCGTTTAAGATGCTGGCAGTTGATCCGTATTCAGGAAACGCAAGGTAGATAAAGATATCAGTATACATGCATCAATCATACCAGAATCGTGTGAAAATTGGGTGCCCCAAAACCCCATTCTCTGGTGGCCATAAGTTAGGCAATTCCCAGCCAGTCCCGAAATGGGCTCAGTAAATTTGAGACATGGTCAAGTTGCAGGAGGATGATGCGGTACCCTTTGGTAAGTTTACATAGCTGCTATGGAAAATGGCCCATACATATGTATATATATATACACATATTATGTAATATTATGTTATATAATATTGCATTTTATTATATTATTTTATATTATATTATATTATAGTTTATTAAATTGTATTTTATTATACTACATTCTATTCTATTATATTTATGTTATGTTATATTATGTTATGTTATAATATTATGTCATGTTATATTTTATTATTATACCATACTTTACTATATGTTATATGTTATGTTTAATTTCATATTATAGTATATTATATTATATTATAGATTGTATTTATATATATATTGAAGAGAGAGAGAGAGAGAAATGTAGAGAAATATTTTAATATCGATATGTAGATGTATAGATGAGCTAGCTGTTAATGATGGCCATGTTCAACGGCGATGTTATTTAAATTGCCAGAACCGGATTCCCCAGTGAACGGGAATATTGACCATCAATCAGAAAATCCACAGGAAACCATGGCTGTTCATATGAAATATATAGAGTGTTTCCTCCAGATGTTCCCTTGAACCAACTCTCGAAAGCCCAAACAAAATGTGCGAAAGCGCCATAAATCATCCCAACCTTACCATAAATTATATAAATGGGTTTAAGTAAAAATCTTCCCCAAATGGTAGGTTTATGGCATTGGTTTCACCACATTCAATGGGAGGATGACCGGATGACTGCTGAGCCACAGGCGCCAGAGCCCTTGAGCCACCGTGGGTGCGCAGGGGGTGGACCTGATGGTGAGGGTCACCTTGCATTGGAATAGCATCATGTGTGTCCGAGCAAAAAAACATGGATTTTGACATGTTTCTATCTATTACGTATGTATAGATATAGAGATATAGATAGATATAGAATAATATAGATGTGGATATAGATGTAGATATAGATGTAGATATAGATATAGATATAGATATGCACACAGATATTTAGAAAGATTTTTTGATATCTATAGCTATATAGAGAGATATATATTTATAGATATTATATGGCTGTAATATAGCTATATATATATATATTATATAGCTATATATATATATACATATTTATTTAGGTAGATGCCGTTCCAATCTGTTCCCTCATGTTTTCAAGAAAGATGTTGTGCTTTCCATTCCCAGAAAAGAGGGATTTCACCATGGGCATCATCCAGCCATTGATTTGCAGCCGTCCACCGGCTCAGAGCAAACCGCCATTGGGGCGGTTTGACCTTGGCTGTTGGACGGGCTCCAGGAGCTGAACGTTGATGATTTCAGATGTTCCAGCAATAAAAACTCAGTGTCATGTCATCAGTGAATCAGAGGTGACATGTATATATAATATAGTTATATATAATATAGTAATATATATATATATACAGAGCATTTACAATTATATACATATTATACTAATCACTGTACGTATCAATACATCTCACTATCAGTGCATCTCAGCCCTTTATTGATGTCTTTGGCATTTTCTTCAGCTCCGTCTCCGTTCAATGAAGTGTCGATCCCATGGCCAACAACTGGGATGAAGAGAAGTTGGATCCGAAGTTTGAGGATCCAACAGAGAATACTGAGGGCCTGGCTCGCTTGCGCTTGATGCTGCTGGATTGGGTGGAGCTGGACAGATATTGGGAATCCGAAAACCATGGAAAAACTTATGAGAAATCGATGGAACTGGTGGATTTGGGTGATTCATAGGGTGTTGGAGCCACACTTGAGCCAGATCTAGGTGTGGCTATGAGGACAACCTTTGTTATGGCTGAACGTTGCTGAAAGCAACTGACAAGCTGGATCTTTCCAACAGTTGCCTTAGGTTGTTAGGTCTTGGGTTATCATACGAAGTTTCATGGGGATCGTGGTAACCCAATGCTACCCATGACAGGCGTTGCTCAATGCTTCAACTAGTCATGGGCCCCTGGCCTTCTGGGGCTCGCGATACTTGAGCCTTGCTTGAAGGTGGAAATGTTTTGCCCACCTACCAGCCATGGTATCTGGGGATGACGGTTGATGTTCTAAGCCATGCTAAGCCAGTCTAGGTTTCTTCCTTTGACTTGGTTCCAAGGTTTCCTAAGATCTCCAAAAAAGGGATTCTGTTGAGCTGAGATTATGGTTTTTCGCACCCCAGTGACCTATTGGCTAAGGAGAAGGCTTGAGCGCATCTTTGGATGGCAGCGCTCTTTCTGCTATGGGTGGTGCAGCATTTGATGAAGGGTTTATCTCATAGCAGCATGGTCGCAGCCAAAACTACCCTTGTTTAAGGGCCATGTCACTATCAGTTGTTACATGGCAACAGTGAATCAAGCTACCTTTGGTACCAATCTGGTCCCTTTGCTTTTTGTACCAGTGCAGCTGAAGCTCAAGTTTTGGTTTGTAGATTTACAGCCGCCCTCATTCAGAAGTTCCAGTGCCAAGGCACTGCAAGATAGGTGCGTTACCAATCAAAATGTTTAGAGAAACCATTGGTTGACGAAGTCTTCGTTGCAGATCCTTCAATGGAGTGCATTTGGAGAGGACCTTGAAAGGTTGGATCTTGACACTGTGCAAATGTATGCAGTAGTCCTTCCTTTGGAACTTCACATATTCCATACGTGGTAATTACTGGGGGTGTCTGAAAATGTGCTGTATGTCAGTGTCGTATGAAAAGTGATGATGAACCAATGGGGTTTGTGTCAG